GATTTCAGTCTGTCTGGCACATATGGCCCATGACTGCTCCTGCATCTCTTTCCAATGAATCCCTTAAAAACAGGTGGCATGAATTGCTTTGCCTGGTGCGAGTTGCAATTTCTCCTTTGAGATACTCAGGTTGATGTTATTCTCCCATGACACTGGGAGATTACAAATATAATCTCTCCAAGGACAATAAATAAATAAATAAGTAGGAAAATGTCCTGATTTTCCTCTACTAACCTCATATAAAGTTTGCTACATGGAAGAAGGGACCCACAGATCTGCTGCCTATTGAGATGCATCAGTTCAATCCTCGCCTTGCAGCAAGTTGCCCTCAATTTGTGACTCCTACAGCTATGGATCACGTCCTTAATTTCCAAACAGGCTCGTGGGTTTCTATGGGAGACATTTTACTTACAAAAATGTCTGAGGAAGAATCTTATTTCTATCTCTTTGAATCAGATCTAGTGCTGGAATTACAAGACCAAATAACAACAAAAAGTAGTTAGGACAGAGGTACCACAAGCACATCTATTAAACTGATAGGATAAAATAATGAGTGTTAGGCAAGGCAAAGGCTGGTACAACTTATCCATTGGCACCAATTCACCTTTGGTAGGCCACCAAACAGACTTGGGGTTCCCAGCCCGGGGAGCTTGGTGGATAAGGACACTCAGCCCCTTCTCCACCACCGCTGGTTTTCTACCATGGCCTCGCACAGGCCCAGCCAGGCCCAGGATGTCAGAGACATGCATACTTGTGCCTCGGTTGGGCTCCCTGCCACCGATATTCACCAGCAAGGACTCATCACACTTGCAAAATGATAAAAAAAACGGAAAAGTGGAAAAGTCAGCTAGCTCAGCACCTTTTCGTGGGGTGCCCAGCGCCTCTGAAGATCAGGCACTGGGTGTGCAGGCCGGTCATCCTGCGGATGAAGACATGAATAGATCTTTCTCCCTCCTTGTGCTGGAGACACTGGTGGCATTGTTAAAGCACAACCAAGTCTAACGTGGCTGAAAATTTGGCAGAGGCGCGCTGGCCTCCTTCCCTCCAGCGCGATCAAATGGCAGCACTGCTCACTGAGTGCTGGGAGCATAAAAGGATTAGCCGCCTGCCCCACCGAGCAGGTGAGCCCAAACCCTTTCCAATTCACTACATGTCAGTTTGCAAGTAAAACATAAGGTATAAATGCAGCTATTGTTAAGGCAAAGCAGCCATCCTGGCTGGGGAGTTAGATTAGCAATTTGCCCTTTGTAAAAGGATTAGTGGAGCCCTATTGTTTCAGTGTTTATTTATCAATTTGCATTTTTAAAAGGGAGCATGGAGCCGACAAGGGCCTACATTCTCCATGTACCCACGGCCACACAGCTTTCTTCCAACTCCCCACTGCCAGAACCTACCAGAGTGCCTTTAGCAGGCCAGAAATGGAGGAGAAACCAAGAGGCCTTTAGGATCGCTGCTGCTTACACCATAAGGTCTTGTTGGCCTGCCTGGCATTCACCAGTCTTCCAGATGAAAGCAACTGCTTGTTTGCTGCTAGCTGCATAGATCAAGTATGAGAACTGGTTTTCCACTTTTCCTCAAAGAGCCGATTTGACTTTTCCAGCAGATCCACCATAGCTTCTAAGCACGCTTGCTGTAGCACCTGGGCCTGGGCAGGTCACTCCCTTACCTGAATCACGGGCACCAGAGCGATGGAGCTGTGCTTATCACTAACTCCACACCTGCGGGCTTCAAAGTCCCTCAAATTATTCACACAACTCACACCAGCCTCACAAAAGCTTGGCTTTTTCACTGGCGAGGGAAGCGGTGAAGAAATGACATGGCTGGTTAAGCTCCGAGGCTAGCAGCCCCACAGCAATTCTTGTCATCCCAACCTCCCTCCAGCATCTCCCCTCAGGCCTCGGGTTGGGTCGCGCTGGGTGCTTGCAGGGTCTTTGGGAGCCTTGCAAATGAGTATTTATTGTTGCAACTACTAGTTCACTATCCACGCACCGCAGGGACTCCTCGCTTGAGTTCAAGTTGAGGGAAGAGCATGGGAACCAGAGAACTCCTCTTGCCGGAGCTAACTCCACCAGGAGAGCAGCCCGGCCATTTGGCAGACAACAGCTGCTCAGGCGGATTAGGTACAAATTCCTTCATTAGAGGGAACGGGGATGTTGTGGAAGGTAAGTGGGAGAGCAGATCTTTTAATTACGGTGACACCAGTGCATTGCACTCTGGTGCAGCCCTACTCCCTGTTTGTTCATAGGACTTCAATTTAGGAAGCTATTCTTTTAAACCATAAAAACAGTTTAGAAGACGAACGAGCATCCAGCTGTGTTAAATTATTTTCCTACTCCCACAGGACCCAGCAGCAAAATTTAGCATGTATTTTACAGGCATATGATTTATTTACGTGGAGTAACATACAGGTATTGGCTTTGACCCGTAAAACCCCTCTATGGCCTGGAGCCTACACATCCAAAAGTCTTCTCCCAGCCTAGGCTCTACTGCTGCAGCTGCACCGGAGCAGGACCTCAGTTCACAAGAGGGGGAGAGGCAACTGCAGGGTGTTCTCCGGCTCTTTGTAACTCCCTCCACCCACACATTTATTTTCCTCTTTCCCAAACAATTCTGGTTTGTTGATTGTCAGGCATCTCGCACAGGCAATTCATTTTTCCTGGTCACTGGGGAAATGAGGAGGCTCTGGTGGGACATGCTGTAGATACCTTAAAATACATTCCATGCTGCTGGCTTATTGCAGATACCCTGATTCATGGTCGGAAGGGGAGGCCACGAGTGGTCTCGATTAGGGACATGAATTTAAGAATCATCAAGGAGCATGTAAGGCAAGCGATAGGCATTCTGCTCTGAGGATCGTGCGCACACTGAATAAAACACACACACACAAAAAGAACGAAGGGTGATGTTTCAAATGCAAGGGACAGACTGTCCCACAGAGCTTACAATTTACATTTAGATTAGCACAAGTAGCAGTAACATTGCAGGGAAGGCGGATAAGGATTACAACAACACTTTGACCAGCCTGCAGTGTAACTCCACTAATTAGGAAAAAAAAATAAAAATGAAGTGTTTGTAGTTGCTATACAGTGCCATGGAAATTTCCATAAATTTGAGGGAGCACACAAATCCCTGTGGGTTAAAGCCTCTGACTGTATTTAGCTCGTATGCTTTCTAGTGTAATGGTATTCAATCAACAGTCCTTGAGGTTTGCTTTAAAGGATGTGGAAGGTATCTTAAGAAGAAACAAGCCTGTTATTTAAGATTACATTCACTATATATCCCTGAGCATTTTGAGTGACCAGGAGAGAACAAATCTTGCAATATTGTGCTAAAAGAGCAGATGGAGAAAGGTTTGTTCCTCTTCTTTCTCAGATGAGAAAATCAATTGCCACAGCCTCATAGGCAATGGTTGGAACTACTAACCTCTCTATAGGGTCTGGGATAATGAGGCTGGCCATTATTGTGCCTTCAGTGCCCATAAACCCCAGCCTACATATGCAAACTTGCAAGTGAGCCTTCTCAACAGATCTGTATAGGCCTCACTCTTCTTTTAGGCAGAAACAGCATGGCTGTTATCAATGAATACCTAATCACACCTCAACATAGCAACAGTCTACACACATTCATAAATCACCAGATGCCATGGCTACAACACAACACACTGCAGCAAAGCAATGGCACCACCAGCACCGCCACGGTGCTTTTATCTGCACCGCACACACCTCCCTGCACGAGGCAGCAGCCTGCTCAGGGGAGGTAGCTGGGTTGGCACACACAACTGTTCAGAGCTTTTCCCATAACAGGGCCCCTCTTCTTTCCCGTTTGCCAAGGTTCCCCTCTCAACATGGAAGGGGAGAAGTGACTACAAGCCTTCAAGACCTCTTGACACTCCTCCAAGGAATGGTGATAGCAGCCTAAGATCCCACTGTGAAGACAACTGCCAATGCCAAGAGCTGTAATGAAGTGTAGTTTCTGCCCAGCTACACGTTGAAGGTTTGATACTGTAGGTGGAACAACTACCAGGCGTGGCCAAAATGAGAGCTGTAAGAACACAGGTGAATATATTGTTTGACCCAATGAAGAACAGAAGGGAATTGTTAATTATTCTGCACTGAGAATGCCTTCCCATCCAGCTAGGTAGAAACAGATCAGTGATCTCTTGGTATTGTTAATATTTAAGACCGTTTACTTTTTTTATATACCGAATTATCGCCAGATTTTCAGCCCCATCAGTACTCTGCTCACATAAACATTCTGGATTTAAACGAGGAAATAGAAATCAATATACATTCAAAGACAGGTGAGCTTTCGGATGGCAGTCATGTTCTGGTGATTTAGCAGCATTTGTGTAAGCAAATGCATCTGGGATGGGACCTCTGCACAGAAACTGGAAATCTTTCCAAAAGCATATTTTATTGCCCTGCTTCAGATTCCCTTTCCACACCCTGACAAAATGGCTTACTGTGTGAATAAGCCTTTCTGAACCCATCAGCAAGCTGTAATCAAGGTACTTTCTAATTTAACTCCAAAAAATACCAAAAGGCAAATCAGTTATGCTTTTAGACTGCCCATGGTAGAATCCTTTAAGAAAAACAAGAAGTTGACAACCTTTTTTTGCATTTGTTTATTTTTAAGGTAGGAAAAGAGAGAGACTGTTAAACGAAACAAAACAGAGAAAAATATATAAAATCTTAAAAATGAATAAAGCTTTCTTAGAGATATCCAGATCAGAAGATGATAGAGTAATCTGAAAATGCTTCCCACATACAAGCAGGCAGGTAGATGGCATTGCTGCACACAGTGTCTAGTGCAACCTGTATTTTTGTTATGTTTTTGCACAATTCATTAGTAAAGTGGTCTCTTAATTCCCTTCTGAAGCCCACAGAGGCTTTGCAGTGATAATAAAGAGCAGAATGTAAAAAGCACAGTATTGTGTTCAAAGCATCAAGTATTAAGACCTAAGGATTTCCACTCTGCTATGTTCCATAGATTCTATTCACAAACAATAGCAACGCTGCTTCAGAAAGTACTGTACTGTTGGATGACCAGCGAGTATTCCACGATCAAGGCTAAATGGACACCAGTGCAGCAGCTAAAATAGCTTCATCCCAGGGAAATATTCCAGAGACTACCGTGACTCCTGTTTAAAGACAAACAGATAGAGTGAAATGATAAGGCAGGGGTCAACAATTGGTTTCAATATAAAACATTTCACAGAAAGCAGACCAGATCACGCTACAGTAACTTTTATTACAGAGATCAGCCTGGCTGTTCATAATTATTATACACAGAAGTGCCTCTTGCTTAGACCAGACAGCACAGAGCTAAAATGGAAGCGTATAACAAATTTGTGTTAATAAGCAAACAATCATTAGAAGTGTTAACAAGTGATGGTGGAGAGGCTCTGTTTTTAATTTTAATACTGATCTCTAGTAAGTGTTATTATCCTCATAGAATAACATTTTATTATGAAAGCACATGCACAGCATTAAAGCCTTAGATAGCCCAGTGCCTGCCAGCAGCAATTGTAAACAAAAGTGAAAGAATCATTTGCGAAATGCTGACAGCTATCAGTATTCACAAAGTTTGTAGGATACAGAGAGGGCTGCATACAATATGCTGCACCATAAACAACAAGAAATTGCCGTGGCCTGGGGCTCTAAGGAATCAACTGGATATTCAGTTTCTTCCCATTTAAAAAAAAAAAAAAAAAAAAAAAAGCTTAAACACGCAGGCTTAATTTCAACTGATTTCTGACTGAGCTAGGGTCCTGAGTCTGTTAGATATTTTCAACTTTTTTTTTTTTTTTTTTAGCCAATAGATCCCTTAGACATTCCCTTCTTATATAACACAGCAAACAGCTGCAACTAATCATTTTTCATTATGGTTTTGTGTATCTGCTTTGTTTTACAACAAATTTTACTCAAACAACAAAAAATGCAACAGAACAACTTCTGCTTACTGTAAAAATGAGATTTTCTGAAGATCGGCAGAACTCTGGAAGTGTTACCAGATACAATTAGGCCAGTGTGCTTCTAAACTATAGCTGGGAAAAGGATATGGATCAAGGAAAAAAAAATAAGGAAAGAAGGGAAAAGAAACAAAGCTTAGAACACAAGAAAATAAAATATATTTTGTCCATTTTCTATTACTGTTCATCATATCCGGATAACGTGAAAATTATCAATACATTTTATATAAGTATCTATTTGTTTCTAGCAATCATTCCTCAGGCTTTGACTTGCAACTGAAGCAATTCACCAAGCAGGTTTACGTTTCTGTGTCGCAAGTACACCGTTCCCATGCATCAGGAGAAGAGAGGAGTGGATCTGCGTGCAGTGAGCGGTGAGGAACGTCCGAGCATCCCTGGGGACAAGCAGCACCCCCCCCCCCGAGCTGCAGCCACAGCACAGCACAGGAGATAAAGCACACACATATCACTTTACTGCCACGGGCAAGCTAAACCTAGGAAAAGTGTACTGAATTATTAAATAAGCAATTCTGATAACACGAGATATTAAATGCAGATAGGGTTGGGTCAACCAAATTACTTTTTTTTTCTTAATTCTTCCCTGCAGAAATATTGGTGCTAAAGCAAGCCCGGCACCTCCCCTTCGTACACATACACCTCTCCTCAGAAGGTAGCTAAAATCGGTGAAGAAAAGGAAAAAAAAAAAAAAAAAAAACACAAAACAACATAATACAGCAAAGTCCTACCGAGGAATAGTGTTTTAATGAACACACAAAGCAACTAGGTGACATCTTTATCAGCCCTCATAAACCTTGATTGAATACACAGCGATAAGCCCTGTTTAAACTGTCATCCTCGCGATAACACGCACGGAGACAGCGCGGGCCTTGGCAACGGGCTGCGGGGAAGAGGCCTCTCCAAAAGTGCAGGCACCGCGAGGTAGTAATGTACATCACGTAAACAGCCCAGAGCCGGCAAGGTTGGTGTATTTTGGGCTGGCTGAGCGTGTACACGGGCATCTTCTGGTGGCAGAGGCCTGCGAGGGCCCAACTCCACAGCCAGCCTGCCCGTGGGGCCGGCGAGTTGGCAGGGGAAGATGGGCGCCCTCAGCCAGAGCGACCTTCGGCACTGAGGTCTGCAAACACCAAGAGTTTCATACAGGAGGTTTTGAAGGGTTTGAGGAAAGCCTGCTCTGGTTTTCTTTTCTTTTCTCTCTCTCTTTTTTTTTAAACCAGCGTTATTCACGCTGTGTACAACATTCAGCATTAGGAAACAACTCAGGGACAGAATGGGTATGGAAGTCAGCAGTAATGCGACTTTTTATATCAGAGGATCTGGTCCTGAACAGCTGGGATATTTATTTGAAAAAAACATATAAATAAATAAATATAATTAAGCATTTCAATATAATTAAGCATCTCCAGGAAATGCTTGTACTCTCCAGGAAAGCGAGGATTTGATTCATCGATGTTTCTGTATTTATCTCTAGCTTAACAATGAAACTGAAATTTACACTTGAACTTTTATTCCCTTTCCCCACCTCGTCCTTCCCTCTCCGTAACGCGTGCAGTGACACCCTCTGGCAGCTCACCCAACACCGCAGCACCACGAGGCCGAAACCCAAGGACGTCCAGAGCTGGCACTTCGTCACCCTTCCTTTATCCAACGCGGATTTCTTCCACCAGGTGCTTTAAAACATAACGACTGTTACTTGTTAACTATAATAAAATATATATTTGTATGTGATTACTAGTTAATTAATAAGTTAATAATTCCCACTGCTTGGGAGGTGGAAGACAATAGTCCATTTTGTGCCTGTTTGGTCTTTGGCAGGCCTGTGAGCTAGCACTAGAGCTGGGTTTTAGTTTTCCACCAGAAAAAGGTCTGACACCACTACACAGCTGGTATACCACCATGCAAGGAGCTGGCAGGGGAGGCATGTTAGCTGCTCAGGAGCTCATTTATTTATTTCTAGGCTTTTTTGCATACACTAGCTGATCTCTTCTAGTACCATCAAGTATTATTTTTTCCTCATTTTACATACAGGAATGAGAGGAAACACAAATTAAGTGGCTTGGGTGAAGACTCCCAGAAAACTCTCAAAAATCATATCTAACAAATCCCAGTCTCATGGCTGCAATTAGAAGACACATCTCTTCAACTTCATTAATGCAGGTTCTCTGTAATACATGTAGGCTCCCAACGTTTAAACAAAGTGATCCAAGATGAGGCCGGAACCCACACAAATACTGCCAATTACACAAAGTATTCACCAAAAGGAAGACCAGGTTTTAATTTAACTAGAGCCCGATGGCTTGGAAACTTCAGAAATTCCTGGAATGAAAAATTAGGAGGAAAAAAAAAAAAAAGAGAACCGCTTTTGCCTATTCTGGCATGAGCCAAGGGCAAATGGCTCCTGGCTGTGAACATGCAAGGTGTGTTTGCTGACTCGCATAGATTAAGAGCATTTTAGTCTTCTTTACGTTATTTCCCACATCCACATTCTCTAGAGAGGAGGGACAGTAACACAGCTATTATGCTAATGGAAAATTCATTTATACAGGACTTCCCGCAGACCTGAAAAAATGAGAAATGTTATCCAATGCATTCCCAGCCAAACTTCCTCCTGAAGTGAAAAATCTTTCCCTCTGATAAGCAAGTTGTGTCAGACCACATTTCTGTCCCTGACAAAAGGATCACTCTCCCTTGGCTTGCTCTAGTCTTGGCAGCGGTGCTCAGCAGAACCACGCTGCTATTCCCAGATATTCACCACACTTAACAGAGCCACTGGCTTATCTTTGACCCGAACAATAAAATAAAAATGAACTACACGCAAACACGAGCTAGCAGTTACTGTGGGTAACACCACCAACCTCAGCTCTGAGGCGGCCAGCTCTCCTTCGGGTTAGAAATGCCATCAGTCACCTAACAGTTCATTAACCCTCCCCTCCCCTTTCTTTTTTATTTTTTTTTTTAACCTGTCCAGACACAGATATCTGCAGTGTTCTCCACTGCTGCATGTACACACATTACAGCAATATCAGCGAGGTTTGCTAGCTTCCCCTTCTTCCCTCAGATGTTCTTCCTGTACCAGGAGGAAATAAAAAATAATAATAATAATAAAAAAGAAAGAATGTGGTGGGATACTTTCACTCAAGCATTGAAAGTCTGTGCCTTTCAGGTGCCTTTGTTTCTAATCCATTGGCAGCTCATCCAAGGATATAGACAGCTTCTTAGCAACCTTCTAAAGCATTTAGGGGTGAAACTACCAGGCACAACGTGGTGGCGTGCCTCCAGCTTCCTAGGCAAGGTGACAGAAACAGCTGCGGTACTACCGACCTTTTCTCAGCTTGCCACCCTTTGGCAAAAAACAATGTATTAATTCATGAAGAATATTATATTATCATGGCCATACTGCACTTCTACCCTCACTGCTAGTTACCACTGACAGGTTATCATGCCATGAAGATGTCTTAAGCAATCCCTACCATTCAAGCAAAGGTGTAATGCTACAGCTTTACCATAGTACTGCCCAAATCAGCATTTGGCCATGAGAGGGAAGAGCATAACCTAGGATGTGTCAAGTCCTTACCTGCCTTCTCTAGAACAAAAAAAAAGGCAGCTGCAGGCCACCACTATGAATAACCTTAAAAGCATTCAAGCTGTTTAGCTTAATGGTTGAATACCTGTATCTGGTAAAAAGGTCAGGGCTAATTTTGTGGGAAATGATGGGATAAATCCAAGAATTCCAGGCACAACTGTAATACCTACATTGATTTTCTCTCAAACTTCCATATCATCTGTAAAAGTAAGGCAGTCCTATTTGATAACTGAAGATGAACAGAAAGAAAAAGACCATGCCAAATCAAAAACATTAGAGAATAAAGTCCTCTCCTTGTCCTGGAAAGTTACGCAGGATACCACTAGCTGTCCTGTAGACCCACGAGTGCATCCTCACACCCTGTGGAAGGACGTTGCAGGGATAGGTAGGCTGGTAGTGGGGAACAGATAAGGAAGAGTGGCCTGCCAAATCTGGGTGTCACAGTTTGACTCAGCACAGCAGATGAAGTCTAAAATTAAATGTCTGGTGTCCCAGTCTTGCTCCTGAAGATACGTTTTTCTTATCTAACTCATTTACATGCTACTTACTGATGAAGCAATGTCAGCTCAGGACATCTAAATGCCTCGAGGGCTTGGCCCACTCAACTCTACTTGGTTGTAACACTTTGCCCCTGCCTGCTGCAGGGCAAGCACCTCATGCAGGTAATTACTCAGTAGTTGACCTGCAGTAGCTTTTTACACCACTGCCTATTTGCAGGCACCCACTGTTCACAGTAAATCTAATCCAACATCATTTTCCTCATTACATCCTGGTGTGTGTGTCATGGGAAATAATTGTATGAGGCAGCACAGTAAATCTACAAGGACTGGCTTGCAACTTGCACACCTTCCTTCTTCCCATGTTCTAGTTCCAGTGTTAGTCCAGGACATATCACAACGGGTAGAACTGGTGTGGAAGGGCCTGTGAGGAATAGCAGGGCATGCAAGACAAAGGAGATGACAGGGTTATAGCAGGACTCAATGTGTCCATGATACAAGCTCTCAGGAGTCCAAACTGAACACATTAAAATTCCTCAAGAGCTTTACAATCAAATTTGCCATTTGAGTTTCTCATCTCGCAGATTCCTTAGACTTAGGCCTATGGCTGGAGTATAGTTTTAGATTCCCCACTGCCTTTGTCCTAACACACTTTCCTGCGCCATCAAAAGTGCATAAAGGGCTTTCAGACTTTACATCCTCCGTATGTAGTGGGAGAACACAGTTTCAGAGAACAAGAGTTACATGAAGGTTCCTTCAGCCTTATACAGAATAAGAATCACCTGATGAAAAACCAAGAACAGGGTTGTGAGGCATTAGAATGGGCTGCCCAGGGAAGTGGTGGAGTCACCATCCCTGGAGGTCTTTAAAAGACATTTAGATGTTGAACTTAGCGATCTGGTTTAGTGGAGGACTTGTTAGTGTTAGGTCAGAGGTTGGACTCGATGATCTTGAGGTCTCTTCCAACCTAGGCAATTCTGTGATTCTATGATTATGAATTAAGTGACTTAAGTGCCCTGTGCTATAGATCAGAGAAATGCAATTAAACCTTGGGCTCGATGTTTTGAATTGTAAGGCTATACTAGAAACAGCTTAACTAAGCCCTTTGTGTTCAGAAAATCAGCCTTGCCTACATAGATCTGAAGTAGTCTTTATTTACAGGTCTCACCATGAAGGAGGAAGAAGAGAGGAAGAATGACAGCATTGTGTTTCAAAGCCAACAAACCATATAACATGTCCTTTGGGAACTACATGCGGTATAACTGCTGGTTATTTTATATAGCTTTCATACAGAGTATCACAAGTCACCGTATGATCACATAAACAGTAAGGATTATGAAAGCTTAGTAGGAAAGTATTATTTGGCATGTGGTTTCAGATTTACTCTTATTCAAAGAGGCTGAATGTTTTCATGCTACTCCATGGAGGCAGCAAAAAGCCCAATAACAGAACCCTTCTTTTTGCAGGCAACCCATGCTCATACAAGGGATCCCACTGTCATGAGCAGATGACTTCTGGTCAACTTAAGTGGGCAAAAGACACAGGACTAAGAGACAGTAGCTTCTGTCCTGAATGAGTTACTCTGGGAAGTACCTTAGGGTGTCACCAAAAACTGATTCTGAGATAAGGTAACAATGGAAATTTGAGGCAGCCTATAGGGAAAAAAAAGGGGGGGGGGAGGGGGTTACACCTGAATCAGTGACTTGTTCTCTGTTTTCTTCATATGGGTGAGAACAGTTTTGACAAAAGCAGCACCCATTCCCTTTCCTCAGGTGGCAGCCACAAGCTCTTTCTTATACTGCCAGTATGAAGAAACAAGGGTTATTGATAACGTAACGTGAATTTTTGCTAAGACTGAATTCAGGAATTCCTCCTGTCTGTATATGCAATTAAGAGTGGAGTCAAACACAAGGATAGGGTCCTTCCGTACTAATGCCAAGGCACTGTGCTAACCTCAGTGTAATGGAGATTAATTTTAAAGGGTCTCGGAAAGAACTGCACTGAGAAGGATGGGACACGGTTCTGCTATCAGAAACAGGCTTACAGAAATAATCAAAGTGGAGGACTTGAGCAGTGGGAGACAGAATCAGTGCAGACATGAAATGCAAAAACCCTAAGAGACAGAAAACAGAGAAGAACAAGAGTTACAAACACCAAGGTAAGGAAAGTCCCTTGTTACTTCACCAAGTGCAAGTGAGAAACTGTGCCAACCTGAGAGACATTGATCGTAGTTAGGTTCCTATTTGTGAAACACAACTTTGGTAAAAGGATTGGAAAATTTTGTCTAGGGAATAGCTGTCTGGTCTGTTCAGCTTCTTGGTAGAAAGATACTGAGTTACTTGAAATTTGTGTCTCCAAGCTGCTTGCATGCTCTGGGAAGACTTAAGAACTTGGACATTCCTTCCACTGAGCAGACTGATAGGGTTCAAAGCATATTTAACCATGAGCTGTGCTACAACTGGGTGGAAAATATTAATCAACTCCAGCCATCTAGGGAGACTGTGGTTATCATGAAGAATATGTGGGACACTCATGCAAGAATTTTTTTTTTTCCCTGCAAACTGGACAAGCTCTCCTAGAGTTTATCTGCCCCAACTGCATGCTTTTGAAAAGGAAAAAAAAAAAAAAAAAAAAAAAAAAAAAAGGAAAAAAAGCTAGACTAAATGAGTACTTTCAACTAGAGCTAAAGGTAAACACTCCATTGGAACTTTGCCCTAATCAATAGTAGCAATGTTCATGTCACATGAGAGTCAGAGGATAGAATATGGTGCTTACTGCAGTCAGCAAATAAGCTAATTATACTTAGCCTGCTTGAAGAAGGGGACAAGTGAGGTCTGGTCCACCCACATATTAATGCAATCATCATTATCCTTATCCCTTGTTTGCTCTGCGCTTATATTGGAAAAAAAAAAAAAAAAAAACTTGTCCCAAACGGAGGGTGCTACTGACCCCTTGTGGGAGAAATACTCCGATGTTTTAGGGTGCACGAGTGTCACTGCCTAAACCAGCTCAGATTTAAGTTCATATACTGAACTCCCACAGGTTTATTGCTAAAGAAAATTTAGTAAAACGGTGTCATAGTTTTGAGAGAGGTCAGTATAATCTCACAAGGGTATTTTCCTGACCTCATGCTGTTTTGCAGGAGCTAAATTTTGTATTAACTTCTCCAGGGCAGTCAAGCAAGCTTAAGCAAACGATAGCTGTAAGAAGTACATTTCACACTGAATTTCCTACAACTTTGTTTTGCATTGTCACAGAACAAAAGTTTTACGTTATCAGCTGACACATTTCTTGGTTCCTAATATGATTAAACCTATTTCAGCACATCATAGCATTGCCCTCTAGAGACTGCTTTTTAGAAGAATTTCTGAGTATCTCCTGGTAAGCCTGGCCATACTCCTCCTTCACTGCAAAGGGAACAAAGTGCTTAAATCCCTCAAGTAACTTCCAGACAAAAGCTTTTCATAAGCACCAGTAACAGCATTGATAGGCTTCATTCTTTAAAAAAAAAAAAAAAAAAAAAAAAAGCTTTCCAGTGCATGCTGCTGTATTGACTTGAAATAGGCTGTATGAAGCATGAAAATTAGATCTTCAACAGCATCATTCCTGACTGAAATTATCTTTCCATATTGTGAAGAACCAAGTCTGTTAAGGAAACCTCTCTCTTTTTTTTTTTTAATCAAATACTGCTGCTAACATTTCTCCCCTGAATAAGATGAAGTACACTCATGAAGAACCACCCTCGGCATTTACTAAACATCAAATCTGAAGGAAATCTCCACAGTCACATTTTTCCTGCCTTAAACATGCTGCATATTGGAAACAGCTTGAATTAATTAGGAGTGCAAGGTGCATTAAGATACAGAGTGGCATGTTTGTAAACTGCCCTTTCTTTTGGGTCTACCACCCTTCTCAGTGTGGAAAAAGCCTTCTCAAAATCTACAAACATCAATGTCTAACACCAGCCACACCCACCTTGACCAACATTAGGGGCTGAAACCGTAGAGACCACAGAGACCACATCCTAAAGCCTTTAGTAAAGCCATTGCCATCACTTGCAGTGCAGCAGGTATTCTGCTGCCAAGCCTCTCCCTGTCATATCTGAAAAGTCCTGGCAGTCAGGCCATGTGGTGACTGGAAAAGAGAAATATCACTCCCATTTTTGAAAGGATAACATGGAGGATTTAGGGAACTACCTACCGGTGAGCCTCACCTCTGTACCTGGAAAGCTCATGGAGCAGATCCTCCTGGAAGCAATGTCAAGGCACATGCAGGACAAAGGTGATCCGAGACAGCCCGCACGGCTTCACCAAGGGCAAATTGTGCCCGACCAGTCTGGTGGCCCTCTAATGATGATGGAGTGACTGCATCAGCTGACAAGGGAAGACCGACCAATGTCATCTGCCTGCACTTCTGTAAGGCCTTTGACACAGTCCCACATGACATCCTGGTCTCCAAATTGGAGAGAGATGGATTTGACGGGTGGCCCATTCAGTGGATAAGGAATTGGCCTGAAGGCTGCACCCAGAGAGTTGCGGTCAATGGCTCCATGTCCAGGCGGAGGCCAGGGACGAGCGGTGTCCCTCAGGGGTCTGTCCTGGGACCAGTGCTGTTTTGCTGAGTCCGATTGATTTTGTTACCTTTAGTTAAATAGATATATTTCTGAATGTATCCATTAAATTGAATCCTAAAAGCATAAACTTTGGTGCAGTAAATGCTGTCTCAGAGAATGTGAGCTACTATATCTGGCAGGAGATTTTTAAGTGATCCCATTCATATAGCCAGATCCGTAAAGGTTGTTCACGAACAGGATGGAATCGAACACAAATTTAACAGCAACTCTAATTAGTATAATGAATTGTGTACAGATACAAAAATTTGCACATAAAAAAAGGTTAAGGTCAAACTTTTTGTTGTTACAACATAATCTGCATTTGTACTTCTGCTGTGTTGTTTAAAAAATATTTGAGTATCTGGAAAATTCAAAGGCACTCAGCATTTCTGATGTTGCTGTAAACTCACTCTTCAGTGGTATATTCTAAAGCACCAGAATGTTTTGAGCTTTGGATTACAATCTCCCTCACTAGATAAGGTCTGGGGTCTTTAAAAATTACCTGCCAAGAACTCACAGAGTTACCAGACATTTGTTCAGGTATACAATTTTCTATTTCTGTGGCAACATCTAACTTCATTACAAGTAGAATCAAATTAAATGAGCTAAAAAAAACCCTTCCCAATGACGTGTGCACAGAAATCAGTAATAATTCTGTCTCATTACATCTTCAAATCAAAGCTATTGAAAGCCAGTGTGTATCTTATATAACAAGTTTTATTAACCATACAGTACATTAGCATTTCTCTTGAAAAGCTTAGACCTTGCTAAGCAGTTTTAATGAAAGCAATTATATAATGCTATCTGCATACAGAAACCCACTACATTCACACAGACAACCTTAAATTTCTCCAATAAACAGTCATGTCAAAAGCTACAATTTACTGAAAATACAAAGTTGGTTTTAACAGAAGCAAAAATGTTCCTGTGGTTCAGTGAAACCTGTTTTGTAATACGAATAATTTGCATTCCTGAAGACATGAGGCTTGGGACAAAAAGTATTTCCTAGAAGCTTAAAATGAGACATTTTTGATAACATGAAATGGCATGCAAACATAAGAGATTTGTTGCTGATTCTCTTTCTTAAAAGAAAAAAAAAAAAAACAAAACAAAAAAAAACTTACTGGGCCAGAATAAAGCAGGCATTTTTACACGTTGGTTTATACAATAACCTCTCCCTTGACACCAAAGACATCCCCTACAGAACATTTTGTCAGCTCTCTTTCCCACAAATGCTGCTTCTGTACATTCGTACACTATGCCCTTCAGAGCCCCAGGACTGGTGCAACAATGACACAACTCACAGGAAGCTTAGCAAAACCTAATATTGCCGATTTCCTTTACAGAAAATATGTACTAGCATATAAATCCATGGCAGGGGCATTTCAGTTCTATGAACAGAAACTCCTCCAAAGATACTTGCACTCTGTAAGGACTCGACAGCTGCTGCCCATCACTTAGTTCTACCAAGGCACTGTACAGTCACCGCATCCACAGTATTCCCCACGCTGTGCTGAAGAATATTGTGAATTTCTTTAAGTTGTTAAAAAGCCCTGAGTCAGAACTTTTTTTTTATTTGTTTGTTTTTAACCACAGGCTCAGCTATAAAACCTCTAAACTTTTTTTTTTTTAATTCTAAAACTTCTGTGATAAGTTTTGTTTTGTCAGCACAAACAAGGTACGAAATGCATAAAAAGACAAGAGTACGGATTCCAGCAACTTCTGCAAGAATAATATACAATGTACACTGTGGCAAATCATACAGCTCGGTCATATGTAATTTATACAGTCAGTAAAAACCATTCGCAATGAATTCAGACATGGAAACTGATGAAGCAAAATAAAACTGAAATGTTCCCCATCCTTTCCCAAAGACAAAGAATAACCAGCAAAGAATTCAATACTTTGACAGAAAGGAGGTAGCCTGACTAAAAGTTAGGATGGAGTGATATTTTAAGTGAAAACTTACGTAGCACAAAGAACAGTATAGGCTTTTCGGTTCATCAGCTGCTACTGGAAGAGTAAAATTAAGTTTCTGACACGTAATGTGCAGTATTACAGAAGAAGCTTAGACAGATCACTAGCCCAAAGCAACTTCTTCAAACAATGTAGTGTTTACCAACACTGCAATACTGCTAGAAATAAGTACGCATACATAAAACTTCATCTCTAGAAAATAGCTACACGATAAAGACTTATATTATTTTAAAAGACCATTTCACGTCTTTAGAAGAAGCTAAAATACTGATTGTAAGACTATGCTAACAAGGCACAAGTACTTGTGCAAATCTGCTAGATCCTTACTCAATTCAAGTTAAGAGCAATAGTTCCTAATCCATCTTTCTTATTTACAAAGTAACTTCTTTATTCTCCTGCCTAATTTTTCAGTATGCTGAAAATCGGATTCCTCCAAATCTTAACATACCAGCAGAGAGTATTTCAACAAATGCAAGGCATGGACCAATAGCCCCAATTCTAAAAAAGTGCCAAATCAGTTCAACAGGAGCTTGGGTACAGCAAATGATATGCAGAAGGTTGGGAAAAAAACAATAACCACACAAAAGTTAACAAGCTACAACTATTTAGCATGTTGTATTAGCCTTTTAGGTTGTCTCCATACCCTTAAATCACCGTGCACTCATGTGACCATTTATGTATTTCACTAAATTGAAAAAAATGCTGTAACCATCCGTACATACCTCACATCTGAACAATATTTATTATCAGGTGTCTTCTTGATTTGCTTGGGAAACAAGTGGAGATATTATATCCGATTTAATTTCAAAACTGCTATTAAATATTAGGGGACAATCTTAAGAAACAAAGCCTGCAACCTTTAAATTTTAGTGTATCAGAGGCAAATGCCTTACGCACTTTTCATCTCATTTTCACTTTGCTCCCCAATATTAACGATAATAATGAGATCTATGCTTTCATCTCCTGCTGAAGACAGATGCACGATGACATACCCTCAACTTTCCTGTTTGCTACCTATGATCCTCTTTGGCTTTCCAATCAAGCTTCTGTTTTTCATCCTCCGTGTTTAAGCGTTACCCAATTGAACATTTGCACCCTGTGCACGTTGCCCAGGTGAGCCAAGACTCATGGGACTGGATGAGCTCGGTAGCTGCCTCAGCAACACCAGGTCACCTTGGGCAGTCAGAATCCAAGGATGATGTGTGAATCTACAGATCTGTCCTAAGTAACACTGGATTTGCAAGTATTTTTCTGAAGTCTTTTGAAAGGCAAGTAGCGTAGTTAGTAAGCAAGTGTGTTAGTTAGTTTACCTTGTTTTTTTTTTCTAATTGAGCTGTTTCTCTTAATATCTTGATAGAATTGAGTTAAATCCCCAACATTGAGATATTTTAATTTCATCTGCCACACTACACCGTCCAATGGGTCCAGTTACTAACTTTTATGCAGTCACATACACCTGGCGTGACTGCAGCACAGAAGCCTGGAAATGCTCCTACAGCGATACCTTCAGTCACTGTGCCTACATCCATATGACTGTGATAACATGCACATATTAAGAGTGTTATAAAGTAACTTACAGCTTCTCTGTCGTAAAGTACAAGCCTAACAGCCTTACCTACTCATGCTACTATCTGCCTCCCACAGACCCCGAGTGTTTAACATTCAACTCCAGTTTTCCACACAGGATGCTTTAGATCAGTTCTTGCTCAGGTGAATTATTCAATTTTTAATACGAAGTTGAACTACTTTCAAGTAATTCTGACTTCTTCCAGTGAGAAAGAATTAGGAAAATGTCAGCTGCTATTGAGGTTTCAATTTTGAGCTGCATTATCATGAAGAAATCCACCCTGCCTTTGTGCTGAACATATAGAGAGGTTCCCTTAAAGGATAAATAAGAGACAATATTCCAAATGTGTCTGCCAGAACTGGAGGAAACTGAGGTACAGATCCAATGCATTCCAGAACAAAACTCAGAAGGGATGGACAAATGGCATGTCTTATGACCGTATCATGTTTGGAGGAACACTGACAGAAGCTGAAGCCTACTGTAGACAGTTCAATTGCCAAACACTACCAAAAAAAAAAACAAACAGTGTTAGTGACATACACATTGTCCAAACAAAACCAGTACTGAACACTTGTGTGCAATCAGAGCCTAAGTGGAGATAGTGAAATAATGAAGTGAAAAAAGCCTTTTATCAAAAATTTTCCAAAGCTCCTTGAAATCTTGGTATTTTAGAACAGGGACCAAAGCAAGAAAAGGGAGGGCTATTCAATTTGGTCAAGATGACAAATACATAGATTATTTAAGAACAAATGACTACTAGTATACAAAATTAAACAGGATGTTATGTTGATTCCAGATAATGATTGTGTCATCAAAAGACTGAGATTAATTTAAAAAGAGATCAGTTTTATTCTTTATGCTTATTTGAATCTTCCCCTGAACTACCCCTTTTGCCATATTTTTGCCATATGCAATCAGAATGGAATCAGAAATTCATCTTAGCTGCAAGGGAGGCACCTGAATGACTCCAGGTTATATTTCTTTGTTCTGCATTCAAACAAAGCCAGCACAATGGCAAAGGGCTACATAAACTGCACTCTGTTAAATAATCTGCTGAATCTCTTAGGAGTAAAGCCCACATTCCTGTTAGCTGCAAGCAACCTTTAAATCAGTATACTTTCTTCTACCCAAAAAGACAGAAGGTACTTGTTAGCAAAACGTTAAGTTTGAAGCCCTCACAGTACTACTTTCAGGTCCATGAATACATCTCAGTCACATCAGTGAAAGCAATCTCCCTCAGCTGACTTCAGCTCACCTAAGCATGGCTCAAAATTAACTGCTCTTCCAGCAATATTCTGAATTGCAATATTACCTATTAATAGTTTGTCACTAATGTTCTGGTATAACACCCAGCACAGATGAATAAGCTGTATTAAATCTTTGCTTTTGCTCTTGATACCCTTCGCCTGGAGACAACACAACTGATTTAAGAGAGGAAAATAATACGTAGCTTGCTTCATACTTCGTAAGATACAACATTACAGATTAACTTTTGCAAACTTCATCTCTGTTTTTTCTAATTTGTAGACCCAGAATATTTAAATGGCCCTACATATATATTTGTTCCCCCACAACTGACCAAATTCACTCATTTGAAACAGATCAACTGACCCACTGCTCCTATGTTTTACTATCCAACCAAGTTAAAAGCAGTTCCATATGTAACTGTGTGGCTAGCAGACCCAAGAAGTTCACTAGTTACATTACCTTGAACCTGTTACACTAAAGTGCAGTTTGAGGAATGCAACATCTCCAAACTACTTGTTTCTTTTTTCCTGTTTCTTTCCCAACCCATCCTCAGAAAGGGCACATTAAAGTTCAAATTAGCTTAACATTGTATTTTGAGGCCTGGTCTTAGTGAAATAGTAGAATATTTATTATTACTGTTTACGCACTTTGTAATGACTTTGCGTTATTGTGTATTTCAAGATAACAATTCTTGTGAATCGTAACTGTCACAGGAAATCTGAACGTTTTCCAGAAAAGCGTTAAACAAAAAGCACTACATATTTATATCCAATAATAACTGACAATATATTAAAAAAGGGGCAAAAAAGTACATTGCTTGACACCTTATACATACATTACAAAACATGAAATAAACCAAAACAAGATTGTCCCTTTACACTTTAAGGGGAAGAAAACAACAGAAAGAAAACTAAAAAAAAGACTGCTGTAAATTAGCTTCAGGCTCAGATCTTAGTTTTAAGAGTAAAGTTAAAAGCTGACTGTTCAAATACTGTTCTATTATTTGGTGTGTTCACAGTCTTTAAAGAATTACCATGTAATGAACCTGTGCTACAGTATTAGAAATGTTTTCTTTAGAACCTTTTACTGCCTTTCAGACTTGCAGAGATTTAAATCATTCAGATGTCCTTATTATTCATGAACTATCACTGGTTCGTTCCACTGTTTAATACAAAAGGATCCTTCGTTCGATTGCCTTGCGGCATATCGGGCATTCGCTCATTCGGTCTCCACAAAGCTGACATGTTCCATGGCCACAGAGAAAGATCATATTCTTCAGACGGTCCAAACAGACAGGACACATGGTCTGTAAAAGATTTTGACAGATTACATAGTCAATGACAGCACTGATGCAGTATTGAGAATGCAATAGATAAATTACTGAAAGTTAACAATAAATATGCCATCTTAAGCATAACAGATTATTGGCATAGCATAACCCAGCGACTGAGCATATATTCCAAAACCTTATTATTATTTTTTAAAACATACATTTTTACATCACATTGATCTAAAGTTTTGGGGCTTTTCATGACACAAAAATTGTGCTTTTTGTTGCTTTTGTCTGCTTTCTGTTCTTGGTGTTTTTTGTTTTTGTTTTTTTTTCTTTCCTCAGATATGATCTCCAACTAAGGCAACCAAGTAGCAGGTTGATACCAAATTTTCATTATCATCACCTAAATTTGCAAAATTAAGACACTATTCAGCAACATTCCCTTTTACATGATGTAATCTTTCAGGGAACAAAAAGCATAAAATTTTATGTCAAGCAATGCTCAGGTAAATGATTTACCAATTCATTCTCAGGCTCCCTACCTAGCTAATCAGGTACTTACCTTTACAGAAGACGCACTAAACATATGCAAAAAACAATAAAAATGCTGCATAATCAATATTACATGTAAACATTCAATTCTGATAATTGAAGTCTTTACTAATGGAAATAATCTACATTTTCTACGAAAAGAATACCAAGTTGTATATGAAGAGCAATTAATAAGTCAGTAACCTTCAGTCATAGCAATAGCACAGCAAACTTTTAAAATCCTTTTTAATTGATGAATATTAAAGTGACAGCCAATGCCCAAAAAGATCTAAAGCTCTTCAACAGCAAAGTTTATTTTGTACTGAATGAATAAGGAACAATGTCCTTCACCTGTCATATGTAGAAATTGAGGTTTTTGTAAGGCATGTTCCTTCACCATAAGTATATTGCAGCATATCTTATATTAGGATTTCATCTTAAGATGTTTATCAAAGGTTAGTAAATGAATAGATATTTAACATATGATAATTGTTAATATTGTTCTACAGTCCAACAAATCCCATCTATGATGTGCTCAGATCTGAGACTTAAGAATGTATATTTTATATATAATATGAAATCCTAACAGGTACAAGACTTCAACCACAAACTCATTTTATTACTGCCTTGCACTTGTGACTTGTTTCCATACTAACTGCCGGGAGTTTACTTCAGTTTGTTCATTTTTGAGAGATACAAGCCATACTAGGAACCCAGTCCAGTATAATCTTAATACATAGTTTCTATGGAATTAATAGATATTACTTTCTAGGGTTGATTGCTTAGATGAAGACAAAAATAAAAATAAATAAATAAATACATAAGTAAATAAAACAGAGCTGAAATTTGCATGGAATTTGACCACATGCCTATTTTGATTTCCAGGATATCAGTATAATGTGCTAACAGATATGTAAAACTGCCTGATAAAACCTCATGTCAATTTGTTATATAAAAAAGGATACAAAAAAAAAAACAACAAAAAACCCCACAACATTCAACAAACACCATGCTCCAGTTTTGCTAGAATTTCTAAACTATCATACCGAAACAGTCTCAGAAACTAAAAATTCATAAAAATTCAAAAATTCACTGTCAGTCCAGCTTATCTTTCCATTCACACCTCATCATCATCTACACTTCCCAATGGAAAAATTAGAGCTTGCTTCTGTCAGTAACCTACCGTCTTCAGTATGAATGGAACAGCTATCAGTTTCCAATGAATATGCAGTTGTCCTGTGACAAGTATCCATAATCTAATACCATTAACCTGATGTCCTTTGATAAAGGACTGACAAAGCAAGAAAAAAAAAAAAAGAAAAAAAAACGCAGCCCTTATTCTATGTTCTTAGCTTAATTATTTGCCATTGTGTCTAAATATAATGTTAGAATTACTGAAATTAAATTCCCTGTTTTTCTCCAAAATGCTACTTGAATATTTGAAAAATGAAAACACCCATCAAGGGATACAAAAAATATCTTTTCAGACACTGTTGCTTCTGATGAACTAATTCAGTGAAACACAGAAATACTAAGTTTCATTTTCTAGATCTCTTCCGCAATTGCATATGCAGTATTAGCAAATTGCCCAGTTTCTCCTGCTCAGTACAAACGTGGAATATTTAAAATACATGAATTGTTTTATTCCTTAATATGATACTATTTTAACATTTATGCTACTTCATAAAGTAGGAAAATTATTAGTAGCTTTCATTACTTAACTACCTGTTCATATGCACTTTTACAGGGGATTAAAGTTCATTATATGCCTTACAGTCAATTTGTGCCACAGCAACAGGAAATAAGCAGACTCTATTTCCAATAGTTTGCTAGAGTGTTCTCTGTATGAAATCACTTTTTACATCTTTTACACGTGTGAATCATTTGACTACCGTCTTCTGAAGGAAAACAAATCACATAAAAAGGCACTGTATCTGTTATATATAATAATAACTTCTACGGGTAGTAAAAGTAGGTCTGAAAAAGCATTCATCACACCTTTAATTATAGCTTGGCCTGATAACTCAAATAAATCAATTTTTACCACTAACAAGATGTTTTAAACTGCTTGAAATATTTCCTTATTACTAAAAGCATTTTCTCCAACAATATACAGGTGGCACAGTGACAAAATAAATTGATTTTTAAATAGAAAGAAAGTGATGTAAGTATGGTGAAGGAACATACACAAGGTATTAGATAGATGATGATGATTATGTATGAAATGGGGTGAAGGTATCACAATTACAGTCAAAAGGGTTCACATTCAGGGAATCCCTGAAGAATGGTGTGGTCGTCAGATGTGGGAGATTCAGCTGACATCAGGCATCACTTCTGCTTGGCACGAGAAATGGTTTTAAAAGCTTGCTGCACTAACATATTAGATTATCATTGAAGGTATGAGTTGAAACAGGTTTATACCTGCTGAAAGAGAACAAATTAATTTTAAGTACAAAACTATCATTGTAACAAAAAGAGCGAACTGTTAAAGCACAAAGCAAAAGAATACATGACTGAAGTCGAATGCTATGCATCAATTCAGGCATAAATTTAAAAGATCAGATGACTAACTGTAATCAAATCCTACTTGCTACTCTTAAGTGTGACACAAAACTTGCTCCTCACTCAAATAAGCTGAAAAGACAGTAAGCAAACAAGAAAGCTCTCAAGCCAAAATCTGCACAAGAATGACCAGAACCATCTCTTCCTGGTCAAACAGGTATTGAATATTCACCTGTTTGATACTTATTTAAAAAAATAAAAAATAAATATTAATGGACAAAGGGACATTTCAAAGTAAAGGAATGGACCTCAATTCTCAAAGCATTCCAGTATTACATCTTTCTTACTACTGCAAATATGAAAACCAGAAAATACAAGTAGAGAATAACATGTATAAAATAATTATTCTTTTCTCCCTAATACAACATAACTTTCTGATATTAGCTCCTTGCTATAGCAACTCCCTAGAGTAAGACAAAATTATTATGAATAAAAGAGCACCTTATGAGAACTGAAAAAAAACAACTGAGATCACATCTAATCAAGGAGAAAAACTGTAAAATGAAGTAGTTTTTCTTTCACATCCCTCCATTAAAAAAATATTACCATATCCAAACAGAACTCAGATCATTTATAAACTCATAAAATAAAGTAACCAGAAAAAAAAAATACATCTGAAGAAAACAGATTACTTGGATTAGAGCATTCATCTGCATGTTTGGATCTATCATTTTAAATGCCAAAGCAGTAACCTTATTATCAACAAAGTTACTCTTTTCATCCAACGATGTTATAAAAAGTAAAACTGAAATAAAACAGCAGATCTAAGAAGTCACAGATCTGCAATAGCTCCAGATGTTACCGTTGAGGAAGACATGCATTTCTCAAATGACAATTTTTAATCTGCATGTTCTTTTGCAGACACAAGCTATGAAAGAGTATGCTTTTAATCAAATATTAGAACTTTAATGCTACTAGGGTCTTGGACAGCTCTCCCTATGACAGGAGCAGGTTTTCACCGACGTCACCAAGATTAAAATTCGACAGTATATCAGCTCTCAAATATAAGGCATTTAGGTATGGGTCCTAGAACTAGTGACCCAAAACTTCAGTCTTAACTTTCATGCACATGAACAGCTGAGAGTAACAACCATCTCAGCTAGATGTGATGAAGTACTGCAGACTGCTTTAAGCCTCCAAGAAGAAGAGGAAAGTAGTATAACAAGAAAGTTTCTCTGTCTCTTATACCCATTAAAACATTTTTTTTCCAATTATGTTATATGGAAGTCAAAAATCACATATCAGGGTTCTCCTCTAAGACAGTAAGTTCATACAGTAGTCCAATACCCAAGTCTTTTACTGCTGAAAAATAACAAATTTTCATTTGTTCAGATGGAAAAGGTTTAAAGGTTGGACTAGATGATCTTACAGGTCTTTTCTTACCTACCTGATTTTAGGATTCTACATGATTCTAAAAGCAATGAAACCCTGTAGTGATTTACCACAAGAAAAGTCCCGCATGTAGACAGCACTTCAATAGTATTTCAATAATTCTCACGAAACTAGACTTAGAGGCATAACAAATCTAAACAGATGGCTCTCAATTCTCTGAAACATTAATTTTGAGGTGTTTTGTTTTTATTAGGTTTCTAAATGGCATGCAACTTAATTAACCAATGAATTATCACTATAGCCAATATAAGTAGATTTCCACCTGCAAATATGATGCATAATTACAAAAGAAAAAAACTCTCATTTACATTCTAAATATTCAAATTATGTACTTACACCCCATGGATTTCATTTTTCAACCAGACACAAATTGTTTTAACAGTACATAAACTAGATGCTACAGCTAAATGCCAGCCGCTGTTCAAAGGCACCTCGTGAACAGACAAATTCAGGTTTGGCTCGATAAAGAGCAGTGAAGAATATCTACTTTCATCAGTGTTCTGTGAGAACAACAACTGCTGTAGCTAGTACATTCAGTCAGCTCAACAAGCATGGGACACTTGTTTTTTGTTTTTATTTTTAAATCTGTACACAGAAGACAAACGAACATCATAAAAAATATTGGTTAACTAAAATTTAAGAACTGAGTAACTTCAATGTGTTATTTTGTTTTAAATAACAGAAGATGCATCGGCTTTTTAATTGGCTTAAGTTACCTTAGTGGTCCATAAAATTTTTATCTAGCACTTTTACCTGTTCCTTGATGTCTTGTAACTGTTGCTGCAGCTTCTGTACATCTGCATTGACATTAGTGTTGTCTTTGTCTTTCTGCATAACTGGAATGTTTCCACTTGCTGTAATTTAGAGAAAATAAAGATATGCGATTACGTCTAATGAAACAGGAATAATTATTTCCAGAACACTAGCTATAATTTTTCAATTATCTAAAATAATGTCATTCAAATAGATTTGATCATCTAATTTAATTCACCATAACCTCACTGCAGCTCAATTCCTGAAGAACTTTTGAGTTTTGTAGCAACAAAGTTGGCAAATATTTCCTCAGTAACAATGCTCAAAATGCCTCTAAGCACCTTAGTGTTTTCAGAGTTATTTGTCAGTGATGCTCCTTCAGTGAAGTTTAAAAAAAAATAAAATCAAGCAGAGCCCTTTCACTCTGAAAAACCCTTTTTATCCACATAGCTGATTCTATTTGGTGATCAAATCTATACACAAGTATCATGGAAATAGTTTGGTTAAATTCTAAAGCAACTCAGGTTATGTTTTGTCTTTGATTGATCCAGGAAGCGATGTTGCTATATAAAACCAAAAAATCGAGAAGTAATTCATATGACAAATTTCAAATTTACAACATATTAAAAGCCTGATTTTAAGGATTATACTTCTCCATTTAGGCATAGTGTGAAAAGAATGACTTAACATTCCTATTCAGATAAAATTAAATTCAAACACTGCATACCACACGTGTAGTCCATAAAAATAATTCATAGAAATTACTCAAAAAAGTCACAAAAAGTTTTAGAAAATCAAAGCAGGTGATGTAAAACTGAACAATGTCATGGAAACTGCTTATATCTAGATGCTAAACAGTTACTATTTCTTTATTAGTCAGACAGTTCCAGAAATAAAAATAATACATGTATGGACTCTCATGCACAATCACAGTCAATCTTCAGCTTTTTCTTTGTAGGTCATTAATAAGTTGCCAAGAAGGCATGTATGTTTCAGCTTCTACTCTGGACAATGTAGGCAGTCCTTTAGAGAAATGGTTGGTGCTATCGTAGCATTGATACCAATACAGAAGGAGGCAGCATGAACAGATAACGGATACATGGCTATTAAACTTTTCTTCAAAAAGAAAAGGAAAGATTTAGGTCATTTCAAAGAATAAGAAAGGAAATAAGAAGTTGTTTGAGGGAAGGGAAAGAGTATGGGTCTTGGAGTCACTCACAAATATCATCAGTGGTATCTTCTGTACCTTTCCCTCCGCAGCACATTATGAAAGGCACTCTTCGCTCTACCACTGCCCGACATTGTACGCATTTCTTCATCAAGCTTGCACAATCTGAGAGGACAGAGAAATAAATTAAGAAATAAATCCTGCTATTCCCATTGTTCTCTCTTAACACGAGCTTGTTTATTCTTTTCACAGTAAAGATATACCAATACCATAACAAAGGTTTACAATACAAATATCTACTTGTGTTTGTTTTCACTTCATTTTCTGTAAATCACACCCATAAACAATCTCATTTGGGATTCAAAGCAAACTTGTTCTATTTATTTTAACATTATTTCTGGTGAGCAGGTTCCTCTTTCTTCCAACCAAATATCTATTCCACAAGAATTACAGAAATTAAAAAAGTAAAATCACACCCATTTGAGACCAGAACTTCCAAGAATGTCTTGATTACCTGCTTTTTTTTTTTCATAACCAAGGACCTCATATATTGTACTAACTTGCCAGGGGCAAACAGAGGTGGCTCCTTGCCCTCAAAAGAGCAAACCCATATATTTTGATACCATCCTAGAAAGAAAGTTAGCATTATTCTGCAAAAGGCAAGTGACAATGTCTCAAAATTGCCAAAGGTTACTGTGAAACAACAGAGTAGATCCTATGAAGTACACAAATTCGAGGACTCTTTCTCATCATGCTTAGAAAGGATCTACAGAAAATAATCTGGAAAGAAAACATTTGCATTTGTAGAGCCATTTGCTGTCATTGTTACAGTTTCGACTTGGCAATGACTATTTCACTGCTGAAATCCTTCACCACAGTGATTAATCTTTTTACTGAGAAACTAATTAAAAAACTTCTCTCATCATCTTTAAACTGCAGACAGCGAAAGAGCCCAGATCAGGACTGGGATCAGGATCAGGAACAGTAAAGTTAGTGATGCAATGTTAGGTCTCCCAGCCAGAAGAGAGAAAGAAACCAGATTTCTTTAACAAGACCAAACAAGCAATTACTTATTGGAAAAGACTACCTTCCCCCTCCTATACTACGTCAGCAGCAAGCACTGTTCTTCTCTAGGCAAATGACCCTTCAACAAAGCCTTGAAACGTCTGGTGACAAGGTGGTGTCTGTATTCTCACCCAATTATTCTCAAGATAGAAAATTTCTGGAGATCTCCTATGTCTTTTTGCAAGATACATGATGTATCTGTTATAGAAAAACTAGAGCCCTTGTGCAAATCTGCAGATCACTAAGGAAGCATATTAAAATATTTACTTACAGTATTTTTTAAAACATGATTTGCACATCTGAACACACCCAGAAAACTGCAACTAAACAATGAATGAACAGCAGGCTACTATAATCTGAGCAAACCTACTCACTATTAAATAATTCAGAGAGAAGCAGCTGCTCTCTAAATTTCTGGAAATCTCCACTTTGTCCTCTAAATATTTCATTAGCAGCTTGCCAAGTAATGCCAACCTTCTGATTATCACACCAAACTATCAAGTTGTACTCAAAGCCAGATCATTAATGAGCTTTCAGCAATCTTTTATTAAAAATGTTCTGTTTCAGGACTATTTCAAAAAGAACATCCTGTCAAGTGTACTTACTCTCACAAGCACACATATGACCACAAGGCTGGAAAAGCACTGCTGCCTTTTTGTCTGAACACACCACACATTCTTCAATCTGTAAAGTACAATAAACATAGATATGAGAACAGTTTATCTCCTGCTGTCAACATCAATTTGCTTTTTCATTCTCTTTGGAAAGGCACGTGGACTTTAAGAAGTTCCATCTAAGCTATATTTACTGATTCATCACCTCAAAATTCAATTTAAAGGAATTATCACACAGAAGACACATTTGCTGGCAGTATTTAAATGTTCAGTACACTGACAGATATTAGCACTATTATTGACAGCCTTAGCACTGCAGATATTACCCTAAGTATTTATACAGAACATTAGAAAACTATCAAATAGATGGCATTGAATAGATACTCTCCAAATTAGCAAAAGAAATCCAAGGAAGGTTATCCACAAAGGTTAGCTTTCACCTAGGAAAGCTGATTTCCGTAGATCGTCTTCTTCAGATGGATGAGGGGGCAGCAGACTTACTTTGCTGCTCTGAACCACTGTGGCAGAACTTTTCCACTGACTGTAAAGAAAGTCTACAGAAAAGGAGCTCACACTATGTTAACATTTTGTCTTTGAAAATATGCATGGCAGAATGAGTGAACAGTGTAAGAAGAATAAAATAGTGAATAGTAAAAACAGTACAAATGTACATTTGCAAGTTGCATATTTACTCTGAGACACAGAAGAAACACAGAAGCTGATTAGCCAAAGGTGTTTGGATAGAGATAAAAAGAACAGAGTGGGTTTTCTGTAGATCAGAAAACCTGTAAGTGGATTATGAGATTTTTATATATGTATATATATAAAAACATATATATATATATATTATTTTTCTTTAATGGCCAAAAAGCAACAAGAAAGACAAGGCCTGGTGATTACTAGGAAAAAAGGAATACTCAAACAGAAAAGCAATGGAGATGCACCCAGTGTAGTCACAAATACCTGGGAGCAACCATTTGAGAAACATGAGGAACTTACTGGGATTAGGTCCCTGAAATAGGGCACAGCTGGTTGATACTCTGAAGAAGAAAGTGTAATAAAATTCATAATTCAAAAAAAAAATAAAGAAAGAAAATGAAAGATGAAAGTAATACTGAATAAAAACTAGTACAAAACTAACTCAGTTTACAGATGAATAATCTTTCCAAGCAGCCCTAAGGAATAAAAGAACTCAGTATAACTGAGGAAATTATATTTCAGGAGAAACAGCGATTTATCTTAAAATGGGAAAAAAATACCAGGAAAAAAATAAAACAACTTCAGATGGCTGTATTATGAACTCTGATGACCTGAACAAAAAAAAATATAAATAAATACATTGACATGGAGAGGGAGAATGAGGAGCAGACAGGACACGAGTACAGGCAAACAGACAAGATTAACACACAATGTTGGGACAAGATATCAAAAAGGTTGACAATTCCATCCAGTGAAATGCCTGTAAGGCAAAATACAGCGTAAAATATACACTTTTCCTTGACCTCTTTTTTACTTTTCCATTAAAAATAGAAAGAGAAACAGAAAGCTTTGGAAATGTTTACCTTTGTCCTAGACTGAACTTGCTCTTTACAGATGAGGCATTTTTTCACCCGTGGTGAGCACAGAGAACATGTGGCAATATGTCCACACGGGCCAAACAGAGTGTCTCTCTTCATGTCTGAACACACCATACATTCTTCTAAGGTTTCAGAGTCATTGTTGATCATAGACGGGCTTCGGGAACCAACCTGGCCACTACAAAGAAACCCTGCAGTCAGGCTTTTTTTTTTAAACTCATACTGCACATCAATTCGCTGCTTATCTGTATGTTCCTATACATTCAAGGATCAGTGTGTATCTTAACACAATCCCAACTGTGTATTCCCAAGTGTACTGTTGACACAAGTGTGAGGTCTCATGCTCAGATAAGGCATTCTGTAGAAACAGCCCACAGAAATTGGAATAGCATCTTGTAAATGCAAAAAAAAAACCTACCTTCCCATCTCATAAGTTTAGTTTTTAACAGAGTAATAATAACATATACATTCAGAACTGCACACCTTACCACCTGGAAAGCCTGAATATACTTGTATTACTTTCCAAATGGCAGACTTGTAAAAGAAGCCCCGAACTCCTGAAGTGACCTCACCCTGCATCTGTGTCCTATGCTGCAGCTCACCCAGCAGAGGGAGCATGGGTTAAATGTAAACAGCTCAGTCCTACAACGCTCACAAGCCCATAAAAGGTGGCGAGAATTAAGAACAGCCACAGTGATGAGGCTGAGACAGACAAAAAGTCTCTGCAGAAAATTAAGCACCTTACGTGCTAGGGCAACATCAACAAGAACAGTCTCTCTTCGTGACATTTTGCAAGTACATTTTTCATTTCCATGCACTGACTTCTGAGCAGGAATTAAGGATAAGAATCATGTAAGCCAGTGACTGGAATATAACTAGGACAACTTCTCATACTAAGTGCACTCGATGACGTTTTGGTGAAATTGTAATTCCTAAAGAAGTGCTTCTGAGGTGCCAGGCCTAATCCCTCTTTTTCTTTTTGCAAAGTCATGCAGTCATTCAGCCTGACAGGTACTCAAAAGGTGCTCCAAGGTGCTCCATGCAAAGCAGGGTCAGCCCTAAAATCACACTATTCAGGGTTTTTCTCCATTCCAGTCTTCAAAATTTGCCCAGATAGATTTCACAGCCTCTGTGGGGAACCAGTCCCAGGGCTCAGTTCTCCTTTCAGTGATGTCCCCCCACCTCTTTTCAGGAGTTTTACCAACCTCCAGATGCACTTTGCCACCTCCCCATTACCCCCCTCCCATATGAACAAGCTTTGTGCTGTGCTTCTAGGCCCTGGTAATGCAATGTCCACCCTGCCTGAATGTAATAACCAGTGTTGTTTACTTCCCAACTCATCAAAATCCTTGCAAACCAAGCTTCAGAAAAAAAAAAAAAAAAAAAAAAAAAACACTCTGGTGACATCTAGTCCAATTCTGTAAAATTGCTACAACCCATTCCTGCTTAGAAAGAGCCACTTCAAAGTAACCAAACCCCAAATCTATTCAGTCTCCCTCCCTCCCAGTAAAATTCCTCACAGCCTGGTCAGATAGCTGGTTTTCCTTTACTACAAACCTCAGCTCTTCCAAACAGAAGCACAGTCAGGCCATCAGGTATAATGCCTGCAAGCAAATCCTCAGCACAGGAGGTGAGCGAGAATGGTAAGCAAGCCCTACTCAGACCCAGCTACAAGACAGGAGGCTGGTACCAGCCAGAGGAGGAGCAAGGCCTGGGAATGAGGCACAGTTCAAACTTCAGAGTGTGAAACTCTTGTAAGATTTGCAGATGTTTCAAGGAATGTATGTGTAGACAGTATTCAATGTATCACAGAATACCAAAAAAATGAATAGAAGTCAAGAAAAACTTGTATGTTTTAACACTATAGGTAGTAAAAGCATGATGTTTTAAATGCATCAGTTAATCTACAGAAAACTGGGGTATTTTATTAATATACATACCTGACTTTTTCTTTGTGGCATTTAGCCAGTGCTTTGCAGAGGCTAGGATCAGGGCAGAGATCGAGAGGAGACTGCCCCTTCTTATTACGGATGCTGAGGTCAGCTCCGTTGGCTGCCAGGAAGCAGGCAATGGATGCTGCGCTCTTCTTCTCTGCTCCCTGAGTGCCAAGTCCCATTATTAACTGAAAGACAACAAATACGTAAGCAACTTGAGAGACTCTCTACAGTTACAAGCAGTCTGGCCAAAGGAAAGCACGAGTACACACACACACACACACAAATCTGTAAGCCCACGGAAGCGACTCTAGAACTAAAACCAAAGCTATTGTATGGCTGCTTAATTCTGTACTCGATTTTCCTTTAAGGAACTACAATTCTGCAAGTAGTTCTCCTGCTGAAGCACGCCATCTCCTGCACACTTGTCAAGGGGCTGTACTTCTGCACGAGCATCACAGGGCATAGTCCCACTGGGTCTCTACTCAAAATACAGCCAGAGCACACTAAAATTGCCGAGCTCACATGAGATGCTACCACCACTGCACGTGGACGGAAAACACAGCTGGGCAGAGAATCAATGCACACTTTTAGTAGCCTAGTGAGCAATGCACCTGCCCAAGACAGACTTAATTTTAGTTGTCTTCTCAGCATGGAGGGATTTAAAATCACCTACCTGCCCTAATCACATAACACTCCTTCACTGCTACAGCTGTATCTGTGTATTTTCTGTACTGGTGGACCTGTTATGCGCAACCCGCAGGGCCAGCCAGGAAAACAAAGAGAGAAGGCTCACTCCCTCAGCCCCACAATGACAGGGTTCACCTACTCTGGAGTATTCTGGGCCTTTTCCCAGCATCTTTTTGTACTAAAGCTTGATGAGATAAGATGTAGAAGTGTAATGCAGACTACATGTCATGTGAAACTGCTGGCACTGCTAGGAGTCCCCCAGCAAACCACACAAGACTGTTATTCAAAGGAGCAGCCTGAGCACAGCTGGCACAGGTTCAATTCAAAGAGTTTTAAGTGCTGAATTCCGGAGTCACGAAGGCTTCAACACTGGGAGAGAGGCAGGATTTTCTACACACCTTGCTCCCAATATCTGATTTCAGCACCCAACTTCACTGATTTACATTATTCTATCCCACTTCTGTTTTGTGCAGCATATCCGTGTACCTCTTCTTCTAAAAGCTGGGTGTTAAGTACCACCCTTAAAAAAATTAATGATTATTACCCCAGACAAAATGATCTTTTGTGTTTAAAGAACTAGGGTGTTTAGATGCTGCAGCACATAGGAATAAATTTCAAATACCATATATCTGTCCCGTATCCAAAGGTTGCATACCTCTGAGTCTGAACCATGATGAAAATAGTTTTCAAAACCTCTCCAGTTACGTCTCCCAGCCCTCAAACATGACTTGTGAAGAACAAAGCTGGGTTTGGGCCCATACCTTGCAGCATGTTAAGTATGTCTCAGAATTCTCTCCCCTGCCTTGATTATCTGCAAGATATCTTTGTCATCACACAGCCATCCAGTTTTAGGAAAGCATTTTTTTTTTTAATTTAAAAACCTCAGTCTACAGTTCCTCCTAGTTGGAAGTTTTTATATAAATACACGTTAGTGAGGTGCTACAATATTCTTGAAGGTTGCTTCATGAGTTCATGGATACTTGTGGTCCAGCACACTTTCCTATGACCAAATAAAAACTGCAGAGCTTGGAAGATTTCTTAACAAGACAAGCAGTAAGTTACAGAGAGAAGTTGTTTTGTGGCGTTCAGATCACAAAACCAATTTTGTTTAGAAATTCAGCCCGTTTCTCTGCACTTCAGTTACAGCAGTAGCTGAAGTGAAGCACAGACTTTATCTACAATCTGGCTACCTTGGGTCCTGTCAGTAATCCAGCTGTGGCAGCACAACGCCCAGTGAAAGCTGATTTGCTCTGAGGCTGGCAGAGCAGACGTTCTTTGAAGGCATGCCTGCAACCAATTTGCTCTAGTCCTCACTCAGTTCCTGGGACACGAGTTCTCTTACCATCCACACTTGCACCTCACGGACTCTGAGCTGTTCCAGAATGAAACAACTACTGTTTCTCCAATAGGAAAATCAAACACAGTTACCAGGATATTTTCCTTCACTCGGTATGGGCACACACTATGCCAAGACTGGCTCCTCCACCTGGAACAGTCACCAACATTATTCAAGAAATCTCGAGTCCTAAAATACCTCTGCATGCTGTATGCTTTAAAATCATCAAGACAGTATCACAGCACATGACACTTGGTAGTCTGCAACATTTCAGGCACACAGAATGGAGAAAAAAAAAACAACACAAGCAAAAAAGACACTATGTCTTAGGGCCAGTATAGGGGCAGCAAGTCCCCTCTGCAGGAGGCTGGATCGAAAATGTATCAGCACAAACCAGTCCCAGCCCATCCACCTGCAGGAGAGAAGTCTCTTTGGGGCATAATCCACACAAACACTAGTTATTGTCTGAGTTATTTTAACTACTGACCCCTTAACCAGTAAGTGACCTAACTAACTTCCATCAGAGCTCCTTTAGCTTAAACTAGCATCTCCACAGTGGCTACGTTTTAGATCTTAGAAGTGTGTTAAGGGTCCAGAAGATGCCTGTATTAAAATACACGACATCCTATAAGCCTGTGGAATTATGTTTCTTTAGAATAAAAGTGTCATAGGCTAAGGAACACTGTATCTGTAATAAAGAAGCCAAAATGACTTTGTCCTGGTGGGGATTGGACTTCAGAAAAGTTCTCCTCCCAACTGTACAATCTTCATAATGAGTATATTAATAAAATACACTTGTTTTTCATATTGATGCCTAAAATCGGTAGGGCTGTCTGTACTATCATGACTGTTGACAACATGCATTTTAAATAGTCTGTCATATTAAAAAAGCAACTGAACAAAACTGACAAAAATTGCTTGAGTTATTACAACAGCTTAATACTGACATTCACAAGGAACTACTAAAATCAATACTAAAGAATTCATTCCATAAAGTTCCACTTATGAAGTAAGTTCCCAGTGTCAGTGAAGTGTGTTTTGTATTTTAAGCTGTGCTTGAAGGAAAAAGTAACAAAGGGTAGATTTTCAATGATGTTGCTGTTTAACATGAAACAGCTTACCAATAAATGAAATAAAAATCAAAAATATAACATCCTGCAAGTGAAATTTTATTTCAGTTGAAAATACTGAAAAATTGTTGAAGTGTTATATTACAAAGATGCACCCTAGGGCTCAGCAGGTTGATATCTCAAAGATAACAGCCCAAAATTGCTCTTTTTAAGATACCAACCAAAATGAAGCCAAAAGTATAAAATTTTTTTACACCAATACAGCTCAAATGAAACTACAAGAAAACAGTATAGAGAAGAAAACAAAAACAAAACCATTTTTTTCTCTGAAACATAAAACTCAAAAATAAATTTTAAAAGGTGAAAAATACACGTCTAAAAAACTCCAAACACAACTCATCCAGTTTCGTTGTGGATATCACTAAGATAGGGAACTGACATATGAAATGATTGACATATGAAATGCTGAAACTGAGAAAGAGCACTCGCTTCCTGCTCATTCATTTCAAAATTAAATACATGCACACAAAGGATTTTGACCAATTTCACAGAGTCCATTTCAGATCATGGAAACACAACTTAGCTGTAACTGGTTTCTTCCTGTCCCTTAAAAGGACACAAGCATTTTTTGTATATGCGAGCCATAACTAGGCCAGTGTATTTCAGTGAAATGAAGTAGCCAATTTGAAAAATATTTGTTGTACAATGGAATTATTATTTTGAACAAAGACTTTTAAATCAAGTTGTTTTGGAATGAAATGCTGTAGCTATCACATACAGTTAAAATTAGAAAAAAGTATTATGATATTGGTAACAAATGACTCAGCAAATCTGATTCCCTGTCATGCTGCACATCTTCACTATTTACAGAAAAAATGCTGTTTGCTTTCCACAATTCAAGTCACTCCATAATTTTCCTTTTCCTATCAGCAAAACTATAAAATTCATCTTTAAAGTTCACACCGCTTCTCAGGTGTAAGCATTTTTTTTTTAGTAAAAAGATTTTGACCTTTATTAAAGGGAGTTTTGACTATTTCCCTACCACATCGCCATTTCTGAAATTAACTCTGTCGGAAAGATACTTAACAAATCATCATGCAAAGACTAAGAATGCTTTGTTCTAACAGAAAAAGCTTTCAGAGGATTAGAGAAGCGGCTAAACAATTAAAGCTACGAAGTCATGCAAGATGTCAAACCACAGAAAACATAATTTTAGTCTTATTCTGTACTGTATTACTGTACTTTTGATTTTTGGCAGCCGTATATTTGCTATGAAAGAGTGTTGCAGAACTATTTTGAACCCATATTTTTCTTTAACAAAAGGCAGAGACTAAATGCTAAAAACTCCATAAAAAAAAAAATCTGCCTACGCTGAAATGTAATGTGGAATATATTTTGACTTATGCTGCCAAAAAACAGTTCAACAGTACAGACACTAGATAAGCTACAATAATAAAGAGATAAACGCATAGAAAAAAAAAGGAATAAATAAATGCATTTTATTTACTGTGTTCTTTGATGGCTCCCAAGCAGTATCTACCTTGCCCACATCTTGCATGTCTTGGAGTTGGCGGAGCTGTGAGAGGGTGTGGTGCCTCAGGGCTTCATGCAGGGGAGTATCCCCATCTTTATCCTGAATATCCAGCTTAGCACCTGCACGGACTAAGAGCTGAAAAGAGAGAGAACTCCATTTCAGAAACCAAAAACCAGCTACTTATTCCATTTAAAAAGTGAAGCTGTGGTTTGGGATGCACCAAAGGGTTATATGCACTTAGGGTCCAAAAGGGTTTTATATATATAGAGAGAGACCTTGCTACATTTCACAGTTGAGTTTATTTAAATTTATTTCTCTTGCTTCAAGCTCAGCCTCCAACTGAAGCATTTACCTCTTTCAAACATCAATTTTATTTCAGCAGAAGCCTCGTGAGTGGCTGAGTGAGAGACAGATGGATTTTACAGGATTCTTCCTACCTTTAACTCTTACAAGAGAGCCTACAATGCAGTCGATTAGTGTAACATATCAGAAACAGAACAAAGTGGACAAAACTTGTGTATATTCCGTAATAATAGGTTTCAATGACCTCAAAGACCACCACCTTCACACCATGCTGAGCTTTACAACTTAATGTGTAAATAACCTGTTAATGTACAGTATCCTCAGCTAACAAAATAGTTAAAGCACATATTTAGGTTTATCCTTACGCAGCAGAAGACACCAAAACCACTACTACCCACTACCTTCGAACACTTCGCAAAGTAATGAGCTGTAAGACTCATCTTGAAGGCTAAAATTAGGCATGCCCCCTCCCTATGACATATGTTCCAGTTCCTATGATATGAAGGAAGCCTGAGGCTGCACAGGCCTTCCCATTCATGCTGCACTTGCACCCAGCTCTCCCCTGATTTGATGCACCAGAACTTTCTTAAATATGCTGTCACACAAAACAGCCAACACATGCTGACAAATAACAATGCCCTTAAAAAACAACAAAAGTCGGTGGTGCTATTCAGAAACCCACAGATAGAAGCAGCTGATGTTTTAACTTTAGTTTTGAACTTTTGCTACTCTGCAGAACTCTGAATTGCAGTGGAGACAAAAAGCATGGCCTAGAAACAGGGATATACAAAGGGTAATCTCCCTCTTTAGAAATAGCTTGCTTGCAAGGATTTTAGCCTCAGAATTGAAGAATCTCAGACTCTAGGAACGGCTAAAATGAAAATACCTCAAAAGGAATTCAGAACTCATGTGTCAAGGAAATACCTGCCTGTAATTGATTGCAGCTTATCATTTCCCCAAACCTTTCCACAACTGAAAGAAAAAAAAAAAAAGAAGAAAAAAAAAAGAAAAAAGCTAAAACTCACAGCAGTCCTCTGGACATCTTATACCCTCTAAATGGACTTACTCTGACCCAAGTTTTCTCACTTACACTCACATCCTGCCTGCCACTAGCCATGTTCTGTTTCAGAGTTTCTCCTGGAAACAGTAGCATGTTACAGAAATTTCCCTGTCACTGCTATGGGTTTCTAGTAATCCCTCTGAAGAAACCTCTACGAGAAAACTCTTTTCAGAGCAACCTGGAATCCTTGTCTACCATGGGAAATTCAAAGCCCTTGCAGAAGCTAAAAATAATAATAATAATAAAGACCAAAAAGATATAAAATAAAAAATCTCCCTTTGTCATGACTGCGGAGCTTTTAAAAGAGCCCTGCTACCTTTGACCACTATTCCACAGATGCCTGAGGGTACAACCCAACCCTGGAAAGTACCCAATAGGAATTAAATTTGAAATATAGGAGCCAACATGTTCTCTGCATGGCTGCATGAGTTATTTTAGGACTTCTCAACGCTAATCCAGCTCTGAAGTACGGCTACTCTATAGGGTCGTTCACGTAAACATACTTGGATGTAAGCGTGTCAACCCAAGCCTCGTACTCGTGCTCCAACGTGCCTACCTTCCTGTCATCCGCTACGTTGGTATTGTGTTCCCAGGTGCCCTGTCAGTTCCCGAAGGGCACAGGAGCTCACCAATTAAATATAGCTGCAGAAGGGCTTGCAGAATGCAAGTGACTCTCCGAAACCATTCTTTGGTAGCAAGTGGTTCCAGATATAGGGCCGTATCACATGTTTCACTGTAATGGGATCACGTCCATCAACCCGTGGAGATGGAGAAGCCTTACAGCAAAGTAACGCCAGACAGAGGCACCGACACAGCTCTGCACCAGGGGCACAATTCTCTGTGAGCCTGAGTAAAAGTCATTTTTTAATATAGGATGATTCTCACAACACTAACACAAAAACTACACAGAGGGCCCAGGCTAGGCCGATGGATTCACTTATAGGAAACATTTCCTACAGCACTGAGCACTCTCTCCAAGCCTCAACAGCCCACACTAGCAAACCATGCCAACTGTGGGTAAGCTGTGCTAGACCCCAGTTTCCTATGCCATCAGCACAGCTTTGTTAAATTTAATTTTTTTTTTGTTAAAAGTATTAAACTTTTGCAATCATGTGAGCAAGAACAGAAAGTGCATTACTTTCACTGCTGATTTTATTACTGCTTCTAGCTTTCCCAAGCTAAGAACAGGGAACTATACAGTCAGGAGTGAAACTGATAAAAATGATATTTCACCTACTTAGTTTGCGAAAGCCACAAGCAAAAATAATTACTCATCAAAAATGCTATTTTGAGGTCCGTTACAGGACCATAAGACTCAAGGCAAATTATAGAAGAACACACAGAAGGTCCCCTTCACTCAACAAGAAGGGATGCCGGAATTAGCAGCCGCAGAGAGGAAACCATAATACACATACACAAAAATTTAGCATTCCTTAAATTTCCTTCGTATTGCCTACTGACCTTCTGTACTAGCTGGTGGGTTTCCAAATTTATCAGAATTAATCATACAAGCATTCAATAGCTGTAACATGTTGCTAAACCTTTTTTTTTTTTTTTTTTTTTTTTTAAGTTCATGAAGCATCTCTTTCTTAACAGCTTCACTCAGCTCGAATAAAGCACCATTCATCTGATGGCTGATCGCAACTAGATACTTACCCTAACAATTTGTGTGTGCTGTCGTTCAACGGCAAGGTGCAGAGCAGTTTGCTGGTTTACATTCTGGATATCCAGGTTAGCATTGCCCTGCGAGATATTCAAAGCATTAGACCGTTACCATCCCAGCAATTCGTCTTCAGGCAAGGCAGTCAATTAAAGCCCCGAATAAAACGCTCAGCGTGATTCCCACTTTGAATACTTGAGAGCAGAAGTGAATAACTACTTTAATTGCTCTCTGTTGAGATGTTGATCTGTTGAATCAAACCAGTTATCAAACTGTCCAGTCCCTCTGCACTCTTAAGGCCATTGTAATGATCTCACAAGCAAGTTTGACCTTTACCATGCGGCCTTCCCTGCTCCACTGCCCCTGCGCTGCGATTGCAGGCAGCAGCAGCAACCTATTTTCACATCAGATGGCTAATCAAAGCATGACGCTTAAACCCTCCTGAGAGAAGAGCCCTACCTGATGCACCAGAAGTTCAGCCACTTCCACGTGGTTATTGAGAGCTGCCAGATGCAAGGCAGTGTATCCATCATCTTTTTTCTCATCAACAATCCACGGTCGCGGCAACTTGGACAGCAATACGCGCATCGCACTGAAATACATAGGCAGAGATGGCATAAGGGCATTTGTGAAGTATTTGCTGAATGACAACGGGACAAGAGTAAAAGCAACATTCATTTGCAGAACTACAAAGTAGTAGTGACAGAAATAACATTAGCCATTTCTCCAAAAACAGAAAGTGGGTGAAAAGTTGTATCGGCGGTTCCAAAGTCTAAAAATTTCATGTTCAATTCCTTCCAGTAGAAGTATGCAAACAAACCAGCCAATCACCCGGCACCAAAACTTACCCTAAATATTACTCACAAAGATTCTGAAACACAGAAGACAGAAATGCTTCTCCCTGAAAATCTCCATAGCAAACTTTACTTAAATATTTAAGAAACAAGTTTTACTACATGTTGGATTTCTTGAGAACCACTACTTCATAAACTGATGCTATTGTCCCTATCAGTTAAGACTTTCTATTTCTGAGATAAAACTTGAGTAAGTCCTTTTAGGAACAGAAGAAATGAACGCTGCAAGTGTAAAGTGAGATTAATGGAATGCGGGAATTACAGTAACAGAGAGCAGCTGAGTTTAAGAAACCATGGTAGTGTCCAGGACTCTAGCCCACTTCTCCATGTGCTTACCAAGACACCTATCAAGGGAAGTGGATTTATTATCTTACACTTCAAATTCAAGGGTGGCGAAAAGCAACATGATTACTGTAGCATTAAAGCAGGCTAAAATCCACAAAGTGCAAAGAAGGCAGTGATAAGGGCATTAATAACACAACGCTAGATGAACAAATTGGTTTATCTTGTATTCTCACAGAAACACACTCAAAGCTCACCTGTCTTCGTCTAGCTTTTGGAATAGGCAGGTAACCAAACTTGATTCCCTTATTATTTCATATTTGTAAACAGTACACATAGCTCCCTTAAGGCAGTTGCTCAAAGAGCAAAAAAAAACAGAAACTGCTATGATCTTGTTCTAGAAAACCTCTGCTATCAACCTGATCTTTCCCTTCTGCTGAAGCAAGGTGTGATTCACAGGAGAAACAGGGGTTCCTCACAAAATTCAAGCTTTAAAATCCAATACTAGCCAACACAAGTGGAAGCACTGAATTACAAACTGCCTTGCAATGTAGGTACCATAACTGAATCCAACGGTTCTTCATTAGCCACCTGATATTCAAAAGGCAGAGTTTCAATCAATATTCTCACAAAGCGAACCTTTTACTCAAAAAATATTTGCAGCGGATAACAATAAGCCATCTGCCCTGGTAAGCAGTAACTTAGCTCCTAATTCATTCCACTGACTGGTTACCTTGCACATCCACATGGCATAAACACAATTCACTCCTGAGCTCTGTCCTAGCATAAGCCAATGAGTTCCCTATAAAACAACCAAAAGCTGCGGCTGTGGCATGGTTCACTCCAGTGAGCAGAAGTAAGAGTCCCTGAGGTAGCCTACTGTATCAGTAAGAACATGCACTCCTTCCTCTGCGCTACTGGGACTAACAATGTTGAACTTCTGAAGCATCTCCTCATGTTCTCCCAATCCCGCAGAGCACACTAGATAAAGCCTCAGTTTCACCCTCTTCACACCAAACTGGTCACTTTTCTCCCCTAATTCATAGTGTACAAAGTAACCACCACAAAGTATAACTGCATCTTCTGGCCCCAGGCCCCACTCTAAATATAGCCAGCCTGTCTCCAAAGTGGTTCTGGTCACTGAACAGGGAACAGCCTTAGCCAACCCAGCTTACATTTTACGTCCTTGCCTTCCATAAGGAAATAAGGACACTGCCAACTCCACAGCTCTAAACCAAACTAAAATAATACTTTCACGTACTTTAACAGATGCATCGGGAAGTGAGTATGCTTCAGAAACATTACTGTTGCTATTTCTTTAACACCTCATCTCTAAGAGAAAATAAAGAAATTAATGCAGTAATTTTATATGCTATGAAAAATAGCACTCATCCTAATATTTGCAAGAGCACTTAGTCTCAGCAGTTCTGTTTTCAAATCTTTTCCCACTTCATTTGCTGTCAAACACCAGCAAGGCTTTCTTCTGAAGTTCATCTGTAAAATATTTGGGGGCTAAGACAGTATCTTGTATAAATGAGATGCCTGGTATGTTTTTGGTTGCTTTTAAAACGCTTTATTCCTACTGGGAATCAAGTAGGACCAACAAAACAACCAACCTCTATGCAAAACAGAAACTTGTATTACTTCTTTCCATGAAGCATCAGAGGGCTGGTAACTAATACTCAGCTTCTTCTGCCTGTGCAAGTCAGAGATCACACCTCCCTCTCTCCCAAACCTCACTAACTTACTGGACAGCGGGATGGAAGGATGGTCTTATGGACAGGACACCTTAAAATGCAGCAAAGCATTCATATGCCTCCAGTGGGAAATTCTTGTAAGATGTTCCGTGGCTGCAGCCTCCTTCCCACCAGCTCAGAGGCAGCTTCCTTTAACGCACAAGACTGCGTTTCTTCATTGCAGGCTTCCCTGCTACTGCTATCCAGTTTTGCAGGATTTTCGGGAGCTGCTGCCAAAACGTTGACAGCTTGGCTGAGCGGCTATCATTCAGAACAGTTCTCACTGAAAGAAGCATGCACTGTACCATAAAAAGCCATGTCAGTGAATCAATGCTACATGCCCATTACACAGCCACTCTCAATTCACGATTCCCCACACGGCATTCATGACGAACCGTGCCGCAACGCTGACATGGGTCCCGAAAACTTGCTTTAAAACACAAAACAGACTTTTTTGTGTTAAAAAGAAATCAGTACATCTAACGGCAACCATGAAATGAGCTGAAGAGAACTCCTCTGGATAATCATTTGCGGTTTATTCAGCTGTTAGAGATTACACGGCTAATTGAAGCCGCTTCAGAGGTTATTGACAACGTGTGTAAAACTTGGTGCTTTAACAGGGCTTTATGTCAATGTATGCCAACTACATTATTTATTCATTTATTTATTTATTTTTACAAAAGGTAAACTTTGGCGGGGGGGGGGGGGGGCAGCAGGACGAAACGGCCGCCTCGTCAGTGAGGGGATTTGAAATGTACCGTCCGTAACGGTCACCCCCCCACTCCGTCCCCGCGTGCGCCCCGCCAGGCCGCTCAATCGATCGGCCGAGCGCGGCGGGGCCCGGGCGCACCTCACCTCGGCGCGGGTTGACTAAATATGGTCAGGGAAGAGCCGGCCGCGGGCAGCCGCCGGCCCGGCCGCGCGGGGTCCCGCTGCCCGCCCGCCCGCCTATAAAGGCCCGCGGGGCTGAGGGGCCGCGGGGACCCGCCGGGGAGGGAGGGGGGGAGGGAGGGAGGCGCTTCGTATTTTTTTATTTTTTTTTAATTATTTTTTTTATTTTTTTTTCCTCAAGTGACTCCCAACTTCTGGGGCTTCTCTTATTTCTTCTTTTTTTTTTTCCCCCTTTTTTTCCTTTTTTTTTCCCCTTGTTTTCCTTTTTTCCCCCTTTTTTTTTCCTTTTTTTCTTTTTTTTCCCTTTTTTTCCTTTATTTTTTTCACTTTTATTATTTTTTCCTTTATTATTTTTCCTTTATTATTTTTTTCCTTTATTATTTTTTCCCTTTATTATTTTTCCATTTTTTTCCTTTTTTTTTTTTTTAATTTTTTCTCCTTTGCCTGCGATTCCCCTCCTCAAGTCTCACCTCCCCCCCCGGCTTCCCAGCACCGGACTCTTAAGCCCTCAGCCCCGCAGACCTCAGGTATCACCACCTCGGGACGGCAGCCTCCACCTCAGACACCCCAAGCAGGTGCCTCCACACCCTTATTTCCCCTTAATTACGATTTTGGGAGGGGTTTGGGGGGGGGGGTGGGGGTTAAGTTTTATGCATTTAAGGAGATGAGGCAGCACCCGCCCCAAAACTCGCCCCCTGCCCTCTCACCAAGAGCTGAGTCAGCGCCTCAGGACCAGGCGAGGTGGTGGTGGTGGCACTGGGACCAGATGAGGCACTGGGACCAGATGGCAGCTGCCGGTGTGCCGCTAGGTCACCCACCCGCTGCCTCTCTGCCAGCGCCGCATGCCAGACACTAAGCTCTCAGGTAAATCACACAGCCTCAGCAGACCTGCATTGCTCTCTGCACGTTGCCAGGATGCCTGTGACTTGCTGCATGTCTAACTTCGCTGCTAGAATGTTTTCGGTCTTTTTTTTTTTTTTTTTTTTTTTTGTAATTGTTGCATTAATAATCCCTCCGCGCTGGGAGCAGTTTGAGTGTGGTGGAGTATCAAGCGTTTGTAGTGTGAAGAGCAGGCTGAAAGAAAGCAACGTTCGGCCAAAATCCGTAGCAGAAAAAGCCCAACTCGTCCGACAGGCAGAATTCTTGCTGAAGAAGATAACCTCAAACACTGCGATGCCATTAACTGCTTCATAAACAGTGACCGCTAGCTTCACTGAGATGCATTATTTTCCTACGCAGGACACAACTAAAGGGTTATCAACTGTACCAAAAGAAAAAAAAAAGCTAACAGCATGGTGGGGCAATGCTGAGTGCTGAAGGAGATGTAAGGAAAAATGTCAAGGTGCTTTATCAGAGATGTATATGAAGACAACCTACTTAAAGCCCCAGAAGGCGAGCGCTGTAACTCCGATGCTGCATTGCTGTTTCTCCTTGTGGTGCTGGGCTGGCTCCTGCTACACGCTGATTTGCTCTCCATCAGCTGCACTAGGTTTTTGTCAGGAGCTGCAGAAATTCCTCCTTCCCCTGCTCTCGTCTTGCCTTACGACTACCACGTTTACTAATCGAAAAGCTCACTTTAAATTTACCTTCTGAAGCTGCACAGACCAAGCTTAATCTTTACTGTCACCCCAACAAACTCCTGAAACAGAAATTAAGCAACCACAAGCTGTATGTGACAGCCCTTTAGAAGTCAAACCCCCACCACACATCAAAGAGTTAACTATCACTCCAAACCACAGCACGCAGGCTGACACAACAGGCACAAATTTGGGTTTTGTTAGTTTGTGTGGTTTGGGCTTTTTCATAGGTTTTTATTATTATTATTATTTTCATAAATATTTCAAGTGTGGACAAGATTTTAACTGAAGCAGGTGAGTGCCAATTTAGGGAAAAAAATGCAGAAAACTGTCTGCAGAAGTGTTGAGTAGATATTGGCTTTCACATCTGACCTTTGGCCCAACAATCCGAATCCTGTCAGAGCAGCTAGAGGTTGTTTTCTTAATTCAATGTCATCATCTTTGCGATAAGCAGGATCATCACTGGCACGTGCAATTACACTTTAAAAACCACTCTGAACTACAACGGAAATAAGCAGAAGCCTGCAAAGAGTTTGCAGAATACTGTATGGGATGTATAAATGCATGGAAATGGGGCTGGGGAGGGTAAGAGAGTTCATAACTCCTGTGTTAAACGAGTCTGTACTTCCCTTTAGGACACCAGCATGGGAGTCTGTGAGAAGATCTGAGAGGAAACTGCAGTTTTTATGGTGGAATACAACTATGAATCCCAAGAAAACACTTTGCAAAGCTACCAGAGATCCAACTCTCCATTCAGACTTGGTTGCTCAGAATGAACATCAAGAGGCTGCAAACTCTGGATAAGCACTCCTACTGCCCGTGCCACCACAGAGCAATGAACTTTAACCAGCTTTAAGCCTCTGTGCAGGTAAATTGCATTGTCAAGTTCAGTTAGAGTATTAAGTTTGGATTTCTACCCTCAGTTACTCGTAACATTGTTCTTTCAAAGAAGTACCAGCCTGAATTTTACCTAATGACAGCACTAGTAGGAAGCAAAATGCTTTCCAGGTTCATCTGACGGGTAGTTGAGCACCCCTGCGTGTACCTGCTCGGAGCACATACTTCTTTATGTACCCATATGAACATACAATGCTATGGAATGTAAAGAAGTATGTATTTTTGGCAGGCACGGAACAACCCGTAAGAGGAAACTAAACAGCTGTTGGAAGAAACAGGCTTCCCCCTTGTTTGAATGACATTCATGTGACAAATTAACTTGCTAAGGGGTCAGCTGGTATTGCCAAAATAACACGGACTTGTTAGTACCAAATCACAAAGCCTTAAATTAGGTGACTGCAAACGTGGGTAGGAAAAGTTGCTTGTGGGTTATAAGCAGAACGTTAGCTGTACACACAAAAACTCAAAAGGAGGCTGGAAACAATTAAAACATACTAATTAAGATCACAGCATAGCAGTGAAAATTACGATTACCAGTACACCTCATTCAAAAGACCCTAAGCAAACCTTAAAAGCCAAACTGATTACCAAAATGTATTGTTTTGGTAATCACAACAAGCCATTATTTGGTTAATCACAGCAAGTTCTGTGTGCTTAAGATAGCAGGCTTTAAATTTACATCAACCACAGGGCATTTCACCTACAGGCTGCAATTAGGACACGAGCAGAACCAGCTAGGAAATTCAGCCCATGATTTCGAGAAAAGGATCATCATCAGAATTACTGAGCATGCTAGCATCTGCCATTTAATACGTGACACTTAAGTTAGAATTTTCTCCAAAGCAGCATTCAGCATGCTCACCGAGCTCTGCGACACAAACTGCTCTGTCAGGTTTATGCACAGAAAGTGACAATAAAGAGATTTCTAGGCCACAGTTCCCAGTCAGCAGATTAAAGCTATTGACAGATTCCTAAATGAAAACACAAATGACAACTAACAGTTAGAAGTTAAGTCCCCTTGAATACTGTTTTCAAATGAACTGAATTTACTGTAACGCTAGATAAAAGAAAATTGGCCAAGGAAATATGATTTTAGAGCACCTAGGAAATTGTAAGACCTCTGTGAGAAATATCAAAGCATGGGAAAAAGTCCTACAGCAGTTTCGAGCTCCAAAAGCAGTATTAATTTAAACATACCATCCCTATGATGCTCATTATAAAATTCAGAAGTAAGGAAAATATGAGGAAAGCTCCCAGCTCATCAGTCCAGCAATTCCTATTCATAATAGCAGCCTTCTAAAAACAGTTACATGATACATGCATGCAAAGTAGACACGTTTGTCCCAGATTAAATGTCCTAACTCTACCCATGTGCTTACTGAAAAGTCCGGGAGGAGGAAAAATAACAGAAAAAAAAAAAGAAATAGGCGCCATTTTTAGATGGAGAACCTTATTTTTAAATACTCACATAAATTCTCAAATAGCTATTATACATAGCCTGCTATTTTTGTTACCTGAAACTACAGAATAACACGTACACAAGAACGAACATTCTCTTATCAGAACCATTTGCCTAAGTAAAATGCTAAATTTCTTTGAAAGCTATTTCTTTTATAAGCAGATATTTCGGCACAAAGGCAATGGCATCTTAACATCTAAATTAAAAACTGGGTTACAGTGGGAAACAAATCAAACTGTAGTGTCTTTTCTAAGTGCAGTGACGCTACTGAACTCGACCAGGCTCCTAGAAGCAATTTGGTATTACCAGCAGCTTTACAGAGAGGTTAACTGCTACGCATTTACGCATTTTGCTGAGGAGTTCCTGTCCTCGCCACCAATTGATTTGGCCTCCGCTATGCAATCCAACTTTTTAACAGCTTCAATTTATTTTGACAAGTTTTTGGTAACAAGTCGTCATGTTGTGTTCTTTCGCTGCTTCTTTGTGTACCATCGCAATGCGATTCCGAAACAAAATGACAGTTCCCAGCCCTACAGAAGTTAAAATTACACATCCACATTGCTTCCTGCTGGTCCACGTTAGCATGTCTCTAAGAATACATACCCAGTCACTCTGAAATGTCACATCCATCACTTAGATCAGCTGTTCAATTTTAACCGAGCACACGCTGAACTTTGGGCATCTGCTGACACAGTTGTAACTCAAACATTTCAACTGTGTGACTGACAGGGATAACAGATGCTGACATTATCAAATGCTACACGGCTTTTTTTCCAGGGCCGTTTTTTGTCCCGATATGGCCAGTACATGCAACTGTATTGCCATCCAAAAGTGCACTTGAGCAGCTGTATCTGTAAAACAGTTCCTGTATAACTGGTAAAAATAGAAACTCATTTTATAGCCGTCTTTAATGCTTAAGTCCAAGCGACACACCTGCTACGCTTCTATTAGGATCCATGGTGTGGGGAATACATTTACATAAATCTTCTCACCAGTATCGGGCTCTGCAACAAGCAGATGCAGACTATACTTGATATAGTCATTAGGGAATAGCTTGAACTCACGTTGCCTCCTATTTCCCACTGCAGTCAAAGCTCATAAAGAACTCGGCACACAACGTTTAAAAAAAAAAAAAAAAAAAGCTATGTAAGCATGCACAAATGTATGCAGGAGCCTTAGTTGAGCAAAAACCAGACACAGTGCCAGATAATTCTTTTAAAAACTGCGTTTTGCTGGCATTAAACATGCTTATGTATTTGATCAACAGTTAAAAAAAAATCTGCCCTGCTATATTATATAATCATTCCTAAAAAGTTAATACTAACCAGAGATATAGTGGTGGAATTGAAAGCACTTGACATTTACACTTGTGCTAACCAGCCACAGCCCTGGAGCAGCTGCAAAAGGTAACCTGCCAGAAAACCAAGGGGGGTAGGGAGGTGGGAAAACAAAACCTCCTCTCCAGTACAGTTTAACATCGAGAGGCGAAGGAAGCCTACGGGAGCAGAGCCTGTAAGCACGCTGTTTCTGGTCAGTGCTCTAGAGTTTAGTCACTGGAGATGGAAAACAGCTTAAACTGCAAGTGTAATTTGACTTGAGACTCCTCCAAAAGAGCCTCGAGAAATAAACACAGTCGTGTACCGTACAGTCCTTGCTGGTACATAGCTTACCATGTTGCCCTCTCCAAATTAATCACAGAATTTAAATTTGCAGTGGCTAGAAACAAAACATACAACGCAGGAGAAAGCCCCATGTTCTTCGTAAGCAGTCTGTCTAGGTTAAAGGGCCTTAGAAATGTTGTGTTGAATTATAACTTTCCTGCACTCCAATGCTTTGCTAAAGCTGGTAAAATGGAACCAAATCACCTCTTCAATGGATTTGGTCCCCTTCAACCAGCTGTAGCTATGCATTGATCACTACAGGACTTCTCGTGTTTTTAAACCCGGACACTAAGCCTCTTCAGAGCAATTATGCAGCCCTCTCTGCAGAGGAGTTTGATTATTCCTGGTACTTTGAAGACAAAAGGTAACAAAAAGCATAGTAAGTTCTGTATTCCACGATTTCAAGGTGGTGTCTATAAATAAACAGCTACTGGTCTTTAATATCCTGTCCATATTCAGTGAAAATTGATCTCATAACTTTTATGAAGATAGGCAAACAGCAAAATAAACAGATTTTCCAATCATTTATTGTCTCCTGTATTTTTTTTCTCAAGTCTGTTGCCATTTTAACAGAACTGACCAAAAAAATTATCAAAATATGGGCCGTATTTGTAGTATACAGCAGGCCTACTACTTTGTGGAGTTGTGGGTTGGTTTTTGTTCGTTTTTTAAATCATACAAGGGAAGAAACTCCTCAGGGTAGGAGCTGTATTTGTCATCTTGTACATGCTGGGCACATTATTTACTATTTAAAGATAACAAATTTGTCACTGACCTCAACAGCTACAGGCTAATGTGCTATCTAATTATAGGTCTGCCCGTGGAGATTATATTCCTTCTCCAAACCAATCTGAACAAAAGTTTTCTTTCAAAGCATTTCTGACATAATGCTTCAGTAAGAGGTTTTAAGAGCATGCTTTTCTTTTTTTTTTAAACATTCAGCTTCAACTAAACTTCACTTACTTTCTGAAGAGCAACAGTGAAATCAAAGATCACTTTTACTGTTTTAGAAAAGAATTTAACAGCTCTTCGATTACCTCAGAACTTGTCTCTTTGAGGACTTCCATGACTATAGTGCACAGAAGTCCTGAGACACTCTTACAACAGCTGACACATCCCATCTCTCACAGATCACTGCAGCCAAAAAAATCCCACTGCCAACCAGTTCCAACCATCTGCAAGTCTAAAACCAAGGACAGATCTATGAAAAGTAATTCAACAGCCATGGGGAAAATGCAATTCCATTTTGAAACACCACCTCCTATTTGCTTATTAAAGTTTATGAACTTAAACGTGATGTATATACTCCTTGCTACTGAACAGCACTGTAAATCTGCATCTTACCCCAATATTTTAATTTTTTTGACCTAAAACGTAGCAGAACGCATTGGTCTGAAGAACTAGTGGCACATATGTGCAAACTGGGGTCAGCTCAAAAAGCAGCCACTATTTCAGATGCTAACTGCAGTGTGAATAAAGCTCTCTTCACAAGATACAATGCAAATCTACAGCTAACTGGGGCAACGGGTAGAAAATATGCCCACGCTTCACAGTCGTGTCTTCAGATGAAAATTCTGCAGTCACAGGTATGTGAATAGATCAAACATATCCTGAAGTTGAAAACATGGGAAATATACCCAATCTGTACATCATTCTCACATTTTCCTCTCCTCTTTTCTGTCTGAAAAATCTCATTAACACTGAAGAGGCAGTCTGACAAGCTTTGAGGTTCGCAGTACTTTGAAAAAGGTCCAAAATAAATGCACTTTTAATATGACTGATTCAGTTAAAAATTATGTATGAAATAAAATTTTAACTTCCCTGTATGTCAGTTCAAATCTGTTTTTATCTCTATCTCCATGAACAAGTTCAGATCTACCTAGAGCATAACCTGAATTATACTTTCATCATCATACTTCACCACAAAAAAAGAAGTTGTTTCTGTACCAATTCAAAAGGTATGGACAGCAGCAAATCATTGAAAGGAGAAATATTTCGCTTAGAATAGGGGGTTCTCCAAAACACACTATACATTTACTGTTGGAAAACACTGCAAAACTATTGTGGATTAACTGCTGAGAAAAAAAAAAAAAGGCATTTTGAAAAAAAAATAATGCTATTTTTCTCTTAATATTTAACATTTGAATAGCAGACAAATATTAGAATGAAAGTTTTTTCACCTGAAAAATGAGAAATTTTCAAGTGCTCTCCTCAACAGTTTGTCTGTTTTGATTTTTTTTTTTTTCCTGCTTGGAGGCTTATCTCTCTACTGTCAGCACAGTTCAGAGCTCAAGAACTAAAATAGGTTTTGCTCTGAAGATGGAATTGGTCCCAAATAGCTACGTGATATCGACTGTAAAAAAATCTGCAGAAATTTATTTCACTTCTGTGTGTGTGTGAGTTCAAGCACTCACACACACACTTTATTATCAATAACCAGGAATATGAATGTGGCCTTTATCAATGCTTACATACACATTAAGTATATTGTTTTTGTGAATGTATATAATGCATATGCACATATAAATGCATGAATATATGTTTAATTTTCATACGAATAACAATTATTTATATATTTATATATTTGACCTTAAGGGGAATTTAGTGCAGTGCATTCCATATAAGGCACCACAGCCTGAAGCCACAAAGAAACTCCAGCGTAGGTGGAGTAAGAAAGCTTAGTTTAGGGAAGACAGGTCCCTAAGTAAGGTTTTGAGCAGAATATAATATGTACTGCTTGTGACCCATACCAGTTACAAACTAAACTTCAGAGTGTTATTTTTAACAGTGCTTTAAACATTCCGTGCCCAGTGCATTTAACAGATTGGTAGCATCTATCATTCTGTATCAGATCAGAAAGACAAGGTGGCAAATATAAAAAACGTGTTTGTTTTCATTCAGAAAGAGGCCAGTGGGAGAACTACATAATCAACATAATGAGATAAATGGCCATCATTAAAGTCTGAAAGGAAACGGAGCTTAACTTGTAAATAAAAGGAATCAAGTAATGATTTGGGGGAGGGGAGGGAAGCAAAAGACAGTGAAAATTTTCCACAATCTGTTTCTTTCATTTTTATTTCCATTAATTTCTTCCCAGGCTGATGTGTAAAACATCTAATTCTGTCAACAAAAGAAACAACAACTTCCACAATGGGGACAAAATTCTCTCTGTTTTACCTGTTTCAGAAGTGCTCAGATACAGCTGCAACCAAAAAAGTAGATATCTAACTGTTTAACCTGTCCAGATGCTAGTGAAAACTCACGTATGGGAGTTACCTACACAGGGTTCAAAGCACTAATACTGGAAACATTTTCTTATTGTTCCAGTATAAACTTTTGTAAAGGATAGAGGATTTGGAGAAAAACTGTGCTATGCCTCACATTCTGCCTCACATTCTGCCAGCTGTCCAACTGAACTGATTCAAACCACAATTTCGATCCTTTCATCAAAGAGAAAGCCCGCAGCCTCTAAAACATTCACCCACAGAAAAATCTGCAGCATCCCTATAAAGAAATGCTTTTTCATACGCTTTCCCTGCATCTCATATTGGTACTTTCACACAAGCCAACTGTTACAGGAGCCTAGGGAAGGCAACACAAAACAGAAAACTACAGAATATTCAATCTAGGTAACTGGAGACAGCAACCAGCACTCCTGGTTAAGGCTGTTACATAAATATGGAGAATTCACATTAAACAAGTAAGTTATCAGTTCAGACTTGAAAGAGCCACCTTCTGAACACCAAACCCATGCTCCCTTAACCACATCCTTAAAATGCTCTCTTATAGACCTTTTACAGACCCTAGAGGAAACTGTAAATACATCTATTGTCCCGATCAACAACTCCAACCACTGCTTTTAACTTGAAGTGTGATTCCATTCCTATACACACATAAATAGTTGCATTTATTTTTTAGCCATCAGTCGTGACAGTTACGTACTAAGAGACTAACCCAGATTTCGTTCCCATCTAAGATAAACACCTCCTATTTCTCTATCTTCTCTCAAATGCAAAGCAGCAGAATATAGTGAAGTTAAACAAGTAAACATACACCTTTCTTCATGCAAAGCACACCCAATTCTCCACCATACAACAACATATTACTGAACTCTTTTCAGAATGACAGCCTTGAAAAAAAAAACATTTATCCACAATGTGACAGGCAAACAGCAATTTTTCCACAAGGTTTATGTAATCATTTTTGAAAACTACCTTAACTGAAGATTCAATGTAGAGGTACAGCATGCAGCTAGCACAAAACTAATTATGCTTTGAAACTAACCTTTTCAGAATGAGAAGCTATATAAAACCTGAAATAAGGAATTTCTTCTGTAGGTGCTTTCAATGAAACAAAATTAAATGTGTCTTATACTGTCAAATGCAATTTAATACAAGAACCCTAAGATGACTTTATAACCACACGGTGTCTTTAAAAATTACTCAGGTATTTCTAAAAACTCAAATCCCTTTCCCAATTCCAATATTTGAGAAGAACATTTTTACAAATGCTTTCTTAAGATCCTACTTAAGAGCTTTTCACTTGTCCAAACTTGTATTTGCAAAAATTCTACAGCCACCACGTGAAGTTTCCCACACATCTGGAGACACTTCACAGCACTAAACTGAGTGGACGAGCAAGCAGAATCACAGAATCATCTAGGTTGGAAGAGACTTCCAAGATCACCAAGTCCAACCTCTGACCTAACACTAACCAGTCCTCCACTAAACCATATCCCTAAGCTCTGCATCTAAACACCTTTTCAAGACCTAAGACAATCAGTTTCATTCTAATCATGGCTACTCAACTATTAGAAAGAATTCCTACCTAAGCAACATCAACATCTAAGAAATACAACTACATGCAGGCTTAAGGACCTGTTGAAGGAACACCATGATTCTACACTCCCATGCACTTGCCTTCCTTTCACGAACAATGACAAAATAACCTTTAAAACCAGATCTTTACCTGGGGTTTCCTCGCAGCGCGGCATGGTGCAGAGCATTAAACCCGTTGTTGTTGGTGATGGTAACGTCTGCTCCAGCCTCTAGCAGCACGGCCAGGATGTCATCCCGCTTCTTACTTATCGCGTCGTGAAGGGGAGTGTCGCCTTCAGAATCCTGAAGCCAGAAACAACTTGGATCAGTTTTTGCATGCATCCACGTTAAAGAGAAGAGACATTTAGATATCACTAGGAAAACTCACTACAGAAACACACAACAGCTCTTCACGCCTAAAAGTGGAGCTATATTGCCGAGTTCAGAGCAAGCTGCTTCCGATCCTGCTCTGGTTTTGCAAACCCTTCAGTAGGTAACCCCAGTAATCCCAGTCCTGGGCTCCCAGTCTTCTGTGGTTACCCAGTTCCCGGTACTCCACAGTTGGAGTATGCCTTCCATCTGACAGAACTGAGGACACCGGTGTAGGCATCAGCTTCCCTGTGCCTCACATCCCGATTGAGCTGATGCCCAAGTTACAATTTCTGAATAACAGGGCAGCAACAAAGACTAACCCAACAGAGGAGACTAGCCAGGCGGGGGAAGGCTGGGAATTTTGAGGGATGATGGCCAAGATCGAACTAGCAATTAACCATGGAAAAGGCAATACCAAAAAAGACACTACAAAATAAAAGCATAAGCAGAACAGAAACCAAAATGTAGTCCAAGTAAGAAATTTAGGCACATCTGCTATTTTAACTGAAGCACATCATTTTCCACAAAGCAAAGGCCAATGTCATGAGCAATATTAAGCTTTTAAACTTGTTATGGCAAATACCAGATTACATTACACAAGGTACGTGAAAGTATTTCACTGCATAATTGAAGGCAAATAACTCATATTTTTAGCTTGTCATTGTATTTTTCAAATATCCCAAATAAGGGAAAATGCTTTTTATTCCTAGAAGTAATTTGTGCATTATTTATTCAAGGACTCAAATGGTAGAACTGAAAAGGAATGCCCCATGACTAACAGAGAGGGAACACATCCATTTATGCTTATTTGCTTCTATAGGCAAACTCTCCAGATTTATGCTTCCAGTAAAATTCTAATGCCATATAAGTCAGGAAGGCTTTTGTCACTGACACTGACTCAGCTGGTAACTGATAAACACAGGAACTGAACATTTTAGCAATACACTGCAGCATGCAAGCAAATCTTTACCAACTTTACAGTGAGAATCACCAGCTGCCAAACAAGAAGTGCCAAATAATAGAAACACTTGAACCAGTGTCAACCAGTTTGCCAAAATTAAACCATGCAGCTTTTATTCACTTTAATTGATCCTATTTCCTGAATTTACTGTTTGTAGGCTAATATACATTTTTTGTTTACACAGTGAATTGGGTTAAATAGTAGAGAGCTGGCCGGTTAAATTCCAGTCATGCCTCAGTCTGCCCCTCCTGTGCTCTTATCCACCAAAATCAATCACCAGCTCACAGTTGCACGAGAGTTGCTCTGCATACATGCATGATCTGAAAGTTCAGTATTTTCAGAGACAACTGTATTTTCCAGGTGGATTTTCATGGAACTATTCTACTGAGCTTTTCAGACCAAACACACTTCTATAATTCAAACTCGAGATACCCACATTGGCTATCCGTACCTCATCCATCATTATGTGATAGACACAGCCACCCTTTACGGGACTCAACCCAACAGACTCCTTATTGATCTGATGTTCAACAAATACTAAAATAGGGGCTGGATAGCTGACACTGCTCATCCCTCAGCCAGATCAAGCGAGTGCCTGCAAAGCCAGGTGAAAGCAGATGAACAATCACTTTATTTGCTAATTTTAAGAACGTTTGCTCATCTTTTGTTACATGGATATACAGTTTCAAAAATCCTTTTTGACATTATGGCAAAAACAAGAGAATTAATGTGTCATTACAATATATCTTGATTTTCCCGGGACATTACAGCTTTTTCTTTCTGTTGCAAACCTCTTCAAACTTCACCTTTCTGATTTCTTCTACTAATGCACTGCATTCACAAGGCGGCTGCGTTCAGCTCCTGCAGAACGTGGATGCCTGCTTATTTGACAGCTGGTTTCTCCTCTACCTTCTCAACGGGAGGCTGCACTCATATGCTGCAGCTTCCGCCACATTAATTATGGATAAAACTCACTCCCTGTGTAATTCTGGTACTGGAGGCCCTATGCATCACAGCTTTTTAGATAAAAGCCTGAATTTAAAAGAGAATTTGGCCAAACAGTTTTAACAACGATAGGTCAATTCTTAAAGAAAGTTGTTTTGTTTTGTTTTTTAATGAAACATTCCACAGTATCACCAGCTAAAAAAATGCCAAGCTGTGGCTTGCAGAAGGAGCAAACAGCTGCAGATTAAATAAAGGAGGAATTAAACAGGAGAAAAAGTTAACAATTACAGATAACTACAGGCTGTGAAAATATCAATTCACACAAACTGGTTTGAATAAGTCAGGTGCCTATATCTAGGTGTCAAGAAAATAAATTAATGTAAGAGTTATTTTTATTACAGTTCATCATGTTAGGGGAGATGCTGGGACAGATAACTTCATGAGATCTGTTCCTTTCAATCCTATTCTCTATAATTCTTCTATCACCTATACACAGCATCCACACAGAGCAAACCAAAATTAAATACCTAAGAAGTGAATCCATGTCAACATTTACATTACCTGGAGACTAGGATGGCAGCCAAAGTCCAACAGAGTCTTCACAACTTGTAGATGACCTTTGTTGACAGCAATATGAAGTGGAGTCTGCCTCCGTTTGTTGCGAGCATTCAAATCCGCACTGCCTCGGTGCAAAACCTCGATCACAGCACCCTCGTCACCAAAGGCTGCGTGATGAACAGCCCTGTCTCCATCTTTGTCCTAAAGCAGAAACATTATTTTGATCCAGCATGCTCCACATTTCCTTTCAACAAGATGATGAATTTATACTGAACCATTACACATTCTCAATTTCTTCAAAGAAAGTTAAATAACCTCAATGCTTTTCAAATACTGAAATAATTAAAAAATTGATCAAAATACAAACAGTAGAGAATGAAGAATCTCTGTATAAAAATATACACATTCTATCTAGCAGTATCAGGACATCCCCAGAAAATGTCACCATGAATAAATACGCTGTGCAAAGCAGGCAAAGCAAGGATTTTTATCCATTGCTTCCATGCCACAGACCATGACAGTGAAGTAAACAGACTAAAGTTTTGCTCTGGCCTTAACAGAGCAGCTCTGCAGCATCTTCTAAGGCCTAAAATGTATGTTAATATAATGCTAAGAGCCCAAGCATAGAAAGTTGTTTTTCTGTTACCCAAACAATGCCTGGGCCCACTATTAGTTTCTGAGCACTCTATTAAGCTTTAATTTATATTCTGAGAAAGAGAAATTTGACGGATCCTTCTTGTGCTCCACAAAATGAACAAAGGCTACACCGCCAATGCATTACATCTAAGTATAAAAGAGGTAAAATCAGTTAAAAATGCAAATATTACAATCTGCTGGTAGAAAATTCTCCCAGGAACAATCATTCTAAAAAAATAAAAAATAAACAAGAAATCCTTCCATTTTAAACTGAGAGTTGGCAGTTGTATTACTCTCTGCTCAAACTTTCTTTTAAGTGAACACTGTATATAAGGAACAGGGTAAGTATCTGACGTTGGAGATGCAGCACCTGACAGTATCTTCCTCTTCTGAATGCCACAGGCAGTGTGCTGGCCTATTGCACTCTACTACTGAAATGAAATAAAGGAAATTAAGAAGAGGCTTCATCCACTACAATCCCATAGTAGCTTTACACAGTTCTATATACGAGTTATATTTCACATAATTAAAGGTGTTAAAGAACTGGGTATTCAACCTTTGTAATACTGTCAAGCAGGAGGCTAGTTTGGGAATGTAATCATGGTAAGAAAAGAGAGTTTCCACTCACTGACATTTAAAAGAATTATCTGACCCACACATTGAACAGTGCAAGGCAGGGAAGCAGAAAAAGGACCCAAACAGGAAAAAAAAATGAATAATGTATGCAATTCCCCATTACTTAGAGCAAATTCAAGATCAAATTGTTTTAAAAACCATCACCGCAATAATTACATCTAGATAAAAACTGTTACAGAAGGCAGTATGTACTTAGTTATGTTTCCCATATTTTTCCCCAATGGAGAAAATAAAAAAAAAACAAAAATCATAAAAAAACATTTCTCAAAAGATATAACTGCTATCAAATAGGCTGCTATTTTCTTAAAATAAATGCAGTTGCAACTTACTGTTCACCTAATGCAAGAAAGCCAAAATAAGTTCTGTGTAATTCCAAAGAGTTAACAGAGCATTAATAGAGCCATTACAGATAGTGCAAACTATCAAGAAAAGATTAAGTGAATTACTACTTAAATGAAAGTGATGTTGTCTCCCCATGAAGCCAAAATTTAACCCTCAGGTGAAAGTTAGAACAATCTAAGATCCATTTTGCCTACTTAAAAAAGATAGTGATATAATAAGGAATCAGTTCTAGTAACAAGGAAACAATTTTGCTAAAAGATTTTGGTGCCTTAGAAATACTGATCATAGGCAGCAAAAAATGCAATTAATTTCCCAATAGCTAACAAAGAGGAAGAAAAGAGACAGGTGTACACAAGGTATCAGTGAGACACAGAATCAATATCCTGAAGGTCAGAGTCCTATCCGCTGTAGAAGTCATAGCCACCAGGAAACTGAAAAGTAATCTCACATCTCTCCCACATCCCATTCACCCCCGCCCCACAAAACAGAAATGCACACGCTAAATGGCAGCTTTTAAATACAAAGCTACACATCTTGTACTAAACACATGATGCTTTTAAGATCCTGTCCAAGAAAGGCAATTTGTATAAAATATAGTCCTATTCATTTCCTTGCACCCTGGCTATATACCATTTTAAAACCTTATTTCCTTACACACCCAATTACACTGCAATTTTTTCAATAGTTAGCTACCAACAAGAAAAGCAGTTTGCCTGTCACCTGGCACACTTTGTATTTCTGTACATAGCAAAGTTTAAAACTTAAGGGGACAAAAAGAGCGTATTTTAATAATATTTAACTTACCTCTGCTTCTACATCCACATTCTGTTTCAGAAGCAACTTCAAAATGTCAACAGTGGCCATTCTGACTAGCCGCTTGCATAGCTGTGTGTCCAGCACATTGTCCATTTACCTGGAAGCATATTAATACTTTGAGATCATCTGCAAGATACACACATGCGTACCTATGAGACACAGTATACACGCAAGTGTCTTAGAAAACTTAAAGCAACAGCGTATCACAGCACATAAAGCTATCAAAACTATTTTTAGACAGCTGTATTTCTGACATACATTAGGATCTCCTAGGAGAAGATCTCCTTATCATTTTTATAGAATTATCTGGATTGAAGGAAAGACTCAAAGGGATTTACTTCAAACATCAAGACCTTAATGATAGTTGGATTAAAAAAAAAATCACCCTTGGCTACTGTAAAGACAAGATTTTGAGAACAGGTCTCAGAATGATGCCAGTTCTCTGTTCTCAGAACGACGACAACTCTCTCTCCCTCTCATCATCATTTTCTAATTTATGTCAAGAACAGGAGTCAATCTGAACAAAATACCATGCTTTGTATAATCTTGAGCTGCAGATTACCCCTCAGAACTGATGGAGTTTAACCTCTGTTGTAGTGAGAAAAATATCTCGTGATTTCAAAACATGTTCCCTGAAGGAAGCCCTAACATTCTTAAACATTTTCTTTTAGATTTTTCACTGTTATGTGATTAGACAATTTGGTAAAAAGTACTTGACAAAGTGCATTAGGTGGTCTATTTCATGAATTAGAAAAAGAAAAAAATAAAACAAAACCAACACACACAAAACCCACCCAAATCAATCCTCCTTCCCTTTATCTCAAAACAAAAGAAGTTCAAGACCCTTTACTAATTGCAAGCGTTTGTCTCTCTGCCCTGACTCTGGAAAACACATGCCTAAAGGTATTTTAATTCACAGCAGACAATGTAACACAAAACTTGACCAGTAAAAAAAGGTACTAAGCAGCATTTTCATACATCCCCCAGCACATTTCATAGGACAACAAATAGAAGAGACACTGGGACCAGCTGACACACTACTGTCTGGCAAGGGTTATCTAGGACAACTTTTTTCAATATTACAGGTCCCCAGAACAAGCCCCCTCCAGAACTGAACACTCACATCCACATCTGGTCTCTTTAGCAGATCTTCCACTTTAGCAACATCTCCGTTGGCAGCAGCTTTAACCAATTCTTCATTGAGATCTCCAGATTCTTGGGTTTCAAACAGTTTCTTCAATAGTTGGGACAATCTCTCTGGAATTATTAAACAAAGCACAGTTAAGATTACAATTTTAGTCACACAAGAACAGAAAAATGTGTGAAATTTGTTCCTAACGACATGTACATAGTAATATACAAACCACCATAAAATGGCAGCTTTAATTTACTATACAGTTTCGAGGAAACACTGCAACTCCATTATCCTTCACATAGTAGAGGCCGTCACATCACATATTTCATAACAAAGTTGATTTAACCACAAACAGTTTGTCTACTGTGAAATACAAAAGGGCAGGGGGGATGTAAAAATGAATGTTGATATACCAGGCTTTTTTAGTCTTCTAGCTTAACTTCATATTAGACTAAAAAAAAAATCTCCCACTGCGATTAGTTAACGAATGTCTAATTAAGTTTAAGACAATGCATTTAAGGAAAGAATACTATCCTGAGTAACTGCTTGCAACAAATTCCTCCCTTATGCTTGTTATCCCCCAAAACCTTTTAAACAAGGAACAAATACACTGCTTGCTACACCCAGTGGCACACTCTTCACGCCTCAGAGCCTATTCCAATCTAACATCCCTTCTAATCACTTCAATTTTAAAGCCCTTAGAGCTGAACTGTTTTAAAGCCCTCCAAGCTTGCACTATACTTGTACTGTAGCCAAACAGAAACACAAATTTGATTTGGAGTTTTTGCATCTTATCAAGAGAAGATTGAATAACATCTCCATACCCACTGCAAGCTTATTCTTGTGTCTCTCTGGGAAGTTAACATTGGATTAGCTGAACCCTGAGTCTGAATTTTATTAGCTTAACATACAAATGATGTACCAGTACTTAACAATTTTGTGATTAACACCACTACTCATCATACAGACGTTACAGGTTATTCTTCGAACTTACCACCGGATGCATTACTTATAGCGGATCCTGCTGATGCCACCTTTGAGACAGCTGCTGGATTATACGTCCACGATGTCCCACAGACCTCCACCTTTAAGTCACTATCTGAATAGATCTGCTGGACACGACCAACTTTACCCAAAGTCTGCATTGAAGAAAACATCAAATGTAAATAACACTAAAAATAAAATGTTGAGAAATATGAAAGTTGTAACAAAGCATAGATTTTATGAAGTCTGTTGTATAATAGTACAGTCACTAATCCCTTTAACTAAGATTCATCAGGCTAGGCAGATTACGATAGCTGAGCAAGTATTACCCTGCTTAGTGAAATGTACTTTCTCTGACTTAGAACAAAGTCACAACTGACTCCCATAACCTCCAGGTACTTTAATAATCACAATCAGAAAAATTGTATGAGCTGTACGATCCTAATAGTCCAAACATACAAGTACTTACAGGAAGCATTGCTTCAGCCCACTCTCCATGACCTCTTTGAAGAAGCTTGATTCGCTCCAAGTCATAGCAGACTTGAACAAGGTCACCCACTTGAAATTGAGAGGTGCCTCCTTCTGCACCTTGAGCAGCATCTCCACTTCGGACAACATTGGCTTTAGTGAGAACAGCTGGATTAAACGTCCACCTAGACAACGAATCATTTAAAGCAGAGTCTATAAACTTGGGAAGCTGAAATAATGCTTAAAATAATCTCCTTGTATGCCTAAAGCTCTCTACAATTTGATATTACATCATATATCCTGCTAACCATTTTTTTGCCCATACACATCTGTGGCTCTTTAGTTTAATATTGCCAAGTAATCCTCAGAGATGTACATTTCTGAAGGAATATCCTCCCAGGGAAATGAGAAGCAAGCTCACAACAACATAATAGTCCTGAAAGTAGCTATACAACTCGTTTATTTTTTCAGGGCGAGAAGAAGACAAGTCAGTCTGTTTGGAAAGATTCAAATCGTCTCACAAAGGATTGTACTGTAAGAGAACAACAAAGAAAGAACGCAGGACTTTGCCTCTTCCCAAGAAGATGCAACAGTCAGTTTTAAAAATGTTCTCCATCAAATGCGTGGCCTAGATGCACCTCAATTTTTAACCAAGCTATCCTCGTTTGTACTGGAAGTTTTATTGGTTTACAGACATTCAGCTGTTTTTATGCTGCATTATATTATAGTATCTAATACGGTGGTGTGTCCTTTGTATCATTTGGTCTGGGGTTGACTTGCACTCAACTATCTGATCTCACTGAGAAGCATCAGATGATCTCTATAAAGGACAAAGTTAGGAAAGAAACCACAAAACAGACTTACCTCCCCTGACTGGCTCGCAGATATTCAGAAATAATGGTACCTGCACCCCTTCAGCTCGCATTAGCTAGGAAAATAGCTTAATATTTCAAAGTAATACAAAACAAACAATATCCAGAGGGAATACTTGAATGAATAAGGTGATGTTGATGTTGACAGATTAAACTGCTGAGCAATCAGCACTGCACGAAGTTCAACCAGAGCAAGTGCTGGATTCTGCACCTGGGACAGGGCAACCCTGGCTGTAGGTACAGACTGGGGGATGAGAAGCTGGAGAGCAGCCCTGCAGAAATGGATCTGGGGAGGTTTGTTTGATGACAAGATGAATATGAGCCACCAGTGAGCCCTGGCAGCCAGCAGGGCCAACCATACTCTAGGGTGCATCAAGCATAACAGTGCTCTGAAAAAAAAAAAAAAAAGAGTTTATGTCTAGTAGAAGAAGGGATAGGACTAGAAAGTTGCTAGCTTATGCAGGGAAAAAATCAGAAAGGCATGAGCTCAATCTGGCCACTGTGGTAAAAGAACAAGAAGTTGTTTTTTTTTACAAATACATTAACAGTAAGAGAAGGGCCAAGGAGGACCTCCATCCTTTACTGGATGCAGTAGAGAATGTGACTACTATGGATAAGGAAAAGGCTGTGATTCTCAATGCCTTTTTTTTTTTTTTGAAGTCTTTAATAGTCAGACCACTTATCCTCAGGTAGTCAGCCTCCTGACCTGGAAGTCTGGAACAGGGAATAGAGTCATCCCCCCGAGATTCAGGTGGAATCAGTAAGAGACCTGCCACTCCACCTCCACAGTCACAAGCCTATAGGGCCAGATCAGATCCACCCCAGCATGGGTTCATGAAAGGCAAGTCCTGCCTGGCCAACCTCATCTCCTTCTATGACCAGGTGACCTGCCTGGTGGACAAGGGAATGACTGTTGATGTAGTCTACCAAGATCTCAGCAAAGCCTTTGACATGGTCTCCCTCAGTATTCTCCTGGAGAAGCTGGCAGCCCATGGCTTTTACAGGTACACTCTGTGCTGGGTTAAAAACTGGCTGGATGGCTGGGCCAGAGAGTGGTGTGAATGTAGCTGAATCTAGCTGGCATGAGTGGTATTCCTCAGGGGTCAGTGTTGGGGACCATCCTCTTTTAGTATCTTTATCGATGATTTGGATGAGGGAATTGAGTGCACCCTCAGCAAGTTTGCAGATGACAGCAAACTGGAGGGAAGTGTCCATCTGCTGGAGGGTAGGAAGGCCCTGCAGAGGGACCTGGACTGGATGGGTCAATGGGTAGAGGCCGATGGGATGAAGTTCAACATAGGCTACGTGCCAGGGTCCTGCACTTTGGTCACAACAACCCCATTCAGCAATACAGGCCTGGGGCAGAGGGGCTGGAAATCTGTGAAGAGGAAAAGGACTTGGGGGTGTTGGTTGATGCTTGCCTGAACATGAGCCAGCAATGTGCCCAGGTGGCTGAGATTGCCAACAGCACCCTGGCTTCTATCAGGAGTAGTGTAGCCACCAGGGCCAGGAAGGTGATCGTCCCCCTGTACTCAGCTCTTGTGAGGCCGCACCTCCAGTGCTGTGTTCAGCTTTGGGCCCCTCACTGCAAGAAGGACATCGAGGCCCTGGAGCATGTCCAGAGAAGGGCTACGGAGCTGGTGAAGGGCCTGGAGCACAGTCCTGTGAAGAGCGGCTGAGGGAGCTGGGGGTGTTTTGTCTGGGGAAGAGGAGGCTCAGGGGAGACCTCACTGCTCTCTATCAGCCACCTGAAAAGAAGGTGTGGGGAGCTGGGGGTCAACCTCTTCTTGCAGATAACTAGTGATAGGACTAGAGGGAATGACCTCAAGTTGTGCCAGGGGAGGTTTACGTTGTAAGTTAGGACAAATTTCTCCTCAGAAAGAGCAGTCAGGTATTGGAACAGGTTGCCCAGGGAGGTGGTAGAGTCACCATCCCTGGCAGTGTTTAAGGAATGTTTGGATGTGGTACCCATGGACATGATTTAGGGGGGTAGATAGTGTTAGTAGTGGGATGGTCGGACTAGATGATCTTGGAGGTCTTTTCCAAGCTTGAAGAGTCTATGATTAGATGAGATCCCCAACTTAAGAAGCTCACATCTTAACCCCTTTTCCTGAAACCCCACAACACACTACTATTACCATTCCCCCTTAAAGCCATGGGATATGTTCTAATTTAAAAAAATAAAATACTGTATAAAACACTGTCTTAGAAATAAGATACTCCACAGCTTTATTATTTTGGACTCAAACTATCATTAAGTATGAGAGGGAGCAAATTTTTCTCCCTAAAGCTTTAAATCTTTAAAGATCTGAGAGCTGCGCTATTAAAGTCCTTGTTACACATTGCAAAAGCAATATAAAAATTCTCAGGGAAATCTTAATATACAGAAAAGGAGAACAGAACGTTTCTGGCAGCAAGTGATCGCAGTGCAGAAGGCAAAGGCAGTCTGTGAGATCAGTGACAGAAGGCTACATAACAAACCTGTTGCCACTTGGATATTGTACTACAATGTCATGATCCTCATCAATGCCACAAACTGTTCCAGTTGTTGTTAAGGTTTCAAACATGCCATCAGTCCATCCTCCGTGACCATGCTGCAAAGACTGTACAATTTCCAAATCAAGGTCAATGTTTACAAGGTCACCAATCTGCAGCCCACCAGGATTTCTGTTACCAGTTTTGCTCACCTGAAATGGAAAGAGAAGAAAATGTTCACATGACTACATTAATTTTCCAAGCAATCTAAACAACACAAATTCATTTCTGACACAGAACTGATACCCACATAACCTCTCCGTATCTATGAAACTGGAGTGGCCAAGAGCTGAAAGGGAGGTGAACAGGTTAAAAAGAACCCTGAGTCCCTGGGTATGGAATTATCTATTTCTCTTTGAGTTTTCACGGCAAATAGTGAAATGGTAAATGATAAATACTTGTGACAGGCTCTAGTTTGACCTCTAACAGGAGGGGTAACAGCTGTGGTGCTAAACATCAAAATTAGCTCTGATAGTTTTGAGGCATCACATACAAAGTGCCATGTACCCCCTCAGAGGCTGAAAGATAATCAGAATGCCCACAGAAAGTGATTTTTTTTTTTTTTAATTGGGTTCCTGAACGTAGAGAAAACACTGGCAAAAAAGAAAAACACTGCAAATTTTTGTGCAAAAACCTTCTCCAGACAATGCCTGATTTCAAGAGACACTTCATACCAAAAAGTCAAAAGCTGGGAAAAAGCAGCATACATCCACATACATCAAGCTATGTTAACTGATGAGAGAATGAACTTGTAGATCTGCTCGCTGACAGAACAAGAGGATGGTATTTGGTACTGTCCACTGAATAACCACAGTGACAACTGCAGAACTCATGTAGATGGAGTTCAACAGCAACATCAGTGGCAAGGAGAGGGTGAGCCTTTAATAACACTGCTGCCTTAAAGGGAAAAAAAGTGTTTTTCCTCTTCCAAGCAAGAGGCAATAATGGAGGAGGGGTCCTCACATTGTAGTAAGCAGAAACATGTAGTTCGATGCAGAGAGACGATGACATTCTTTGGAGGGAGACCAATTCCAGAGACCAAAATCCACACCAGGTGTTGCAGCAAAGTCTGCAGAGGACTTAATGGTCAAGAAGAGACTACAATGCTGCTTTAGAAGAAACTGCTTAGAGAGGAAACATGGCCACAAGCGGATGCTCACGTTCAATGGACGTTGACTTCTACGACCACTCACACTGTCACAGTGACCTCTCTCTGTCCTGGTCTCTGTTTAAAGGACCTATAGACAGAACGCTATTTTGAGTCCGCACCCTTTACCTTTGCAACAAAACACTCACAACATGGGAACAGCCAATCCTGCTGTTACCGACAAAGTCAAAAAATATTTCTACAGAAAAGCTACTGATAAAAAAAACTCACTAGAGAGAAAACTGATCATTTGAAGACAAACGCTCCAGAGACGGCCATGATTAGACAGGGAAGAAAGAGCAAAATTTATAGAAGTGTTAACTGGAGGTTAACTGGGGTGTCTGAAGGTTATCTGGTCTGATATTCCACACAAAGCTGAGCTAGCAATGACCATCTGAGGTCAGCTACGGCTTTGTCTATCTCCATTCTGAAAGTGAAGTTGAGCAGAGGGCTGGAGCACCTCTCCTATGAAGAAAGGCTGAGAGAGCTGGGGATGTTCAGCCTGAAGAGGAGAAGGCTCCAGGGAGACCTTACTGCAGCTTTTCACTACTTAAAGAAGGCTTATAAAAGAGACGGAGAACAACTTTTTGCTCAGGCAAATGGCAGGATAAGGGGAAATGGTTTTAAACTACAAGAGGGAAGATTCATTTTAGATGTTAGGAGGAAATTCTTCCCTCAGAGGGTGGTGAGGCACTGGAACAGGTTGCACAGAGTGGCTGTGGATGCCCCATCCCTGGAATTGTTCAAGGTCAGGTTAGACTAGACCCTGGGCAACGTGGTCTAGAGGGTGGCATTCCCCCTTCATGGCAGGGGAGCTTGTAACTACATAGTCTTCAAGGTCCCTTCCAACTCAAGCCATTCTACAATTCTATGAGCATTTTCAGTCACCCTTCGATGAGCAGTAGACAGTTGGTGGATTACATCTTCACCTCTTCCTTGCCAGACTGAACAAGCCCAGCTATTTCTCCTTGTGAATCATGTCCTCACAGTCCCTTAACCACTTTGGCAAACCAACATCAGACAGAACCTGTAGAGTTTCTAAAACACTTTTTTGAACTGAAGGTGTGGAGGGTGAAAGTGCCAACACAAACTGGACACAGCCTCATCATCATTGAGAAGAAAGGGCCTCAAGTTGCCCCAGGGAGGTTTAGGTTGGGTATTAGGAGAAATTTATTTATTGAAAGGGTTGTTAGGCATTGGAATGGGCTGCCCAGGGAAGTGGAGGAGTCACCATCCCTGCAAAGGTCTTCAAAAAACGTGTAGATGTAGAACTTAGTAGCATGGTTTAGTGGTGGACGTGTCAGTAATAGGTTATAGGTTGGCCTAGATGATCTTAAAGATCTTTTCCAATCTGAGTAATTGCCATATAGCCAGCCCACTATCCAGTTTGCTTTGTTTGCAATGATGGCATACTGCCATCATATTTGGTATTCACTGCAACACCCATGTCTTCCTTGGCAAGGCTCCTCACTTAGGAATGCACAATTCCAAGTCTGTCCTGGTACATAGTGTTATTTCAACCATTCCAACCACTTCTGGTTGAAGTCCGTGAGGTCTCCACTCACCAAATTCTTCACTTTCTCACGATTTTTCTGAATAAAGCTCTACTTTCCACTACACTGTTCAGCCAATTTGGTGTCACCTGCAGATTTTCTGCGACTGGATTTGCCTTATCATAAAGGTCACTGAGGAGGTACTGAACAAAATTAGCCTCAGTATTTTGTCCTGACTACTATTTTAATTAGGCCCCTGCTGAACTGTTATTAGTACTCTACTCTAAATAACACAAAGCTTCAAAAATAACTTTCTAGCTTTTAGTGCAAGCATAGATTTAAATTCACAGCATGAACTTATCTGTGAACTATGTTTAGAATACAAATGAAAGGGACAGATGTTCTATCAAAGAGTGGGATTGAGAAGATGGAGCATAACGTGGTTAGAATGATGAACTAAGTTCGTTGTCATCCATTAAGAGCAACTTGACAATGTAGAAGAGAAAGAATTTAAACAGTCTCCTACCAACTTCAGTGATTAACATTGATGCACTCAAACACAGTATCACCCAAAAGCAAGCTACATGTAGAAAGTATAGACCTGTACTTTTAAAACATGAACCAAAATAAATGCAGGGTATGCATGAGAACCTAGGTTTACTGTGTGTAACAAAGAACCTATTCCCAGTTTTACATTCCCACTCATGTCAGACTCAAGTGACAAAAGTCACTTCAAGTACACAAGCAAGATACAAAGATCAGAATAACTTGCATTTTTACTTCCAAACAATTCCTCTACATAACAGTACATAGCCTTCTGGACAACATTTTATTATTATATTTTTAATAAAAAAGGCAAACCTTTACTGTTTTCACCTCTTTACTATTGCTGTCAAAAAGCAATAGTGCAAAAAACAGAATTTTCTGTAGTATCCCATTTTATGTCCAGATGTTTCACAAAGGAAATACACATTAAGACAAGGGGCAACGGGTGCAAGCTGGAACCTGGGAGGTTCCGCTTAAATATGAGAAGAAACTTCTTCACAGTGAGGGTAGCAGAGCACTGGAACAGGCTACCCAGAGGGATGTGGAGTCTCCTTCTCTGGAGACATTCAAAACCCGCCTGGACACATTCCTGTGTGACCTGATCTAGGTGTTCCTGTTCCAGCTGGAGGATTGGACAAGATGATCTTTGAAGGTCTCTTCCTATCCCTAACATTCTGTGTTAGATAACACAGACATTTGTGCCTAGGAATTCATAAACTTTATTCCAACTTGACTGTATTTCAAAAAAACAGAACATCGGGCAATTATTTTTATTATTTACTCCGCACCTATTTGTAGCCCAGCTAAGACACAAGAGGAATGTGTCAGTGCAATAGTAGATATGGGAAACTGCAACCAAGATTTCACAGCATATACTAGTCTTAGCACAAAGTAATATGCAAAATTGTATGTTCAACTGGGTTTGTTTATGGCTGAGTATATTCTACTTGTTAAACATTTCTGAATACCAAAAAGTCCTAGAAGAATGCATTGATATTTAGCTCCTTAGAAATACACCGCACAACACGTGACTATTTATTGTTCGTTCAACATTTAACAGCTCCCTTGCCATCAGTCTGGCACATTGATACCAAATAATATTGAGGAAGGAGTTACAGTTCATTATTAATGCACTGAAATGCTACCATTTACAGTTCACCAGGAAGGACAGTCATTTTAGATTACATTTGAAAAGAAACCCACACGTATAATTAACATGGATCAAAACAAATTTACACTGTCTTCAACTCACCTAACACAGGACAATGGTCCCTGTAGAAAGAGCCTCCTTTTGCATCTTGGACACATTTCAGGTCAGACTAGGGAAAGAGATTAAGGCAACATTAGTCCTCACTGAATGAGTCTCCAGTTAACATAAATCAGTGGAACTAGAATTGAAATACACTCAATTAAGCAAAAATGAAAATTATGCGTACAAAAACATCTTCCATGAAAGTCACTGGAGCAAATAAGCTCAAATAGTTTCGAAGCCGTCAGCCTTGACATTCTCAAAATTTGAGTATCACTTACCAATACAAAAGGCTATAAAAGATAATTTTTTAACCCAAAAAGGTAGTAAAATAACACATCTCCTTGGCATTGTTCTATATAGTTATTGTTTAAAAAAAGCATATGAATACAAGCAAAGAAGAAAGAAGTAACTACAGACAGTGCTTGAGGCCACAGCCTTTCCTGTACAATGTTATTTCAGGCTCACCAGTGCTGTCCCCTGTTCCCAAACATTTTTCTCACATATATATACACATATTAAAAATTTAGAGAATAAAACCTAGCACCTGAATTCTAAAAACTGAACAATTTCCTATGAAAAACATACAGAATACAAAGATGCAGGTTTAAATTAAGCTGAACTAAACGTGATCATTTAAACACAGAAGTTCAAAAGCATATGCCTGCAGAAAGATCATTTTATATTACGTGAGGCACAGAAGTTTCAAGTGTGATAACCAGCTCCTATTCAGGAAGCCAGGGGAGGTTCCTGTGATTCTCCCTTCCTCTAGTTCTTTCTCTGCATAACCCTTTAAGCCAAAGGGCTACCATCTGGCATTGCTCCTTACAGGGAACAACCCTCACTAAACAAAGGGCATTTTGTGTGCATGATGAGCTGGGAAGGAGATCGGGAGTTGTCTGTACATGTGGCAGAATATTCTGAGGAAATGGGGGAAGAAATAAAGATGACAGGCAGCTGGGATCTAATCAACCCAAACTAAGCAGATGTTTTTTTAATAAATATTTTTTCCACATCTAGGATTTATTGACAGACTGTACTCCTGCAAAAGGATTAAAATAAACTCTTTGAGACTTCCAAGCCACTGAGGGAGGCACTGATGACCACCAGGCTTCCCCCAGCGACCCGGACCTACGAAGAAGGCACCATCACTTTCTGAAAAAACAGCAGAAACTGCTGGATTGAAATAATGAGATATAGCTGTTCTGCAAAATAGGAGAAAGGAGGAGTCAGCTGGGCAGGGAACAGCCGTGTACAACAGCCTGCTGCCACCCGGTGGGCAGGCCCTGGCTTCGAGTCGGCCGGGGACAAAAGGGCTGCGCTGAGGGCCCCAGATGGCGAACTGAGGGACACCCACAGACCCCTAACGGGCCTGGAAGCACTCGGTCCCATCCCCTGGACACAGCCTCCTGGGCCAGGCGACAATCACTGGCACAAGAGTTGGTTTTCTTTCTTCACAGCATCGAGCAGAGAGTGCAGGAGGGCCCACACGCATCTCCTTGCAGCCAGGCGATGCTCGCACACAACACAAGGATGGCTAAAAGCTAACTGCAGAAATAAAATAGTAATTAGCCTTTTACTGAATATCTTGCAGCAGAAATTCTCAGGAAGCAGGTTAGGATACCTTGGTTTTTACAGAATGACACAAAACCCTCCAAATCTGCTCTGTCTTACTAGCCAGCCTGCACCATGCAGGTTATTTCTGGAGTATAATGATATACTTGGGTGCAAAACTAAGCTGTAGCTTGATGTCCAGCATTAGCTTTACACTCATCTTCCTTCCAGCAACATGGTGGAGTCAATGTTAAATTACTACAGAGGAAAAGAGTGTGATCTATCACAGAAAAGCAAAGTAACCTGTTCATTTTTAACACGTGTGTCTTCACCAAAAAATTGGAAAGGACTCGAAACGCACAGAAAGATGAGGCACTGACAGAGATGAAGGCAGTAAAACTCATATATGCTGTATTGACAAAGAGTTCCTTTGACAACTTTGTAAACAGCACTACCAGCAAAAGTAACATCAACATAATATAGGCCTTAAAAATAAAACACAACATAACCAACACTAAAGAAAAACACACAGGAGTTTCATGACAGGAAACTTCTTATTTGTACTTCAGAACCATGAAAGCTGATTGAGCAACTAGAATTCTACTTGCAGCAAACCAGATACCAGTTTTATCAAAAATGGAGAACATGAAAGCATGCTTTCTCCTGCCCAAGTCATTTAATTCAAGATGAAAAAAAATAATTCAAAGATGAAAACAAAATATAAGCTTTCATACATTAACTGGATGTAGAAATCATTCAATGAACCCAGAAGATGATTCTCTTCTGAGAAAAGAAACAAAAACAAGCTGTAGATTTTGTGGTATTTATGTATACTTAGAGAAGAGATGGGAACCCCAGTTAAGCAGAAAATCATTAAAATGAAAACTCAACTCAGTGGGTAATGACGGTTTCTGCCTACATCAATCTTTATTCTTTTACCATCTACTTACTGACTTTGCTGAAAAACTCTCTGCTTTTCAGCAGTATGTGACTGGATTACATGAAGATCATGATCTTCTCAGCCAAATGGGAAATACAGAAGATGTAACAGCTGGCTTTGACTTACTATCCAATTATACCAATGAAAACCCAGCCATTTCATCATCATAAAAACTTCAAGGAATAAAAAAAGTGTATTACAGCAGTGTCAGCAGATGGTGTAAAAAGGGCCATCATCTCTGACCTTGAAGAGTAAAACAGTGCTGAAAGAGCAGCTGCCTATTGGGATAGCTGAGTTATTCCCATCAGCACAAAAGGCCAGCCACCCAAACCAGGGAGGTAAGTTTGCAGACGTAATAAGGAGACCAGGTGTGCTAAGAAAAAGAAGAATGTTTGTGAAATAGCACCTACATCAGCAGTAAATACCAGGACAGAAATTAATACTGATCTGACAGTTAAACCAGCCAGAACTATGCACAGCTGCAGGTGTTTGAGGTGGGAGGGAACACACACCCTAAAGGTCATTTTAAGTCTCAAAACTGAGAAATGCTTTTGGCAAGGAAACATGCTCTTGCAGGGCAAATGAAGGAAAGCCAGGGCATGCAGCTTTGTCACTGGGTTACAACAATGAGGGACTAGACAAATCCATAAGCTCTAGCTAAAAATTTTAAGAAATGCAGCATTTCAAATTAAATGAACTGAAATCTTTTTCAGTTTCAAGAAGCTGAGAGAGTGAAAGCAATATAAGGAGATATTAGAGAAAATAACTGAAATGATTAAAGAGGTATGAGGTGTAAAAACACCAGCAACAGCTTCTTACTAGAGGAAAATCAGAACTGCAGACAAATCCTGCCTGAATGGTTTACTGAATGGACTGAATGGTAAGGGTCTATTGATTATAGGTACTTATTAAATTTTTCCACATGTAACTTTCTTTGTTTCCAAAGAGGATCATTTTAAATTCACGACTGTCTTCCTTGGAGGTTTATATAATAAATTAAAAAAATGTAAAATGTATTTCTGTTTAAGGGAAGTATGTTTCTAAGCAGCTCACTTATGGGGAGATGAAAAACTGTTTGGTTGAGACTACAGGAGAATGAACAGAAATAAAGCCATGTGAAGAGAAGCAAAACAAAGTCAGCTGACAAATGCAAATAAATATACATGTACAAGGTATATACATACACATAAACATCTCACTCCTCTCTCAATTTAAAAACAACTACCCCCTACTTCCTAAATCATACTGAAGTCACAGCTTGCCAATATAGAAAAAGAAGCCATTGTATTCATAATAATAGGAATCAACAACTCTATGCTTCCAGCAACATTCCAGATAAATTTGTGGATTAAGATGAAATTGCCTCTTTGAGCAATTCCACAGCTGCTTGTGAACTGAATTCTTGTTTCTTGGATTCTTCCTACACTCCTCATTTCTGAGGTATAGGAGACAAGGTGACAGTCTGGAGATTTGCATTTTATGTTGTAACTGCAGCAGAAAGTATTTCTGCATATTTTATAACTCTCACCTGCAATGCCTCATGTGACAAGAGGTTTGCCTTGTTATTAATTTAAAAACGTGTGCTAACAAACCACTCTTAAAATCCTCTGGAGTGATTTAAAAGACTATCCTTTAAACATAACCCAATAAATATTGATGAATAGAAATTGGGTATCAGCCAGGATCAGAAACAAAGTTTAAAAATAACATCAAAAATGTAAGGGCCAGGAATCTTATTAGCCTCCCTCATGCACTCAACTATTCAGACTTTTGTGGGAGAAAAAAAAAAGTACACAAACACAGATGGCTTACAGATTACTGTGACAATGATGGATGATAACTACAGTTACTTCTTTCAGAGGCTACACAGATGAAAGGAAGATCCTCCATAATGAAAAACAAGAGGAGGAGGTTAATCACAGCAGAAAAGGCAAGTGGTATAACACAAAGAAATTTAATAGCACAGAAATAATTTCTAAATACTGAAACAGATTTAGGACATTCCTGCTAGAGGAACCATTGTCTTCAGTTATTATAGCAAAATCATTCTACCAGTTAAGTAGTAGAATTATAATGCTTATTGAAAACCAATAGATGTTACATCTTCATGTGCTTGACATGAAGAAATTAAAACTCTTAAGTCCAAAAAGCTAAATCTCAATCTTCTCATTCAATTCTCTAATTTTCAATAAACAGATTACACTATAAAAAAAGGCTGTATTCACAAGTAGGTAACACGGTTAACAGCTTGGCTGGCTCTAGAATCTGAATACACATATAGGTATGAAATGCAAGCACTGTTGATAACCATACTAGCCAATTGTACTTGATTCCTACCATGGATGTAACAAACACGTTATTCAACCTAACAGTACCATAAAATCAGATTTCAGTTTGGGGATTTGTGGCCAGCGTCAGCACAGTAGAAGAAACACCCAGACTTAGATGCTAGACTTCATAAAGAAAGACAGGATGCACCCCTCGACCACAACAGCAAACTCGATTAAAAACTCAAAGGATCTGATCACAAATAAATGGAAGTTTTCAGCCAGCACCTGCTGCCCTACCAGCCAATCCTTGTCTCTCCCACGGAAAAGCTGGCAGGCTGGATAGATTCATTCTGAGGACCAGATGCAGCCTGTCAGCTATCAAATAAGCAACCCTGACTTACGATAATAAGCTGTGTTTCTTTAATCAGCTCCATTTGTGTCTGAGTCAAGTGTTACTCATTTGCAAGTATAGGTCTCTTCCCAGCTGTATTTACATGGGCAAACACTCTGAGTATTGTTTCCACACTCTCTGGACATTCTTAATCAATTCTTAAGTCCCCAGACAAGTTTGTCCCAATTTTATATGGACTTTGACAGTCTATTAGCCAGCTTTTTCTAACAGTACATAAATACCAGCAAATAATCATAATAAACTATACGAATTGGCACACAACTGATCAGTTATAAAAATCTACCTTTACATGCAAATGACTGTCAAGGATATACAAAGTCTAAAGTCAAAACTGCATTTGATAAAAGGGTTTGAAAAAGGTAAAAAAGAATGCAGAAATTGATAGAAAAGGATTACAATCAGTTACGCACTACATATATGGCCTCAAATTATCCTTTATGTATGTGTCTACCTATAGTATGGATATATTATCCATTACATGTTATACGTATATCTAGTTTCATAAGCAGTTTATCAGTTCTTTTTTGTTAATTATTGACTGACCAAATATTTCTATTTGTACACATCTTCTGGGGAGAGCTGCCCTTTAGTTCTCCAGCATCAGCTTGCAGTTGATGTAGTTAATGAAATATTTTAGAAATATTTAACACTTCCTTATGTGGCAATAGTTGGGCAAAAGAATAGTTTGTTTACAAATAATAAATATATTTTTATTATTAAGGGAATAACCATTTCACAAAGAGTATGGCTTATCTTCACGTAGTAGTTGTGGAGTCAATAGTAACATTTAGTGATTCCAGAACATTTTATCTCCTATTAGACAGTCCATAATTTTTAATGTAACTAAAATTGCAACACAAAAACCAGTTGAACTCATTCTGTCTAAACTTCGGTAACTGTGCTCCTTTTCCATGTGTCACAATCAAATATTAGGGAGAAGGCACAAACCATTGGTTTCATAATATTACACTATGAAATACTGTAACACCACCACCCTGCTTTTGCCAGCATTTAAGAAATATTCTTTAGAACTGAAGGGACCAGGAAGGATGCCATTCAATAGTGACTTGTATTTTACCCTTAGCATCTTCCTGTTTCAGGCTGAAGAAATAACAAACTTTCCAAAATAGACACCAGAAGAGCTGACCTGCACTTATTCATTCTAAGCCTGATAATAAAATAATACTGAATACCACTTTTGCTGTAAATGTATTTTCTTTTTTATTCTGGAAGTATTTTACTCCAACTGAGGCTAAAAAGTAAATACTTTTCCTTTCTGACAAGTCAGCTAGTCATTGTTTAAGATCTTATTGCTAACACACATCTGACAAGATGACACCTCAATGTTAAGTTAACATGGTTTTCCTCTGCAGTATCAAACAAAAAATCATGCAAAGAAAATGCTAATTAAGATGTTATAAGCAGTTGATAATCGAAGTAACCTTTCCCTGACCCACATTAGGATAAGAAAACCAAGCAACAGAAGGCACTTAGGCTAGAGTCTGACCTATTTTCTCTCTCAAGCTGTAGCAGTAGCCGTAGAAGCTAGGAAGCAAAAAACTTAATGCTAAAGCAAATTAAGGTTGTAACATACTTGCATACCTTCCCGCTGCATTGCTCACAAGAGGGTACTGAGTTTCTGATAACTTAAAAACTGCAAATCTTGCAGTAATCACACCAGAATTTGAAGTGAAATTGAGAAAAAAAAAAAACAGTGTCTTTAAAAAGTTTATGATTAAACTTTTTCTTTTCTGAATTTCAATTTAAGCACAGTATTAGCACAATAAGATAATTGTGCATGCAACGTAAATATTTACGATACTCAGGCAAAAAGGAGCTCTTAACTTTAAATCACTCCTGTGTTTTATTCCCAGATCAGACTTTCCTCCTAATGCATATGCATGATCCATACAGCTGTATTCACAATGACCTGACTAATAGCAGTGCACTGACAAAGGATATTACAAAAGCAGCAGAATAGCACACGTTATTCTTACTGCCCTTCCCCCTCCGAGCCTTTCACCCTTTATGTTTTTTTTATACTTACCATGCCCTCAAAGCCAACTCTGTAAAGGTTTTTAGCACCATTGTCCCAAAGAACGTATGCTGCACTATGTGGACTTGACGCACTCCAATCTTGGATTTCAGTTACCTATTTACAAATAAGAAAAGTGTTTATGCAACAAAAAAAACACTCAGAAACACGATGTGAACTTAAAATCTTCTTCACCCCCTCAGACAAGTTCACAATACCACCAATTTTACTGAATCTAATTAAAAAAATCTTATTAAGCTTCATATCTGTTGATACAAACATTCCCTAGGTGTCTTAATAAGCCTAAGTATGTACTTTGTAGATCTTTCTTCCAAATATCTGGTAGATAACCTAGCTACATAAGTACAAAACAAAATCAGCACCGTAAACATTTATTTTATGATGCTTTGACATGTTCTTACTAAAATTACACTAAGAAAAACAGGATGAAAACTGTTTTAATTGCTCCAATTTGTCTGCATAACCTGCATTAGCCTGGTGGCAGTAGTAGAGGCAAGGTTTTATTTCCTCAGCCAATTTGTTTAACAGCAGGACAAAAGAAAGGAAGTGAAAAGGACTTTGCCTGACATTTCTGAAATCATGAGGCTATGCAGCAAATTCTTACACCACTTCTATTACTCAAAGAATCAACTTCCAGAATTTGCCTTTATTCTTTATTTATTTGAAAGCCATTTCTGCTTTTTGCTTTTCCTAGTTTATATCCATCATGAAGACACTTCATATGCATTTATACATGTCTTCAGCTTGCAAATAATCCCACTAATTCTAGTTTAGTACATCAAATAAACACAGGCTAAGACTCATTTTGCAAGGTTTCAGAGATTTCAAACCATCCTGCAAAGTTCACAGCAAGGGGTAAACCAATCAAGATGAGAAGAAAGATACATCTGAATACCCTTTGCTTTAAGAGATTTGTATTATTTCCTCTCAATAAAATTGAAAATGATATCCTCAGAGGTTCTAAAGCTTCTATAAACATCTAGGATATGAAATAGATTATTTTATTCAGAACTTCTCACTTTATTTGAAAGGCTGCTTAAGGATACTAAACATAAACAAAAATATCAGTTCACCCAGACAGAAGGGAATCCAATTCTCATTCAATAGTATCTCATGTACGGTGGTAAGTCATTGCCTATCTTACCACAACCTGCTTTACATTCATACTTAAAACAAACTCTCCTTAGTTCTCAAGTTAAATCTACAGTGTTGCTAACCATAACCTTAGCAAAATTTTCCGTGTCTTTCCATGCAATCCAATTTTCCATAAATCATTTTTATCATACAACTGTACCAAAAGCTCGCAGTGTCCTAAAAAAGCCAGTAATATAACATCCACAACAGACACTTGCGAAGCTTTCATTTTACATCAGCAAACTCTCTCTCTATAGACTATTAGATGAAAAACAAAAACTCAGGGTGCAAGCTCTTAAAAGCCAAAACCAAGAGATTAACAAATGTGGTGAGCCACAAGTAATCAGACCACAGAATGCAGGAGCGACCAGAAAGGGCTATGCTCGAGAACTGTTTTTACATCATCTCTCCAGTAACACTGAAGTATACTCCAGATCTTGATGTTATAAGGCTGTCCTAGGACAGCCAAGATAGGTTTCTAAAGAAAATTGTAAAAAAGTAAATTTAAGTGAACTTCTCAAACTGTACATCCCCTCCTAAGTGCTAGAGCATTACAGAGCAAGATTAAGAAATGACTAGAACTCAAGTACTGGCTTTTATGGTGACCTATCTTCTCCTCAGTAAGAAAGATCACTGAGATCATGACGTGAACATGCAGAAATGCATCTTTTTATTTAAACTAGCTTTGTTTTATTTATTTATTTATTTATTACCTTTCCCCTACGGCCATTGCCACCGTCTTGATCTTCCCATTGCCAGTCAACTCCTCGTACCACCCTGGCACCTGCAAAGATTCCTCTTGCTGTAATTTTCTTTGATTTACGGCGAGACTCCAGCAATACCCTGAAGTTATTAAAAAAAAAACAAACAACCACCCAAAAATGTCAAGATAATAAAGAAAGTCCAAGAATCCTTCAGGGTAGAAAAGAAGGTAACCATCTTGAAATAAGAGTAACTGCATAAATGCACATTTCATCACTTCCATTAAATTCTCAACTTGAACAGCAGAGCACAAGTCTGTTTTATTATATATTTAAAACTAGCTTTTCATTCTAATAATTTCTTCCCCAGACTTCCTACTACCAACAACAACCTGTAACTATCTACATATAGATTTGTACTCATATTATTTAAATATTATCAAAATCAGTGAAGGAACATACAGACTCTCATAACATACTCTTGTTTCTCTCAGATGCACCCTACGCCAAAATTACTTTTCTGCAACTCCATTTTTATTTAGAATTATGCTATTAAGTGGAATAACTACATCTTTTTCCCCTTTGTGTCTCGTATGTTTTCTACAGTTACAAATCTTGGCAAATTTCATTCAATATATCAGCATTTATTTTGTTGATCTTATTTTTGTCATAACACGCTATTTGCCTAAAGCAAAACTCTTCTTTTCTTCAGACTTAAGTCAGAAGCGACGTAGATAAGCCCAAGTAGTACTGCTAGCGGGAACTTACAAATAGAAATAGAAACATTTTCTTGCATTTTTGGTCATGTCAAAAGCCAGCCGTATGCAATTGGACTGACTTCTTATTTCATGCCACGAGAATGTTGCCAGACAAAAGTATTCAGCTGAAATTCTGAACCTTTCCTGACCTCTCCGGGAAGTATAACACCCTCCTGCTCAACTTTAAAGATCCACCAGATGGCAGACAAGGAAAAAGTTAAACTGTTAAAACCAATGCAAAGAGCATACGAAAATATTAGTAATTTTTATCTAATATAAAAGGGTGAGAGAAAACACAAAGATATGTTGTTTATAGTAGCATTTTAGAAATACCTCAACATCTAAAAACACTGAGACAAAAAACAGCATATATTACTTTAGTATGCAGTCCGTGGTATTCCAGATTTAAGAATAAAATAGGTGGAGCTCATGCTTTCTTCATCTGTACGTATGAAGACGCATCTCATTTTTCCTATGAGCTATCCCTCCAATTCCCTAGTACTGCTATGCCCCTTTCTCCTCCCTCTTTGCCCTCTTCTCCTCCCTGATTAAGTTAACCTAATCAATTTTTTTCTCATCTAAGTTTTACCCAATAGAAACAGCTCCTTGGCAGATAAAGCTACCTTCTACGTAAGAGTTGCAAGACAGATATCAATGGGAGCAAACAGAGAGAAAGCAACAACATGCAAAAGATTTCTGGCAATTCTATACACCACATACAATCTATCTCCAAAATTATGCTTTACATACCGTAAGAGACCACCTAAAACTACAGAGGAAACTTCAGCTAAGAAGGAAATGAAAAAGTCTGGCAAGCATTCTCAGAAGCAATGAGATTTTTTATTTTATATTTTTTTTAAAAAAAGGAGTAAAACAGATCTGTATTTACTACCTAGTCCTTATTCACCACCCTAAGCCAGAATTTTCTACTCAAGGATCAGACATCTACGTCTTGTTCTGCATTAGAACTTTGTGACTCAGATACTAAGTTTATGGTATCTATTTGGTAACTACTGGCATGAATCTCAAAAAAACAGAAGTTACTTTTTGATTAAACCACGGACATGGGCGTTTTTGCCATAGTTAAAACTCAAAAGCAAACATCTGAGACAATAAACAGTCCCTACAAGAAAATAAATGAGAATCCAGTCCTTGTGCTCCAGACACTCCTCTCAACTGTAAAAGTGCTGATAAAAGCACACCATTAAATTACAACTTCATCGTAAACCTTACTTCACCAAGAAGAAAAACAATGCTCTGTCTTACGCGTCACATTCAACTGCATATCACATGTATATAAAAGAGGCTTCCAATGATATAATAAGAGTACTTTAGGGAGTTACCACACAAGTGATACCACACCATGTAGCCCTTACATAGTATTTTCATGCAGCTCTTGAAGTATTTAGTAACAGGCAAGCATCACTGTTCTCACTCAGCCAGTCAATAGATCATGATAGGAAGGGGCTTTGAATTTAGACAAGTTATTCAAAGTCAGAGAACATAAGAAGGCTAGGTGAGAACTAACTAAAGCCATTTTTCTCCCCATGGTTCTTCTCTAGGAGACTCAAGTAACAGATGCTCAAGAAAATAAACATTAAAATCAAGGGTAGAATGACCCCTTCACAGCATCTTTTCCTCTGCTTTCGGTAATGAACAGCAAGTTCAATTTGGTGATTTTGTCTCCAGACCCCTATGTTCTTCACAGTCCACAATAAGGAAATTCTTTGATCTGTCTACACCATTTTTGAACCTAATTCAACTTTCACATTCAGGAATTTGCTGATAAATAATGTTGTGATTACACATTGTGTAAAGATACTTGTCTTTGTTTTAAACCTGCTATACAGTAACACAAGAATTTAGCAGCATGCAATGAGGTTAAAAAGAAACTGAATAATCAAATCCTAAATTCTCTCTCTACTCCATTCGTTCTAATTTTTCTTGTTTTCCAAACTCAAAAGATCTGTCCTATCTGAAGTCCCTCACAAAGAGGCAGAACCAGTAACTGAGTCTATACCTCAAGACAATACCTTACCCGATCCAAGTTTCAATAACCAAGCCTGCAGAAGTTACCACAATGAAATGTACCCTCCTTAGTTTTAGGCAGAAAAAAAATTACCTTTCACTTCCCGGTGTGGTAATTCTGTAAAAACGATGCCTCAAGTGATGTTTGTCTCCGTGATAACAAACTGTGCACAAGTCGTAATTTGTGCATTCTGCACATTTCCATCGGATGCCAATGATAGGCTGCTGTCGACAAGTATCACACATAGTCCCATCATGCTTGATACCTGTTAAAAACAGGAAAAATAAAAAAGACAACAACATTGGTACCTGGTTACACAGATCTCTGTTGCGCACAATTATAATCTGAAGCCATAGACTAGAAAGTGACCAATAAAGAAAGTCTGACAGCGACACCATATCAGTCCATATGAATCAGTGAAGAAGATCACTGACTTTGCATTTAATATTCCATCTTTTCCTCTTCTCTCAAATTTTATGAGCTAGTGCTTGGTTTTACTTTGTACAGTGGAAAAACTAAGCAGGTCATCTCTACACTTTTGCCTATAAGACGAAAACCAAGCTCTATTAGATAGGTGTCATTATATTAATGGAAATCTGTTACCATTTTTGAAGTGTTTTCCTGTTCTATATGTTGCTTTTTTCAAAAGGAATCTGCCAAAGGCACACCAGGTGTTAGGCACTGGCGTGCGTCCTTCCCAGCCTCCCACAAAAGCCAGGTTCTCAGGTTTGTAACTCTTGCAGAATTGCCAAGTGTCAGCAGCCTGAAAGCGATCAGCCACAGACACTTTCAGTCCATGCATCCTGAATACAATGAAAAGCCATGAGTTTAAAAAAAATAATAATAAAAATAAAAAAATAAAAAAAAATAAAAATCAAATTCTGCTCCTTTGGAAAAACCTGAGCAACAGAAGGGACAAGCACTGGTACGCAGTACCTAGCACAAGACAAAACTGAGCACTAAAGGTTTGGAGTAATATGCCATTATTCCAATTACTCATCCATAAAAAAAACCTCTCTGAAATTAATGAGTATAGAAAGTGGTTTTTATCCCCTCCAGAAGGGATGCTTTAGGAAATGATGGCCAAATTCACTACAAACCTATTAGTCATTTGTGCCCAACAGCTGAGGCATCAGCACTGAAGAAAAATCAACAGCTGGAGAGGCAAAACTGAAGGAAATGCTTTCTCGACTGACTATTTCACAGACTCATGCAATGTCTGAGGCTAGAATTAACCTCTGGAGATCCTCTAATCCAACCTCCACTGCTCAAAGCAGGGTAAATCAGACTCAGTGACCGAGGACCATGCCGACTCAGGTTTTGAGCATCTCCAAGGACAACCTGTGCTAGTGTGTGATCATCCCTATAGCAAATGTGTTTCTTCTCATGCTTCACTGGAAATTGCTGCATTTCAGTTTGTGCCCCGTGCCTCTTGCCCTGTCACTTTCACACCACTGAGAATGTGTGACCCCGACTTCTTCATGACCTCCTGTCAGGTACCCACACACGCTGACAGAACCCCCTAAGCCCTCTCTTCTCCAGGCCAACCACCACCGGGTCCCCATGCCTCTCCTCATCTCCGAGGCCCCGAGATCACCTCAAACACCTCTGTGGCCCTTCCCGTGACCCAGCCCCCTGTGGTGCTGGGGAGCCCAGAACCAGACCCAGCTCTCCAGGAGTGGCCTCAGCAATTCCCTCAGGCCGCCGGCAGCACTTGGCCTAACGCAGCCATGTTGCCTTCAGCCTTCACGGCACTCTGCCGGCTCCTGGTCACTTTGCTGTCCACCAGGACCCTCAGAGGTCCTGCAAAGCTGCTTTCCAGCCAGTACTGGTGCAGGGATTATTCCTCCCTAAGTGCAGGATTGGGAATTTCCCTTCACTGGATTCCATGAGACTCCTGCCAGCCCATTTCTCCAGCCTGGCCAGGCCCCTCTAAACAACAGCACAATCATCTGGTGTACCTCGTTCACCATTTCTCCTAACCAAAAGAGCTTCTCACTCCATCTTCTTCCAGCCTCAATTATAAAGGGCCTCATGATTACAGACTCTCCTGATGCATGAACACTGCAATAAAAGAGTAGGGCTGGAGAAGGCAACACACTTGGAGCAAAAGCTGCACAGCGCACCGCAGAGATCCGAGCAGCATTTCAGGGCAGCTGAAGATAGCCTTCGGTGACAACAAAAAACCCTGAAACTGCTGATGTTATGCTAAACGATAGCTGTAATTGCTGGAGCAGTTCATGACTCAGGCAGCATCCACTCCTTGACCACAAATTCTGTGGTGAAATTCTGAAAGTCTGACACAGTTCCTATAACCCATCATGTTACTTGCTGACTCCAGCTGCCGGACAACACACTTTGTACACCATACCCAGTTCATTTCAGCTCTCCTTTTATATTTAAAGAATACTTGCTGCCTCATAACAACATCTAAAGATGTAAATTTTTCTACAAAACACGAACTTCGAAGTCACCCATGCACATTCTCCCTCCCTAACACCATCGATGACCTCGCTCCCCACATGGAGGAAGCTATCTTTCCTGTTCAGTACACTCAGACTTTGATGTCTGCTATCTGCTGACATGTGCAGCAGTCAAAAAGACAGCACTATGATCTTGGGATGGCTGCCTCACTGCTATGACTTCTATTGGACTTGATGATCCTTATGGGTCCCTTCCAACTCGGGAGATTCTATGATTACGCTATTTTTTGGCAGTCTTCAAGAGCAGATGCATTAAAGTGAGGTTACTACTTTGTTGCCCTGATTCAAGGGCATATCTAGCTACGATGCTTGGGGTGATGGGGTTGTGTGGTGGCATCTGCTTTTGTTTAAAAAAAATGGATTGCTGAGTCAATCAGTATTTCAAATACAGAGCAGTTGTGCACATTTGGAAAAAAAAATCACATTTGGAAAAAAAATTAACAGTTGCTGAACTTCAGGGAAGACAATTTGCCGAGGATCGCATTTATTCTGGATGTAAAAGAACCGAGGAATTGGGTGCCTGCATGATTCTTAAATTTGTCCAAGCACCGAGAAGGGAGGCAACAAAGAAGTATAATCAGAAGTCCTGTAACACTGAACTAGACCATCCTGCAGCGGACTTAAATAGAAAGTAAACATTTCAAGCCACTTAGGCAAAAGTTGGATTCCTTAAGAAAGATTGAGAAAAAAAATATACAAAGACATTTGATTCAAAAGTCACTTGGCTATAGTGCCCGGGACTTAAAACAGATCAGTGTGTATCTGTATTTGGAGTCTCCGACTGAAAGGGTCACACATTTAATGTCACAGACCCCTAAAGAGCACCCAGACAGGTTCAGCCTTCCTTCCCCCTTTCCCTGATATATCTGACAACTGCATTAGTGATCCAGAGAGAGAAGCAGGTTTGAAGGCCTCTGGTGACAGTGAACTAAGCTATAGTTTTAAACTTCATCCACTAAAAAAATAAATTGAAACACTGTGCTGCTACTAGGCCATAAAATGTGATAGCTAAACACTTACATCTCTAATACAAAGAAAATACACTACTTAAATCAATAATATATTTTAAATAAAGTTGAAAGACTGATTTAACTTGAACCAGGCAGCAAAGAGGTATGTGAGCGTGGTGGGCTGACTTTGGCTGGCTGCCATACGCCCACCCAGCCGCGCTCTCACTCCCCTCTCCAGCAGGTCAGGGAAAGAAAGCAAGGTGAAAAAGCTCACGGGTGGAGGCATAGGCAGGGAGGTCACCAACCAAGCACCAGCAAGGGAAAAACAGTCTCAACTTGGGGAAAATTTCGTTTATTGCCAATGAAAAACAGAGCAGTACGGTGAGAAACAAGGCCAGGAACACCTTGTCCCCATGTCCCCCACTTCGCCAGGCTCAGCCTCATGCCTTCACTCCCTCCTCCATCCTCTGCTCCCCCTTCCTCCTCACGCCTCTCCCTTCACAATTCAGCAAACGTGACGATGAAACATAATCAATCTATTTGCCAAAACTTAGGAGCCGATGCTGGCACTACACACATTTCAGGGGAGGGAAGGAGGGAGGCACTCCTTCAGACTCGCTCTGGTCTAGCCCAATGGACTGAATGCTCAACCAGCACCAGGATCACATCTCTCAGTCCAATTCCATCAAAAAATAAACCTGTTTGCATGCTCTGCAACTTCCCTGGGAGGTGTAATGAAGCACAGTTCAGCAGGAACAACCAGCAGACTTGATATGCGTAGGATCAGAAGCCGAGCTGGAATTCTGGCCTAAACGCAAGCTGGATCCATCACGGACTGCTCCTGCTCCTCAAAGAAAGGCTGATCAGGAAAGGCTGAGAAACACAGGCTTTGCAAAGCTTACATTCAGAAAAAAATGCTTTAATTAAGTTACTGGAATATGTTAAAGCCATGAAGACTTCAGGTTTCAAACGCCAGCACTACAGCTGGTCTGCTACGAGCTAGAAGAGAATTTTAGCTCTGTAAAAAGAGATAATGCAAAAATCAAACCTCCAAATATTCTTCCAAGTTTAAGAGCAAAATATTTCAAAACAAATATTTCCTATCATCCTTCATAGCACACCAAAAAAACAAAGAACTGAGTACAAGAAGGGCACTTTCACCATGCCTATCTACTTTTAAACACCTGGCGTTTCCTAATGTCCCTCCAGTGTTAGGACACCATAAAACTCAGTATTCCTTATCTCAGCTTGGCAACAACATTTTCACTATTTGCATTTCAAATCAGTTTCCTGCCTTTGTGCCTCTGCCACAGTCATCTTCTTTGGGTTACCTAGGCCACAATTCCTGCCAGCACTTCTTAATATAGCAAATTTACAGCCTTTATATACATACACGTGCTTTTAAAACCCAGGGTTGCTCTTAAAGCTATAAAATGTAACAGAAGCTTTGTTGTTCAGATTGCTCCTTGAATTTCTTAGGAATTTTCTTAGGAAAGACATTTTCAAAGGTGGCAATACACAACTATCCACCCAAAGAACATTTTAACATCTCCATACCACTCACTGCTATGCGCAGAAGTCAGTGGTGATTTGAATTAGTTTTCGAAACCAAAAAAACCCAATGGACTCACCATTCTCTACAGAACTCAAGCCCAAATCCTTTCACGTAATGGCAATGCTACCATAGGGCAAGAGATGCCATAAACTCCTTATAAAATTAATTTACACCCCAATTTACAAAGCTGTAGGAGTGCTTTATTCCTCCCATCCTTCCACTCCAGATAATTTTGACACTGTGGCGAGACTTTGGTCAAACTGAAAACAAAGGATTCTTAGACATCAGCCAAATTCAGCCAAATTGTGTGAAAACCCCAACTGGTGCCCCCACCAACACAACTCATCTGTTAATTCTTGTGTTTGGCAGCAGCTAGCTGGCTAATCCTCACACGCAGGCGATGCCAGACTTACCATAACGTGAGTCCCATATCACAAGATAGGCGAGGAGGGAGAGGGTTAGTTATTGTGCAGGAGACATGGGGGAAGGGCAGGAAGAACAAAGGACACGTTCATATCAAACAGGCTTCACACGTTCCCCTGCCCAAACTATCAGATCTTTAGCTGTGAGGGGTTCTGTGAGTATTAACCAACAGCCACCAAGCAAAATCTTGACCGAGACCCAATTTAAGTGCCCCAATTTATACCTGATGTGCTAAAAGACAAAAATAAATAGTTGGGATAAATTATCCAAGGTGCTCTGCCCTTTAAAATGCTCTGACATTTGTGATTGCATGACCATCTGTGTAACTCTTCAGGTTACAGCAGAACAGAAGCACAGAAATACAAGCACAGAAAGCCCCTGAGACCTCCAGCAGGTAACACCTACCTTTTTAACCCTGGCAGAGTACAGCACAGTTTCCACAAGCTGCAGCACACTCGCTCACACGACAATCTCACGTCAGTATTTCATTTCCTGACCCCAACTCCTCCACCACCTCCCCTTATTCAAGGGTAAATATTTTACGCAGGGAAGTGACATTGCTACTTCGAACCAAACATGTAAGAGGAAACGGATGCCAGACAAACGTTTGCCTCAGCTTTGCAGAAAACAAATCCTCACAAATAAGCACAAAGTTTCTGTAATGATCACAAGGATTACGTGAACGTGGTCGGAGGTGCTCTTTGCAAACCTGCTGCTGTACAGCTTTCCCTTCTAAATACACAGCTTGCTCATATTTAATCCTTTCAGTTTGAGACACAGATATAGCTTCTGTTCAACAACCCAGAAAAATAATCCTTTTCTTCTTCCACAACACTATCAGGAAGCGGGGGCTCTCAAGACTCCCCCGGATCTCTCTTTAGATCCTGGCAACAGGCTTCCTTACAAAACCACCAGGATTAATTGCACAAGGATCGGGACAACCACACTGCATTGCATCCCACCATTTACTCCATTTCAGAGCCCACCACGCAGGATCTAACTGAAATTTCCTTTCTTTTCAGGTTCTTAGAGAAACTGAGAGGGATTAAATAACAACCCCGCTAAAGAAATGCTGGGCAATGTAAATACGATCACCCAGTACTAATACAGCTCCCTGAAAACCAAAACCAAACCTCCTACCAGCAGTCGTTTGCCACCCAAACAAACACACCTGGAGCAAGCAGCTAAGAGATACTTCACATAAACCACCAGTGAGACTTTATTTTAAGGAAAACAGTCCTAAAGTGTTTGCCTTAACACTACTTCAGTATCATAAGAAGTTAACATAGTCTTGCAATACTGCTAACAGCCTGGTAATAAAAAACTCTAGTGATTTCCTACTGTTCTTGCTTTCTGAGTCTGGAAACGTCCTGGCACCAAACCAAATGTTCATGTGTATACACGTGTATGAAAATTGATTTGGTTTTGTTTGGTTTTGGATTTTTATTATTATTTAATTGTTATTAAAATGAGCTTCATCCATTGCTTCTGCAAGACACTGGGTTCCTGATGCATCATCCTGACTGCACATGCCTCAAACTCACCAAAGCAGCAACTCTGGCTGCAAGGACTGCTTTTAAGAGCCTATAATCAAGCCTGGTTTTGAATATATAATAAGAAGAATTCCCAACAATAAACAATCTCATTTTGCTTTCTCCTGATGTATTTTTTTTCCCCAAGTATAAACTTGAACCCATGTTATGATGCTAAAGCGGGGCCGATTTTTTGTTCCCAGTGTTAAACTATAAGAGCCAGGTTTGATTTAACACCATGCAAACCAAGAACATGCCATAGTTTATAACATTTCTTTGCTCAACAGCATCATGAGCAATGCTACAGTTATAAACTCCTGCCACCCACTTTTCCTGTTATTACTTGGATCAAAACAACCCAAACGACCCTAGCAATGCCATCAAATGATCATCCAAAGTCAGAGTCCCTTAAACTAAACAACTGATAGCCACTATTGTGGAGAAAAGTAAATACTAAAAGGCTGAAAAGTAAAGAAGGGAAGTGATTTGCCCAAGTACACAAAGTGAAACCCGTGGTAAAACCAAGATTTCAGTCCAAATGGACAGCATCGTAACCCCTTGCTTTTTCCACTAAGCTACAGTGCTTCCTTTCCGCTTTTTGTTACTCGTACTTTATAGATTTGTACTCTTCTGCTCTCAAGGGAACTGTGACCTGAACAGTAACTCCCTGTAGCAAAAAGCAACCCCAGGTAGCTCCTTGTACTTCTGCGAGGATGATCCACCCTCCAGAGAAAAACCTGGAGAAATACCAGTTGCGAAGCCTGAAAACAGCAACATTTATGACCTACCCCCAAAGCAATATACATTGTGTTACCTGAAGCAGAAGCTAAAATTCTAATGCTAAAATATAAACACAACCAAAAAAAACCACAGAAGGAATAAAGAAGCAAAAAAATCAAGGTGTCAAAATAAGTGTTAAGCATCCATTTCCAGATGCAGCTGGCTATACCATCAGCTTGCAAGCCAGTGAAGCTGGGCTGGAATAATGAGCGCACAAGGCTCATAAATTCAACATTTATGCATTTAAGCAAAAGCAGTCCCACTGGTTTCTACAGGACATCAAATGCAGGGAAAGTTTCAAAGCATAAACACCTGCAAGACACGGATCCACAACCCGAAGGGCTGCTCTTCACTTCCCATCCAAAAAGCCATTTCCAAAAGCTTTTCAGCTCAAGTTTTAACAGCATCTACGCTCCCAAAACAACAGCAAAACCAACCAGGAAGGAAGGGGTGAGGACCAGCCACAGAAAAATGAGATCCATCTGAAAAGGCCCACTGTTAAATTCAATGTGGTGTTGTTTTTTTTTTTTCTTAGCAACGTTTGTGTAATTAATTACAATTAATCCTACGACCCTCATCTCCTCAGAAGTCCGTTAGCTCCCATCCATCGCTATGATCTTCTAACCTGTAAGACAACAGGCAGCTGGCTCAAAGATGGTCTCTCCTCTCCATCATACTTTAAATGAAAGATGTGCTACAAAAGCAGAGCATTCAAGCACCCCAACAAACCCAACCAAGCACCTCGTTATTGAGGAAAGCTGTCTGGGCCCGATACCACCTGAACCTATTTCTGGGAGGCCAGAATGACCTTATTTTCGTGTTTTCGCTGTGGCAGCAGGTGCTGGGAGGGCCGTTTCCCTGCCAGCCTCCCGCTGCCGCATCACGCCAGTGCGGCTCCCAGCCCATTGTCCAAGCCGGCCGCGTTCACAGCACAAACACCCAGCAGCCGGGGCACTGCAGGAAGCAAACCAGAGCTTTATCCCCTTCCTTCCCCAGCACCTCTGGCTCCGCGGAGGAGCGGCACCAGGCCGACAACAAGCAACAAACCCCCGGGGAGCCGCTCACCGGTGGGCGCGCTGTCCAGGATGCGGAGGTCGTACGCCCCGGAGCAGCGGTAGTTGGCGGCCGTGCCGTTGTCCCACACCACCACCACCTCCTCGGGGCTCTCGAAGCTGCGCACCGTGCCCACGTGGCCCTCGCCGCCGTCCTGCTTCCCCCACTTCCAGTCGGGGCCCCGCACCACCCGGGCGCCGACGCCTTCCACCATCACGCGGTTGTTCCGCGAGCTGCTCATCCCGGCGGAGAAGAAGCGGGGAGAATCCCCCCTCCCCGTTCCTCCGGGGGACCTCCGGGGCCCCGCCGCTCTCTCTCCCTCCCCGCTGCCCCGCTACGGGCCCCGCCGCTGCATCCGGGCCCCGCCGAGCCCGGCGGCGGCCGCCAGCCCCCGGCCCCGCCTCGGCGCCCCGCACATGCGCTGCTGCCGCCGCCGCGCAGCCATGGCGCCGCCTGCGGGGCCCTGAGGGGAGGCGGCCGCGGAATGGCGGCCGCCGGGCGCTGAGGTGGTTTGGGAGGCGGCCCCGCTGGGAACGAAGTTCCCCAGTGTCCCTGCGCCTCCTCCTGGTGTTGTTAACCCCACAAGCGCTCTCATGACAACCGAGGGTTGCCACCAGAGTTAGCCCCGCACAGGCTTTCAGCAGCACTTCCATTAACTCCACACATCTTCTGTAATCCCACACAAATCCCCTGCGCTCAAAACATGGTCTTCCAGCCGCTCTCTCCCTCTCTAACCATGTTCTGTGCCAGCTTTTCTCAAGCAGCCACCCAAAAAGACAGACAAGCCCAAATCTGACAAAGGAATACACTTCTCAGCAAGGAAATGTCTGCTATGAGGCAGATCAGCTGCCCTGGTGTCCTCTGTGTTTTTTTCCAGTTTTCGTGCTTCCTTCCACCTTTGTGGTCATTAACATGGCCAAAGAGTCCGTGAGATCATTCCCTGGCTTCCTTTGTGGAGTTTCTCACGCAACGTATAGCAGAGCACCATCATACGGACAAGTAACCACCAGACCACCGCTGCATTCCTCACATAACCCATCCCTTCCCGACCCATACTAAGACTGAAGAATGGTGCCTTAAACATGAAATGGTGTCCTGACAACAGGCACTCCCCAAGCAGCATCTGATTGCTGCTTCTGCAGTGGAAACCCCAACACGCTAACAGATACCACCCTAGGAAAGCACGCAATTATCGGGCAGTTTGTTTTTTTCTGGCAGATGCTTTTTCCCATACAAAAGCTACCTGCAGCTCGTACAGGCCTGTTACATTTAGTACACAGAATTGGGATTAAACATATAAAAACATGCCAGAATTTCCCAGAAATGCTGGAGGTTTCTTTATCTATCAAAGACTCTATGTGGGATCTATCTAGGATATCTATAATGTTCCCACCTGCCTCATTCTACTTGCTCAGGTTTTGGTAGTTATAGGCAAGTGTAAGGTTCTTGCACATCCAAGGATATGCATCTAAGGATATGCATGTTTTCTATCACTCTTTGGTACGGTTGAATAAAAAGGCCTTTTGCAACCAGTGCATGTGTGCCAGGAAAACCAACAAAGTCTGAGATAAGACTTAGTGACAGCTCTCCTGGACAGAATCTGAAGGGACTAAATCTTCCCAGAGATTAATTTTCCCCTTATTTTTTTTTTTTCCATGAAGGATATCTCCTGAATTACAGGTCTTAAGAGAGAATGCTGCTGCAGTTCAGCAGCAGTGCATGTGTGCAGACATTATCCTGAAGATTTTTCTCTTCTGAAAATCCTCCTCCTGACCATTCCTGCTCTATCCCAACAGTCCCTTCCTCTCCTTCTGTTCAGGCAAGTGCTCCCCTAACAGCTATTAGAGAGCTATACCTCAAAATACAGAGGCTGTATCATTTTACTGGTGTGGTCAAAAAAAAAAAAATTAGAATCGTACATTATATTATTTATGCTGTGAACCTGCTTGAAGTTTAACCAATTAGAAAGGGAAAGAAAAAAAAAAAAAAAAAAAAAAAAGGTTTTCAGTTCTTGAACCTTTTGTCCAAATTAGCCTTCAAAATAACCATTAAATACCAGTTTCATAAGGAGACTTAAAAAGAGACAACAGAAAATGGGGAAGCTTTGGTGAAAGATTTATTTTACTAGTGATGTTGAACATTAGTGGTTCTATCTAGTATATTTTTCTGCTATCAGCCACAGGAGCATATATCAGCATGGAAATTAGAACTTGAGTGATATGCAAAATAAGCCAATTCTGAGTAAGCACCTGAAAGCTGTTTGAGACTCACAGAAAGATGGAGACAGAAGAACCAGAATGTGAGCAGCAAAAAGAAGAAGAGAGCTCTGAGCTTTGTAAAGAAGCTGAAGCAGAGCTACAAATAAATGACTCAAAGGAAAGGTATAAACAAGAGGGAGATTCCATAGGATGTTGAATTCGATTAACATATTGTGGCAAGAAAAGTGCCAGATACAACATTTTCAGGTGTGCATTAGCATTTCGTTTGTAGACTGAGAAAGTAGTCACTGTAAGGAAACAGCTCGTTTCATTCTTATAACAGAAAAACAAACAAACAAACAAACAAAACAAAATATGTTGGCTTAGGGCCTTTTGCAAGAAGAGAGGGTTAGTTGTTTGGATGGTTAGCATTACACACAGTAAGTGCACAGGGCATTTTCAGTTGTTTCTTCCAAGTCTTTGGTCCCACTATAGGATTGTTCTTTTTTGCTGATGAATGCTGAGAATTTATCACATCCCCTAATCTTGCATTTGCCCCTCTTACCTTGTTGCACAGAATGGCTGTTTTACAGCCTTAGAGCCAATACGTGTTCATACTACTAATTAGTACTACGTGTTCATACTAATTTAATTTATCAATCCTCAAATTGCGGGGAAAAGTGCTACCTAGAACCTTGCTACTGGAGTTAGCAGAAGGGTTTTTCTCTTTGTTTTTGGGGGTTTACAATGTAGAAATCATACCAGCTCATAACGCTGCTCAACCCGAGCAGCAGCAGAGGCTGGGACTTAGGCTCTTTTCTGCCATCCTGGTTAGGGGAGGAAACCAGCAGGACAGACTGGCAGAGCAATAACATCTGAAAGTGCTGCAGCAAAAGCAACCAAAGCTCAGCTGCCAAAGGCCTTATTTACCAGACCGGTGCTGCTGTAATTAACCACTGCTGCCTGCATGGTGAGGCAGAATTTGCTTTGAATACCTCAGGTAGGCACGGCAGAGCAGTTGGATCACAGGCAGGAGGAAGGGAATCCTCTGTGCTTTAGGCACACTCGACTGCAATTACAAAGGTTCATTAATATGCACTCAGCACAGGAATCTCGATGCACGAAAAGACCTACAGAACTAGTTCCCTTCTGGCTACCCAAAATTACATGTAGTGCTGAGTCACAGCTGCTGATTGTGGTCTTCCCCACTGTCTCTGCCATAGCAGAGCAATCCAACAAGGGGCCACGTGAGAAGAGCTCTGGTTTATGGAGAATTTGACACTGTTCTTCAAAGCCATTCCAGACAGCTGCTTGCCTGAACTCTGCCTGGTTGCCTTGTGGTTCTTCAAAATGTCATGCTCCACCAGGGAATCTTAATATATGGATTTCCATGTACTGAAGACAGACTTCAGTAGAAGTTTTTCTGGACTGTCCTGTTTGATTAAAGCTGAACTTGCAACGTAGGAGCTGGAATATGCAATGCAGAAAGGGGACTATGCCTATTCCAGGAGAGAATGTCAGGCGAAAAGTCTGCTTTTACAAGGTTTAGAAGAAAAGAAAAAAAAAAAAAAAAAGACAAAACAAAAATTCCAACTTCTTGGAAAGACTACTAACTCCTGCAGTTTTGAGGTTTTGTTTACTATCTTGCCATGAATTCTGAGTTCTCAGACGTTTTTGAATGGAGGGCATATATATATATATATATTGCTTCCTAGGAGTTGAAGAAGACCATCATGACTTTGTGGGAAAAGAAGAAAGGGAAAAGGGAACGAGAAAGAAGCGTAATCATCCTCCACAGAAACTTCTGGTCTGATAACATGCCACATCTTTTTAAGCAAATAGAAAGAAAAATGTTGTCCAGATCAATACAATGTATATATTCCAGAATCTGAAGAACGAGTTACGACCTGCAGACCACACCTCGTTTGTCTGTAGTTTATTGTAGGAAATAAAACACCAACAATAAAACACACAACTAATTCCTCAGCCTCTGCTGCCATCACGTGGCCATGTGTCATCTCTCATTAAAGCTGAAATGCCCCTATCCTGTTTGCTGTTAGCTCTGCATTTCCTCTGTCTTATTTACCAGATTCATTATCCATCATGCAGTCCAATTTGTTCTGCAATTTTCAGAAATGGAATAAGTAATTTTGCATTGGATATTTTCCTAGTTTCAGCAGATTAGTTGTTTTTTTTTTTAATGGCAGATAAGTGAGCAAGAGTTTTGGTGGGGTTCAGGTTTTTACTGTGCAGCTGGCATCTCCTATGAAAGTGTTAATTACAGACATGTATTAACTGACAATGTCAATGCCACTGTTTCCCTAACGAGTTCTATCTGCTAGTTCTCTTCTAGGAAAAACAGCTGAACAGGGAACAGATTATAAATAAACCACTTTATTCTCCCGCTGTGAAAATAAACTAATCCCTTGGAGATCTGCTAGGGAATGAAATGTCCCTGAATTTGGCTAAAATCCTCACCGTGATGAGAAAAATAATAATAATAATAATAATAAAAATACAACTCATCATTTTAGATTAAAGAGTATCTTTCCCTGAAAGGCCCATCATGGAATCTTCTCCCTTGTTTAAGGTTTTAAGTTAAGAGAGAAACCAACATACCTGAAAAGGACATGCAGACTACAATGCCACGTACTTCTGTTTGCACATCGACACAAATTCTCCTACTCAGGTGTACCTTGGAGGGTTAAAGGACGTATACCCAGCTGACATTTCCAAATGCAAAGCCCCCAGTTGTAGGCCACCCAGCTGGGAAGCTGCTCTGCAAGACAGGATCTGGGGCTCCTGGTGGACACCAAGTCGAACATGAGCCAGCAGTGTGCCCTTGCAAAAATAGCTAATGGTAACCTGGGCTGCGTTAGGCAGAGCAGTGCCAGCAGGTGGAGGAAGGTGATCCTTCCCCTCTGCTCAGCACTGGTGAGGCCACCCCTGGAGTGCTGGGTCCAGTTCTGGGCTCCCCAGTACAGGAGAGGCATGGGCACACTGTGAGTTCAGCAAAGGGCCACCAAGATGATCAAAGAATTGGAGCAGCAGATTCTCGGATGTAGTCAGAACTAGCCAGGTCCTACTTGTAGACTGAGAGGAAAATAAATTGCCTTCATGGGCTATCGAGTTATTTTAAGAATGTTCCTAATTTATGTGCTTGACAATTTTTATTAAGATCAATGGAACTAATCAAGTGCTTAGTCAAACATACAGTACAGGTCCTTTTGTTATGAAGGCACTCAATATGTAATACATAATGCCTGACAAAATGAGTTAGGCACTGAATAATATCTAGGTTTATTTTTAATAGCCTGCTAGAGCAGTAACAAACATTGAGTAACTCAAGCAGAAACTAAACGCTGTATGTTTTGTCATAAGAGAAGTCCCAGTCACAACACAATGTAATCCTAAATTCTAAGAAGTATGATTTCCAGTGCATTCTGACAGACTTGTTGAAATCTGCATTTAATAGAAATACAGCTAGAAAATTTCAAAAATACAACATTTTTGTATGTTGCTAAACAAGACTATATGCTTTGCATAAAGTAAATATTTTTAATATACATCTAAGATCTTGTCTAATTATAATAAATTCACTATTAACATACTAATGAAAAATCTATGAAGAAGAATCTAAAAGAAAGAGCGATTGGACAAATTTCTGACCCCACTGAATTCAGATGAAGCCATAGTATTCATGTGGGCAGAACAAACGTTTACTGAATGTATATGGCAGTATTACTTTTTTCCATAGTATAAAGCATTAAAAATGCTTTGATTTTGTGGTTGAAATAAAAGATGCAAGTTTTTTTGCATTTTGAACTGTTTATAAAGGAATTAAAATAGGTAAATAAAAATGAAAATGTTTCACTTTAAGCTACAGAACAGATGCCTTGGAACCAGGAGGAAATTTAACCTAGATTCAACGTTTAATTCTACTGCACATCTTAGTACAATTCTCAAGTCCTGTAGCAGCTTCTGATAACATTTTTAATGAAAAAAATAATATGACTAAGAAAAATGTCTTCAGTGTATTTGCTTGCCTTATACTGAATTTAATTTATTTTATACTGTCTCGTATTCTCAGTTTTGAGCATGCCACGGATTGTCATCATTGGTTGCTGAACAAAACAATTTAAGTTAATTCACATTTCTGAGAATTATTTTCAGCTATATCTCACAGAGTTTGAACCTCTATTTTAACTCTTTGGTGAACATTTGGTGAACACAAAACAAAGTTTCATCACCATTCTTTAAATGTTGATGACACCATTATCTACATGGTGATGAGACAAATGCATGTGATCCTCTACTAACCACGAACTTGTGTTTAGCAGTTTGTCAGCTGTATTTGGATGCAGGGAATTGGTTTCACGAAGACCAGATCTCATAAGAGTCCTTCCAAGGGAGGTGAATATTAGGCAGCCTTCACGTTGCAACAGCTGTTGATATCTTCAACCACCTAAAAAGACAGAGAAACAGTGCTAAATTAGGTAGTTGCATTTGTGCTCAGGATACCTGCTACACCTGCTGAACTGAAATTCGCAGATTTCAATTGAAGGAAATATTGTTAATACAAACATATTACTAAATTGTTAATATTGTTATACAAGGCATAGCATTCCTTTTAAATCCTGTGTTCTTTCCAGCTTTACATCTGGAAGGGCTGAGGATTGTTCCCTGACAGAGTGAAGAGAAGCAGCATGGCATAAAAAGATAGGGAAGCATGAGAAATTGGAGATTAAAGTCAAAGTAGCAAAGCTCAAGAAAGGGAGAAACAGAAACACCTTTTCCTCATGCCACAATTATTGATTGTTTATGTATTTATTTTATTCATGGACACCAAGAGTACAAACATAAACATGGCCTGGCAATTTCCTTCAAAACTTGAAGAGTCTCCAACACAGAACATTTGCATGGACTTTATTAATTCCTGACTGATTCACACTTTAAGGAGAGAAAAACCTGTGATAGGCATGAAAAAGGCTTGAGAAATGCTGAGCTGAACTTTTCAAATGCATTTTTCTTCTTCTATTCTACTGCTGATAATAAATACCAGTAATAAGGAGTAACCCTTCTTTGCATTGATGGAAAACTTTTCAGATGTTTCATACGTGGACTGAGAACTTTTTATGTATCCCCAAGGTAGGTCAGGTTGACACAAAGGTATTTTTCCCATTTTGTTTGATGAGTGGCAAAGTTCAGCTAACTGTTAAAAGACCATAAACAAACAAAACCTTGAATTTAAAACTCTGAGGCTAAATGTCACTTGTCCTCTCCTCTGAGGTGCTGCTGTGCCAACTGAAGTCAATTCCAAGGGTGAGGCTACAGAGAACGGTGCCAGGACCAGCTTGCAGTTGTCCACTGGGACATCAGTAAGAATGTAACACACACCTTGCCACCAGCTCCAAATGATCACAGAGACACTGAGCTTAACAAAACAATAAAATAACAAAGATAGCATAGCACTAGTGTAGCCTCCTCGTTAAAAGAAAACTGTAAATCAAGCTGTGACTCACCAATTGCTTCTATAAATTATTATCTACTGATTAGGCAAAAAAATGTTGGGAGACAAGGAACAATCCCATGGCCTTTCCTTTTTGTCTAATCTATAACCTATTACAGCTGGCTTGATCCAAGCACATTCATAAGCACCAGGGAGCAAAGTGCATATAGCAAGTGTCTCTAGGAATGCAGGACTCTGTTCCTTGGGGAAAAAAAAAAAAAAAACAAACAAACAGTAAGAGTTCAAAAAAAGCTTATCAACCACCTTGTTTCCCCCAAAACCCACCCACACACACAAATCTGCAATAACCAAATCACTTGGAGGTGGTTGCAATACAGGCAGAACATGGTATTTTCTTTTTGATCCCTGCAAAATTTGATGTCGGTCAAAAGAGAACCTTTTAAAGAATTAAAAGAAAAGACACTGGAAGTGGAGGATCCAATAGGGATCACTTAGAAGAGAAGAAAGTTACTAACGTTACTGCTATTGACAGTTATTGACATGCTTACAGGGTAACTGGGCCAGACAAAACTCAGCCCTTCTCAGCACACGGGTTTGTTTCGGTTTGCCTGTGGCCTGTCAGATACGCCTGACGTTCTTAACAGTCCCATGAGTAAGCGATGTGGGGTAATGGTCAAAGACCAGATAAACCTCATCAGCCTTTGTGTCCGGATCTGGTTTTATGAATGCAATCTCTCTCGGCCCTCGATCTAGCCACTAAGCTGCTGGTTGTACACCTCAGAAAGGTTTCTTTAACCACCAACATCCACGCCTTCCGCTCTCTGGTCTTGTGTGTAGGTGCACTGATAATCCTCCTAGCCCTGTAGACACACGCTGTGTGCTCTTCTTTCTCAGCCACTTGGGATTTTTATTTTCTTTAGTTTTTAGGTGACTCAAGCACTGTGCAACTTAACTGGCATAGGACATGAATGTGGGAGAACAGTCTGCTGCAAGCAACAAATGCTTTCCTCCTTCAGATGTAGCAGGTTCTCATCCATCCTAAATTGTAGTCCTCAGTTCAGCCAAATTACTGTCTCTCAAGGTTCCTCAATTCACCTTGCTGATGAAGCCAACATGTTTTCAGAACTAAGCCCTCTAGCCCAGCTGCTCACACCAGAGTGTTCCTTTATGGTACCTACTTTTATCTGGGGTGTACAGCCTAACACTCCCAGAAAGTCAGGACCTGGCTGTGGCTGTTCTCCTTCAGCAGAAGCACTGAAAGTACAGCTTTGATGACAAAAGGTTTTGTCATCACCCATTCAATTTCCTTTTTTCCGTAACAGAGAAAACAAGCTGCAGGGGGAAATGAAACCCAGATCCTTCCTACCTTTTCCTTACTAATTCCCACACTCCTTTCAACAGCTGCAGTAGCTCTACCCCTTTGTCTCTGGAAACTGCAGACGGCTGACAGGATAGGAAGAAAAGGTATTTTTGAATTTCTTCAGAGCATGGCAATATATTCATAGTAGTTTACCTTTGTTAATACATTATTTTGTATAGAAATAGAATTTGTATAGAAAATTTTTCTTAGAAAAATCCTAGAAATCTTAAAAGTCTCAAGTCTTAGAAATTCTTAAATCATAGAAACTCCTTTTACTCGGAAAAAGAGAAAGGAAGACAAGTAACAGATTTCTGCTTGTCAGACTGAATGGTAATGCATACTTGACTTTTCCAAACACCATAAGCCAATTAGCACTGCAATCAGAAACAGCCATTTGACTGCAAAATCTTTAGATGTTGCAGTGGGTTTTTACGATAGGTCGCAAACCAGGACTGGAATCCACTCTTGCTGCACCAAAGCAGCACGTTTGACTCCATGATAGGGACATGGTAGCACTTAACGCCACAGAAAACTTCAAGTCCCTTTCAGTATTTCCCTAAATTAAACTCTGTATCCAAGCCTATATCCAAGAGATTAAGGAGCTTGCCATCACCGTTTCATGGTGAACAAGTTGGGCCCAGAAATGCTTTCAAATTCTATCAGATCTGCATTTCTCTGATAAGATCTGTCTGAATGAGAAGTAACTGAAATGGGCCACATGTCATGTTCTGCATATATATGTTTGGTTTAGGTGGTGGTGGTGGTTTATTTTGTTTGTTTTGTGTTTGTTGCTGTGGTTCCCCATTCAATTAGACGTCAGAAAGTGGGCACAGCAAGAAAACACAGATAAGGCAAGCAGTGGAGGTGAACAATTAAATTTTCCTTGCAAGGCTGAGTCTCAGCGAGCCAAGTCTGTCTTCTCTCAGCAGTTCACGGAGCTGAGCCGTGGAAGAAGGAGCAGGAAGGTACCGCTGCGTCCTGAGGTGTGTGCAGGGATCTCCATGCCAGATGCTCAGCGCCAGGATGTATCCTCAGCTGCGCTCCTGTGACTTTGCCAAGGAAAGATGCAGACACGGGGCTGGTTGAGCTGAAGAGGGAAGCACCAGAGTTAGCAAACACCTGAGGGCCTCGATGCAGCAGCCCATGCTGCTGACAGAGGAGCAGGCAGAGCTTCCCTGGGGCTTTAGGGACCAGCGCTGGGCATGGCGCCGGCGGCGCTGCAGCGCCCAACGGCCCCCGGCGCGGCCAAGGGGAGCCGGGCGGCGGCTCCTCCTCTCCCCCTTCCTCCCCCTCCTCCTCCTCCTCCTCCTCCTCGTCCCCTCCCTCCGCTCCGGGGCGGTCTCGGCCGCCGAGCTCCGGCTGCGGCAGCCCGGGGGTGCGCAGCAGGGGCGGCGGGATGGACTGGCAGGTGCTGACCCGGGAGCTGTCCCTCTACCTGGAGAGCCAGGTCCGCGTGGGGCTCTTCGGCTCCGGCGTGGGCTTGTCGCTGGTGCTGGGCTTCGGCGTCGCCTACGCCTGCTACTACCTCAGCAGCATCGCCAAGGTGAGCCGGAGGGCGGGCGGCCACCCTCCGGGGGACAGCGGCGGTGGCAGCCCCCGGGCAGGCAGCGGCGGCTCCTCAAATGGCGGCCGCCGCCGCCGCCGCGCCCGGAGGGGCTCTGCACGGAGCCCGCACCGCGTCCTTGTGGAGGGGTCGGCCCTGCCGAGCCGAGCCGAGCCGAGCCGGGTGTTGGGCCCTCGGGGGAACGGGACGAGGCTTTTCCTTCCCCTGGTCGGGGAAGGGGCGAGGGGAAGGGGATAGGGCGAGGGGAAGGGGCTCCGCCGCCCGCTGTGGCGGGTTGGGGACCCTCGGGTTGCTGCTGCCGTGTGGCGAGGGCTGTGGTGCCTCCTGGCCACCTGCTGAGGAGCGGTTTCACGAGGAGGTGATCAGAGCGTTTGGGAGCTCTCAGATCGTTTGGGACCGTGGAAAGTGGCCCCTGGAGCAAGAGTGAGAGCGCCTCGTTGAGTGCTCCATCAAGGGGAAACGCGCGTGTGGAGAGATTTCGGCTGCTGAAGGCTCGCACGGTGCTACAAGCCTCTGTAGACGGGCTGAGAAGGCAGCCTTCCTCACAAAAGGATGCTTTCTTCTCGTCAGAGGAAGAAAATGAGAGGTCAGGAGGACATGCTGCTGCCGCTGCGTGTGCGTAGCAGCTCTCACCACTTGTCCTCTCTCCTCCTGTTAACGCATGCACGTTGGAGACCCTAGAAGAGAAGTTTAAGAAATGTGGCTGCTCAAACCCCATGCGGGGTGTGATGATTGCCACCCCAATTCCTCTGTGCAAATCTAGGCTGTGAGAAAAATACCTGTATGCTGGGCGTTGTTAGAGGTGAGTACCCTATGCAGCTGGGCACCACACTGGGATGGGAGGAGGAGAGTGCTACCAGGCTGAACTAGGTACTGCAAGCAGGTGCTGTCAAAGCTTATGGTTGTATATCTCCTTACCATGAAAAGAAAAAGCCTTATAAGTAAATAAATTAACAAAAGCAGTCTACTGGGAGAAGATTGAAACAGGCTCTCATTATATATTTTTTTTCTATGAACGCCTGTGCCTGACTGTAGTCTCTCTTCCTAGAAACCCCAGCTGGTGGCCAGCAACAAACGTTTCTGCCGCTTTCTGGAGGAATATTGCCCTGTTGTGACAGAAACTTACTATCCCACGATTTGGTGCTGGGAAGGCCGGGTACAGACACTCCTGCGTCCCTTTATCACTTCTAGACCCCAAGTACAGTACAGAAAGTAAGTGCCTTTCTTCGGGACAGTGATCAATTCTGTAGCCAGTGGTTACCTTGCTCTGTGTCACAGCGACTGTCATTGCTCAAGTGTGTGCCCATGTATCTGCTTTATGCCTCTCTTTACAACTCTGTCCTAGGCTTGGAACCATTTCTGTCCTGGATTCAGCATGCAGTGGGTTTAAAAGGTCCCATAGAGCCCTGTTATAGCTCAGGGAGTCTGGGAGCACTGGACTACTGGTGGCAATACAGGACTTGATGTGGTTATATGTTCACAGCTTGGTTGAAGTGGGAAGGGACCTCTGGAGGAAACTGGGCTAACCCACTTAGACCAGGTTGCCCGGGACCCTGTGAAGGCAGCTTTTGAAGATCTCCAAGGAGGAGACTCCACCACCTCTCTGGGCAACCTGTGTCAGTGCTCAGTCACCTGTACAACACAGGAGTGCTGCCTGGTGCTCAGAGGGAGCCTCCTGTGTTACAGTGTGTGCTCTTTGCCTGTTGTCCTGGCACTGGGCACCACTGAAAAAAGCCTGGCTCTGACGTCTCTGCTCCTTCCCTTCAGCTATTTATACACATTGATAAGATCCCCCTGAGCTCTCTCAGCCTCTCCTCAGAGGAGAGATGCCCCTTCATCGTGGTGGTCCTTTGCTGACTTCGCTCCAGTATGTCCATGTCCCTCTTGGACTGGGGAGCCCAGAACTGGACCCAGCACTCCAGGGGTGGCCTCACCAGTGCTGAGCGGAGGGGAAGGATCACCACCTCCCTCTTGCTGGCAGTGCTCTGCCTAACATAGCCCAGCTTACCATTAGCTATTTTTGCACGGGCACACTGCTGGCTCATGTTCGACTTGGTGTCCACCAGGAGCCCCAGGTCCTGTCCTGCAGAGCAGCTTCCCAGCCAGGCAGCCCCCAGCATGTCCTGGTGCCTGGGGCTGTTCCTCTCCAGCTGCAGCACTTGGCACATCCTTTGGTTGACTGGCATGTGGTTCCTGTGAGCCAGTTCCTCCAGCCTGTTGAGATCTCTCTGGATAGCAGCACAGTCATCTGGTGCGTCAAATATTTTGGTGATTGAATGCCATCATTTCGGAAGGGTCATGCTGTCATTCTCTCTGTCCATTCAACCAACACATTGAACCTTAACCATCGCATGGCCACGTTCAGCCCAGTTTTAAATATATCAAACTCCTGGGATTTTCAGATTAATTTTTCACCTATCAGGTCTGTCTTGTGTTCTTTGATGCCTACATTCTAAGAGGCAAAAAAATTATATATATTGTTTGTCCTCAGCTGATCTCTTCTCACACAGAAGTGAGGCTCAGTCTGGCAAGTGATGCATTTGGCACAAGAGCTAAGGAGAAGTACTTTTATGCTCCGGAACCTGGACGCAGCACAAGTTGTTTCAGCTCTGTTTGCATGGTAGAATAGATTCAGCATTTAGCAGCTTCCCTTAGTTTTAGTAACTAGGAAACATTTCAGTGGTATGGCCATGTCCAGTTTTTGTAGCCCTTCTTGTATACTCTCCATTTCGAGGTTTGTGAGGAAAGAAACTAGTTCCATGGGGAAGTGCTTTATTGGCACTATTTGAGATTGTGCTGGCAGCACACACCAGCATTGCATCTCCTGCCCATTGCTAAGAAAGGGTAAAGCTGACCTAATGAGTCCAACAAGGCTGATGAGCTTTAAAGTCTGGAGTAGGTGCTATGAAAATTGTGCTTTCAAATGAAAAAGCAAATGTGAAGTAAACTTCAATTTTGGTAGTTCCTGTGTCATACATTAGTTGCCAGAGAATGGGGAAGATGCTGAATGTTTTTCTCTCTCTCTGTGTATATATATATATATAAGGGCTATAAAAGGACCGTAACCTTCCTCTCATGGCTTAAGACATGCTTAGCTTCTTGGGATGGTATCACATTTATTGATTCTGAGGTTGTATTTTTTAAACACGCATGCTAGCAAAGTTTGTGGAGATGAGAGTGTGAAATTCTGGCTTCACTGAAGCTGTAAAGCTGTAGTGTCTGTCTGTATTCCACATGTTAAAAACATAACAAAGTGCCATCCAGCATATGTGCTTATTCTTTGGGTAAAGAGAAAGCAAAACAAAAAGAACAACAGACACGTGATCGATGGTTAACACATTGCCCAAAGCAGAGCCAGAAGGTTCTCAGACCACCCAAAGGAAAGCTGCGGGACACAAGCCCACATACAGTAAAAGGCAGTGCCAAAAGTCACATTAGTTACAAGCTTCCAGTACATCAGCAGCGAGTGATGAAAGGCCAGCTCTTCGTTTACTGTAAACTGGAATTGTGCCATGAACTGAGTGTGCTAACTCATGTCAGCTGGAGGTATGGCTCTTTGTGAATGGTGAATGTGCAAACATGATTAGGTGGTACTTGCAGCGTTAAAACCTAATCAATGAGGCAGATTTTATACCTGGTATTTTTTACAGTTTAAGCACTCTTAATAGTACGCATTTATTTTTTAAATCTAATCATTGTTGTCTTGAAATGTGCCTTTCAGTGAGCTCATTAGAACAGCAGATGGAGGACAGATTTCGCTGGATTGGTTTGATAATAATGACAGCTTATATTATCCGGATGCCAGCACAAGACCTACTGTCCTGTTATTGCCTGGTCTGACAGGAACGAGCAAGGAATCCTACATTCTTCATATGATCCATCAGAGCGAAACACTGGGATATAGGTGCTGTCACACTTCATTGCGTGTATTTTGTGTGTGAGATCACAGTTAAGTATGCATATGTAGAAGGTGTCTTCCTAACACAAATGAGATCTAAAAAAAAAAATAGTTTATGTAAGAAAGCAGTAATAATAATAATAATAACCACATTATGTAACCCGCAGTAAATTCCAAAGGGCTGCTCTGGTATCTGCAGACGTGCTGCAGAAATTGCAGTGAAGGCAAGCTACGTCTGCATAGGTCTTTGCTGCTGTGTCCTAAACTGTAACATCAGCACTCGAGCTACCTTTGTGCTTTCTTGAGAAGGGGTTTGTATTCAGCTCCACAAAGACTTGTATGGATGGGTTGCTGGCAGAAAGCCTCGAAGGAGGTCAGCTGCTGAGTGCCAAGATTGCTTGATTCAAGTCCCTGAGTGCAGAAAGGGGAGCCAACCTACTCCTGCTGCTGTTTCAGGAAGAGGTTTGTCACCTCTGAATTGTCACTGCTTAATTTATTTTTGTTATTAAGGCTGCTGGTCAGAATTGGGTAAAATAAGTGGATTAGTCAACGAGTAAATTCCTTTATGTAATCATATTCCTGCCACTGTGCTTTAAAATACGTTGTCGTTGTTCCAGGCTCCCTATTTGGAATATTGCATTTTGCAATTGCAGATTGGTGTCTGCTACTGACTACATAATGTTCTTCAAATATATGTGTGTGTGTCAGTGCCTGTGTATATTTCTGGCTATCTGTTCTCTGGGGGTTTGGGGAGCTGCTCTACTAAATTCTGGAAGTAAAACAGCGCTTTAACCGTTCAAACTACCTTTAAAATCACTTTAAAGCTTACCTGTAAAAATACTAGAGGAAGAGAGATCCCAAATCAACAACTTCTTAGAACTAATTCTTTAAGTATTCCTGAAGGAAATACCTGCATTTGGTCACCTAACAAAGAAAAGTATAATGTTATAAAGGAGAACTTGAGTGTTTTTTTTTTTTTTAAACAGCAACATTTGAAAAATGACAAAATATCTTTTCATGCCTTTAACCCAGCTAAATATAGCTTATGGCTCATAATTGGCCAGCTCTGAGCACAGGCAGAGCATGATCCATATTCCATCTTCCGGTAACCCCAGGGGTTCTCGTCCTGCAGGCTGACCTTGACTGACAAAGCACAGAGTTCACCTAGAGTCCCACCGACTGCAGTTGTAAAAAGGTCATTCTGCACATGTCAGATTTTAGCATTTTTAGGACAGAAATTATTTATCTGCTGAACTTACCCATCGAACTGGCTCATTTTTCTTTATGTGTTTTCAATTTTTGGTGTAAGTTGTCCTTTTCAGGTGGACGAGCAATCTATGTAACTCAGTTTGCTTTCTCAATTTTTAGATGCGTGGTTTTTAACAACCGTGGAATTGCTGGTGAGGATCTTTTGGTAAGGATGACTTTTAAGATAAACATCTTTTATATGTAAGCAGGATGTATATATGTAATCATCAGTGTCTATCTGTAAGGCTGGATTTAACTGAGAGGAGCTCATAGCATATGTTGAAGATGCAGAAAAGAGAATCTAGTTATCTGGTAGATCAGTAACATGCCAAGGTACGTCTTTTATTTTAAAACTCAGAGACCAGCTGGTCAACACAATTGTTTTGTGAACATTTTGTTCTAGGAAATCACTTAAATTACCAGCATCTGTGACAGTAAAGTGAGCAATCCTTATACTTTTCTTCCTCAAAACACCATGGTATTTAAAACGTATACGTCCAAGAAATTCTGTTCACTCAATGTGATTTTCTCCTGTTGTTTTAACTTATAAAGCAAAATATAAACAGTGGCAATTACTTTCCCAATTGCCAATAGACATTTAAGCTATGATTTGGTTAAAAAGCCATGCCATTAAATTGACCTGTATTATGTGGTATTGAATTAATGAATCCGATTTACACGGGTAGTCATACCCTGAAAATTAATTTTGTATTTTTCTCAGCAATTACAATACTAGCTTAGCTCCAGCAGATTTTTTTTTTTAAATTATTTCTGGGACATACAAATCACGTTTGCTTAGAGATAACTGGCAATTCCACAGATGATGAAATCTTGAAGCCAAACGTTTTCTGCATCTCGGCACAAAGCATGATGAAATACTGCTGAATAAGCCTCATTTGCTCCTATATGTTTTTTTGACAGGTCTGAAGCTGGTATGAATGTGCATAATACTAAGTATTGTTTTGCATTTTTTAATCCCCTTGCTTCAGCCTTAAAAGCTCAGAATTTTTTTCCCATAATCAGATAAAACGTTTCAATGCAAATATTGCTATGTTAGAGTAGTTTTCTGCATACTTTCGGAGATGGATCTACAAAGCAGTTTTGTGGCACACAAAGTCCTTATTGACGAATTTCTGAATCGCTGACAGAAAAGATCTCTTGTGTGGATGCATTGTGTGTATTTTAGTGTAATCGGATTTACATATTTAAGCATTATAAGATCTTACTGCGAAGCAAACCAGCTGAAATTATAGCATTTTCTGTAAGGGGGTTTCTACATTTTAATATAAAATCCCTAGTTAATGAGTTTGAGGCATAGCTGGGCAACACAGTAGAAATAATCATGCAAGTAATTCTTCTACTAGTCCTTTTAAAGATAGATGTAAATTTACAGTCTACAATAACTATTTAAAGAATCGGTTAAACGAATGAGAAGAACATTTTTATTGAAAGTTACTATGAATTTTTATTATGGAATGTTCAAATATTAGATGTCCACAGCCAATGTGAGCTAAGATGATGTTTTAAAATACCTTTGTACGCTGAGTAGATAGATATACATTGAAGTGTCAGGAATTAACTGAAATTAAAATGCAACTTCCCTCTATAGTTTTATAAACTTTTAATCAAATATACTTTAACTTGGAATACATTAGACCCTAGGTACTAAAAATAATTTATTTTTCCTTGTAAACTTGACAACTTAATTAAAATGAAACACATTCACACCGTTTGTAATTAATAGGATGTAATAAAGGGAACAGTGATTCATGTGGATGAGAATTGGAAATGCAACATAAATGGAAAACATCTTCAGATTTAATTATCCAGATTTAGCTTTTCTCTCCTTTTTTTAATCTGTGACTTCAACATTTTATTATTCATGTTAAATGTACTTTAGGTAATTATCTTCTTTTAATTAAACTTGTTAAAATTGTCCACAAATATCCAGCCTGTTTAGCTGAGAGCAAATTTAAAAAAAAAAAAAAAAAAAGCACCTTAAAATACAGCGTTGCTTCAGGCAACAAATATGTTCAATCAACTCATAATTAAATATTTTTATATTTTAGTTTTAATGCTTGTACTGAATTTTGGCAGGCTAGCCTCTACCTTGAGTTAAGTCAGGGTTGTTAACATGTTTAGTAAGAACTGTATAGTTGCTGTAGATGAAATCTAGAGAACTTACTTTACTGTGTTTTACATCTAAAAGTATTTATCTCCCTTACACTGCTGCAGAAGAGTCTGCAGATTGTAGCCTGTAGCAGTTGTCTGTGCAGGTGAGGCTCAAAAGCTATGCTTATCCTTCAAGTGAGTGTGTGTGGGGGATGTCCAAATCCCAGGGATGGCCATGGAAGTCATGCCACCTTGCAACTCAAGGCTTGAAGAGATGCTGCTGCTGGTAGACAGAGAAGGGATAATGCATACATTTCATTGCTTTTGTTAGTAAATCAGGTAAACAGCACTGGTAAATTTATCCATCTATTTATTTGCTTGTCTCATGTACAGAATCTAAATACTGGATGTTTTTCAAATGCCAGCTTACAGAACTTGAAGTCTAATATTTTCTTTTGCATTTGAATGTGGGTGAAGATGGTCAAATTGTCATTATAACTTTCTTTTCTCTAAATTACAGCCTTTATGATGTGTTTTTATTTCTGTAGGGTATTTCAAAAATACCAGTGCCTATCTAGTTCAATCTAGTTTAGCTAGTGACTCTGTGTTCAGTTTTCATCTAATGATTTGGTGGTTGCAGATAGTGAATATATTTATCACCTGTTTTGTTTTGTAATGATAGCAAGTATAATTCCTTCCTCCCCCTCTTCCTGAGATGTTTGCCATTTAGTGCACTTTCACGATAAATTTATCTTATTATATAAAAGAACCGCTGTACGTTTTTCTTTGTCCTTAAAGGATGATTAAAAAAAGCTTATGACGGTGTTTTTCCCTATGACTCCTTACAGACACCAAGGACTTACTGTGCAGCTAACACAGAGGATTTAGAGGCAGTTATTCATCACATCCACAGCTTGCACCCCTCAGCTCCGTTCATGGCAGCCGGTGTTTCTATGGGAGGGTAAGGTATTATGTAAGAGGAGTCTCAGCTTAACTATGATCATAAATAGGACTGTTGTAGCATGACTGTAAATGATTACTCCACAGTACTTATGGTACTTACTGAACTGCGACTAATTTCAGTCTGCCTGTAATTGTCAATATTTGGAAGGCTCTTAGAAGCTTAACGCCTTCGAAGCTTTTAGCTTTGTGTCCAGTAAGGTGGAAAGTGGCCAGCATTCAGAAGCTGGCTGGGAGAGAAGACAGGAAACACAGACAGATTGATAGACAAACAGGTGGGCAATAAAATCTTTGGAAGCTACGGAACCCGTCTTTGGAACAGAGGGCTAAAAAATAGGAACTAGAATTAACGTACCGTGTTTCTTAGCAATCCCTGGATATTAGAAGATTTATCTTCATTCTCTTTGGGTTCTGAAGGGTGGGGGTAGGTTATGCTGGAAGAGAGGTGATTATCTGCTCTGTCTGGCTCAGAAGCCAGAAGTAGTACTGTTGTTGAAACCAGTATGGGTTGATTATAACGTGGTATTAAGACTTGCTGTGTCCTGGCTTCTCTCCAGAAAGCATAGCTAGAACAGACAGTGATAGAACAGTTGCTAGAAAAATCACTGCTAGAAACTAGGAGAAATATTCAGACAGACTCTTTAACAGAAACTCGAGAACTTCCATTAAAAGTACTGCAGACAGGAGTCACTTTTTTGAGACTGCCCTTCTTTCTGATAAATTGTCTGTTGACATTAATCTTCTAATGACTTGCAGGAGCTTTGGGATAAATACAGATTTGTTCAAACAATATAGTGATTAATAATCAAATGAGTAACCCAGAAGCCCTGTAAGTCAGTTAAGCCACTCTTTTTCCCTTGGGATTTAGCTAGTGTCTTCAGTACGAATACATACAGCCCTCTTCAGTATGTCAACGTCAATCTTTCTGGGAAGTCTAAGATTGGGCACACTACTCCAGATAGTCTCGGAAGTGCCAGGTACAGGGAAAAAATTACTTCACTAGACCTGCTGGTTTTACTTGTGCTAACATAGCACAGAGTGTTGTTAGTTATCTTCACTACTGCAAGGGTGCACAAATCGCTGATTTGTGTTCAGCTTGCCCTGATCTTTCCCAGCAGTGCCGTTCTTTCTCCAGTCATGAACCTGTCTTCGCGTTTGGTTTTGTTGAACTCTGTTGTGTGTCCGCTAGCCCATTTCTGCAGCCCGTTGAGGTCCCTCAGAATGACAGCTTTGTCGCCCAGTGCACCAGCCACTCCCCACAATTCGACCTGCAAGCTTGCCAAGGGTGCAATCCATCTCATTTTCCAGTTGTTAATAAAGATGTTGCACATTCTTGGCCCCGGTATTAACCCCTGAGTAACACCTCTAGGAACTGGTCCACAGCCCTCTCAGCCTGGTGGTCTAAGCCAATTTCCCACCCACATTGCAGGTCACCTATTGTCACCCTGTCATTTCCAGTTTGGCTACGTGGAAGGTTGTCAAAAACTTCGTGAGGTCAAAATAAACAGCTTCCACTCCTTTTGCCTAATCAAGGAAAGCAGTCAGCTTGTCATAGAAGGCAGTCAGGTTGCTCAGGCATGTGTTGTCCTCAGTAAGTCCGCTCTTGCTGTTACCAGTCACCTTCTTAACCTCCATGTTCTTGGAAATAGCTTACAGAGGGTAGTCCCATAGTGCTGATAATTAGGCTGACCAGACAGTATTTTCTCCTGTTTTTGTAGATGTGTGTGACATTTGTGTTTTTCCAGGCTCCAGGATTATCCCGTAATTGCTGCAGCATTTCAAAACAGTAGGCTTACAAAAACCTTGGCTGTTTCCTTCTGGAGCTTTGGTGCACCACAGCTGGTCCCCTATATGTCCAGTTTGCATAACTGGGCCCTAAGTCAATCTTCCTCTGCTGTGAGTAATACTTCACCCTTCCACACTCTGCCACTAGCCGCAGGGACCTGGAAGGCTGGAGGGCAGACTTCAGCAGTAGAGACAGGGAAAAACAGTAGCCTTGGCCTTTTACAAATATTTTTGTCATGAGGTTCCCTGCTCTGTTCAGTAGTGGTAGACCAGGAGGGAATACAGGATGCTCAGCCTAACCTTGGTTCTTTGGGAAATCCTCTGGAAGCCATTTCCAGTCATAGGAAGGATGAGAAGGTGACCAGACTTAACAAAAACAAAGCATACTCGAATGATCTGTTTGCCTTTTGTGATGATAATGACTGGCTTCAGTGCTGAGGGGTAAGGAGTGGTTGTTGCTTGCTCCAAGCCTTTTGGTACCATTTTATTTACAGAAGCCCTTCTTGCTGTCCTGCATATCACGTGCTAATTCCAATTCCAGATGAGCTTAGTTTTTCCAAACTGCATCCCCTGAATGCTTGGGCAATGACTGTTTCTCTCAGGCAGCTCCACCCCTCTTCCACCTTCGTGATACTTCCTTTTTGAACTTCTTCTGGAGTCCACATGGGGACTGTTTCCATGCTTCAAAATTAATTGGAGCACTTACATGTTTAAAATTAGGCAGGAGCACAGATGCATATGCCTTACTAGAGGCATATTGTGCGAATCATCCACTTGTCCTAATCTGACAAAAATTTTCATAATTTATTCTTTTTCAAATTATTGTGAGGAGCCAGTTAAGTTATATAGGACATGTTTGCCCAATTGAGAAGTAAAATAAGCAATCCATTCACAAATGTTGCTACTACTGCAACATTTTTATTGATTTATGACTCAATGTTATCCTTAGAGAGTACAGACCAGTGGTTCATAGGTTCCTCCTCTCCTGTAGGTGAAAGGGAACGCACGCTACCTAACCCCTATTTGTGCAACAGGTGACTTTCCTCATTGGGTTTGGCTGCCTGAGTAGTTTCCAGATGCACATTCCCAAGCAGCGTTTGATGTTCTTTTTCAGCTGGTTCCTACCTGCTGGCGAGTTAGTAGGAGCTCATCTCCCTTTTGCACTGCTATCCTTTAATTTGGTAGGTAGTGCACGGGGATAAATTATCTGTGCTGGAAGGTGGTTACGTGATGTTTTTGCTACAGGTTGCTGTCTCCTGCAGTATGACAGATGAAGCTAAGGTATAGAGTGTTGGTGTTCCAGGGAGCTGTATTAAGTCGTGGAGCTTATAATGTTTTGAGTTAAAGACTCGGTGTTAAAATGCTCGTTGGAAACCTTGAGGCCTCAGGCAGTAAAGTAAGACAGCTTTTCTGTTGCTATTTTTCTTTTATTACCTTCTTGGTCATTTAATTTTTCAACATCTGAAGGGTCAAGTACTGGTGAACTCTCCCTTTTTTCAACTCAATTATACATCTTCAATACAGACTGTAAGTTGCAATTGGTCAGAAAGGCAAGTTTTATACCATTTATTTAGCTCATAATTTTGTTAGTTTTATTAATTATCTTTCATTTCATTCTTTGTACTCTCATATGCATGAGGTATGGGAAAGGTATTCAACCTTCAATTAAAAAGATAGCTTCTTAAAATGGGCAGGCATGCCAGGGTGGCTTGCATTTATCAGGCAGACTGATGAGATTTACCAGATCAGGAAGACTGAGTTGTAAAATTGCAAAACTTACTGACAATTAAGTATACTCGTTCCATGAGTAAAGTACGTTTACTTGACCTTCTCCCCTTCGGTGATACAATAAGACTAGTACATCTCTCTTTATTTTTAAATGCACTCCTACCTACATCCTACACAGTGCACTCAGCTCCTCTCTGAACGTAGAGAGAAAGCAAACTTAATGAGTCATATATTGATGACATTCACTACCCTGTAGAAGTATTAGGCACAACTGTAAGGCTGATACAAGAAACTATGTGGAAAAACAGACAAAAAGGTGGCTGATTGTTATATTTGCTTTAGATTGAAGCAAACAACTTGATAGTATATATGTTTCTGTTTTTCATTTCTGTTTGTAGCATGCTTCTTTTAAATTACCTGGGCAAAACTGGCAGAGACACTCCTTTAATGGCAGCTGCAATTTTCTCTGCGGGTTGGAATGTTTTTGAGTCTGTAGAGTCTCTGGAGAAGCCACTAAACTGGCTTCTTTTCAACTATTACTTGACTACTTGTCTACAATCCTCCATCAGCAGGTGAGTTGCCTTCTGAACTATTTGGCAAGGTGGAAGGATGTTAGCATGAGATCTACAGCAGGTACAATAATATTGGCAAAATTAATGCCGTAATGACATTTCACATAGTTGTGTGCATTCTGTGGGCTTTGAAATCAAAAGGATATTTGCAAAAAAGATTGTTATCAATGTGACTAAATTTCTCTGCTGCTCAAGGGTGTCAGCACAAGAGCAATGCACTTCTAGATTTATGGATGAAGTGAACCGCTTTAATTTTTTAGACATCTGTACATACTGAGTTTGAGTTTTATACATGTATATATTTATATACTAATTCTTTTAAGTCAGCTTTGACTGCAAAAGCATGGAAAGGGCTAGTTCATCCTTTGCTTTATAAAATTAGGGTGTATTTTATATTCCAAATACTTAATTTTCTTATCTTTGGCATCTTTGTCATGTGGATTTTGACTATGTTGCTGGATGTGCCTGCATATGAATGAACAATTCTTCTGCTCTTGGATTCCAGACAGATTTTGAATATGACAGAAAATTAAAAACAAGCATGTTCTTGTTAGCAAGCTATTTCTTCAAATGTATCTGTAAAGCAGGGGACTTCTGTTTCTACTGCAGAAAACAAGTCCTCCAATTTTTCTTTCTTTCTCTTTAGGCATCGACAAATGCTGGAAAAATTATTTGACATGGATCTCGTGATGAAGGTATGTGGAAATGTTGCTTCTGATTTAGCTTGATGCTGTTTTCCAAATGCTGACATATTCCCTATTTGAATTCTATATTCCAGGCTAGAACTGTTAGAGAATTTGATAAACAGTTCACTTCAGTCATGTTTGGCTACCGTACAATTGATGATTACTATGAAGACGCTAGCCCATGTCGCAAGCTGAAGTCAGTAGGAATTCCAGTGTTATGTCTGAACTCTGTGGATGATGTTTTCTCACCGGGTCATGGTAAGTTTCTGATTTTTAAAATATATTTCCCTGTTTGTGCAGTCTTTTAGGACCAACTATACAGGTTTGAAAATGAACTATGTGTGGAGATTTATATAAATATTACTTGCACGTAGGATCACAACCTCCAGGAGTGGATCAGTCTTGCAATTTATGTAGTGTAAGACATGCAAAATAGCTGATTATAGAGATGCCTGATTAGAACAGAATGCAGGAGCACACGGAGTGGCAGTCATTAAGTCCTTAGTAGGTAGGCTCTTTATAGTCAAAAGAAATATGCACGTGTAGGATGTGAGTTATTTCACTATAAGAAAGATGCCAGGTGTATTGCTCCCAAAAGTGCCCATTCCTATTCACCAAGTATGGAAGCAGCCTATAAAGAAGAACTCAGATACATATGTCTGGATTGTAGACATTCAGATTTGAACATAAGTGAAACCAAGTATTTTCCATTACCATTCTTCAAGCCAGTCCCTACAAAGAGTATCCAGGACTTGCTTATGTTTCAGATGACTTGAAGTTCTCAGCTGTTGTTGCTTATGATCCCAATGACATAAACTCCAGTACCTGAAAATGAAAAAGTAAGAAAACATGTAGGTTAGCATGTGGACCAGAATCTAGGGTAAAGGAAGAGATACAGGCAAGGTGAGCTTCTCAAAGGAGACACAGTGAAATTAATAAAAAGCTAAGTGGATGAAGCAACAATACCAGCTAGTAACTGATAGGCTGAAAACCCTGTTTTCCTTCCTCTTTCTATTTTCAGCCAGCCACATGAGTATTATGAACATTTTGCTTTTGATCTGTAATCCTGTTGCTAACTGTCTTAAAAAAGATCTGATTGTTCCTGCAGTCTGTGTATTGGTTTCAGTGTCTGAGAAGAACAGAGAGAACAAAAAAGTTAATGTAGAGGAAAATTGCTATAATGAGCAGGTGATGAGAACAGTCTCCAGTAGTAAAGACCTCCCATGTTTAAAGTTGAAGTTCATTCACTTGATTTATTTCAGGAAAGTTTTTTTCTGCCACCACAAGTGAGATTCTTGTAGAATGAGACACAGAATTGAAGTGAGTAAACAGATCAGAACAGCAAACAGAAGAATGAAGGAATTGGAAGGGGTTGTGTATGTACTAGTTATGCATGCCCATACGTAGAGCACGTACAGAAAGACACGCATACCTCACATTACTGTTAGTAGTTTGAAGAGCTGTTGGAGACAAATATGACACAAAGAGAAAAGGGCCATTCCAGTGGAGTGCAGTAGGAAAAGAGTCTGATTTCTTCTCCTCTTGAATAAAAAACATTTGTGCTATGCATGAACAATATAAAGAAGTGACAGCCTCCTAATAGGAGGAAAGAAGATGGTGACTCTAGGTTAGCCAAACTACCTATCCCTCATTGGCCAAAACACAGGCCTAAGAAGATGTAAGATCAGGACAAACTCAGTAATAATCTTCCAGAATAGTGCATCTACTGTCCACAATTAACAGTTCAGGGATGTTCTGAGACAGAGTTAATCCCTTTGTATTTACTAGCTTCTACAGGATTTTTTTCTTGAAATTGTCCAGTTGTGGTTTCTGTTACAAGCGTATACTGTCATGGAAATGAGAGTGGACCCTAAAATCTGTGTCCAAATGTAAAAGCTGCCCAGTCACCTGAAGATAAAGTTTGGTGGGTGTTAGGATCCCAGTGATGACTTCCCCCATAGTAACACGAGACAGGTGATCTAGTGTGCCATGCTTCTGCCTGTCAGGTGTCTTAGAGAGGGAACAATGGCTTTCCCTCCATGCTTAGCCCGAGCTCAGTTTGTAATTTCCATTCTAAAATAAAATACTGTGACAGGAATAAGATGTTTAGTTAGCACAAGTAACAGCAGCAGTGAACCAGACAGCATGCCTGTGTCCCTACAGGGTATGTTAACCTTTTCCACCTTTTTCCCACTGAGACTGGGACCTCTGTTAGACTAAAGCAAGCGCAGAGACCCTAACATGCCTTTCTCCATTAAAATGCATGGGTGGATAGGCATCAATGTATTCCTTCTCCACAGAGTTATGCTGTTGGCTGTACACCAGCGCCGTGGTGGTGACTAGTTTGCCTCAGGAAGGGCTACCAGAGGGAAGGTTGATTTACAGCTAATAGCTTGACTTTGTCACGCATGTGTGTGTATCCTTGGCTCCTTTTTAGTTGGTGAAAAGTTGTGCTGGCAGGGGACAAAGGGCACCCTGATTAACAGCCTAGGAATTACGGCTGATGCCACCAGTTACTGGATGTCTCTCGTCTTCACGCCTCTGCTGTCTCAAACATAAAGGTCTGGTGTCAGTCTGGGAGGTGACTTCATTCTGGCAACTGCTCTTCTGACCCGAAAGTGTGTGGCCACAGGTTAGCCTGTGGCAACCAGCGGCAGTTTCCACTGACAAGTGTACAAGGGATTCAAAGCCACAGACTTTCTTCTCAGCCAGCCCCAGTCTTCTGCTGACTTTGGGAACTGGTTGTTTCATGCCTCATCAAGCTTCATCTCTCCTAATAATACCTATCACCTTTTAGGCTACCTTCCATTGCTCTCGTGGATAGCTGTAGATGGTTTCAGGCATCTGGGAAACAGGCCTAGAGAACCCATTAGGGAGAGAGCCATGCCAGAATTCCTTCATGATTAAATGGCCTTTATACAGCCAGCCACACCTGCCTTCCTGTAACAGAGTTTGGGGGATGCAAACCCAAGTCTCCTCTGTCCTTACACAATTGGGACTTCAAGAGAGACTTCCTATAAAAAGCGCAGATGCTGGTTTTGTTGCCTCTTACTACCCAACCACTTCTCGTCTAGCTTGTGATACATTTTTTATTTTCCAGGAATCATTATTGAGCATATCGTGAAAATACACCCTTTGATCCTAGTCCAGGATTAGGAAGAAACAATTAATTTGCATCCCTTCCTTAATGTTGATGTTTAATGTTCATAGAGCTTGGCAGCTGATGCATCTGAAATTTAATTTCGGGATGCAGTTCCCGTACTGCATATGACTAAGTAATGAAAGCAAATGCTTTCTTCGCCGTGTGACACTTCGCTCACCATCACTAATTGGAACAAGCTATTGTTTGAGGAAGTGTGTAATATAACCAAGTCAAGCCCATTTATTTTGTAAGGGACAAATTAAGAAGACGGAATGATAGCATTCGTTGCCAGTGTCATATTTAACTTTTCATCTGAAGTGGCGTTTTCCTCCTCAGAGACTTTGAGCAGCTTATTAGGCATCCAACTTAAATCCAACTTACATTTCACCACACTAACACATAGCTCATTGCTGCTGGTGTGTGCTGTGCTGTGCCCGAGCTGAAAGCCTGCCCTTGAAGTTAGGTACTATGCCAGCTCCCTCCTGATCCCCCGGGCCAAGTAAGTGCATGTCTGAACGGCCATTGTCCTGAACTTTTTGTTGTATTGAACTTCTCTGTCCCTCTGAATCCAAACTTAGAGTGTGTTATTTTGTGTCCAATTACGTAAACAGCCCAACTGATTGTGTTGTTTTATTGTACATAAAACACACCGATGTTGAACAAGGTAATTCTGCACACCCATTTTTATGCTGTGGTTCTAATAACACATAACAAGTCTGTGCACTGCTGGATCAAACAGCAGCACAGATTTTGATCCGTAGAACCAGATGTACGAGGTTAAATTTGGGCAAAAATGACCAGTAGTGCCTTTTGGCATGCCACTCTGTAACCCAGAGCACGTCACATCCAGTGCTCCATTCGCCTGCCCTTTACATTGCAGAATTTGCTCTCTCGCATTGTGGGTCTGTTTGTGGATGGCTAAGAGACCCTGGAAGCAGTCTTGAGAAAAGCACCACACCGCTGCCAAGCATCATTTGCATTTTGGCACTGGAGAGCACCACAGAATTGTTCAGTTCTTCTCCTGAGAAGCTGCAGAGCAAGGAACTCTGCTGGGGAGGAATCACACAAACGGTGACCCAGCTGTGTCAAGGCTGGCTGTGCCAGGGGCAGGCTTTCCTGTGCACCGTGGGGGAGGTAAGAGCAGGGATGCAAGAGCAGCTCAGATTGGGCAGCTGCTAAAAATCCTCACTGCGGATGGAAATCCAAGGCTACATATCCAGCACCGTGCGGCAGCTTTTGATGAGCGATAATCTGTGGCAGAAGTCTGTTGTGAATGACTGCGCGATGGAATAGGGCCAGCTTTCAGGATGGGGAAGGTGACATTCGTCAAGAGCTCTGTGTGGCTCACGCCTTACCCAGCAGCGTACAGATAGGTACAAATACCCTCGCAGTAGGCAGAAGCTCACATCAATCACTGCCAACATCTTCATACACCACAAGGTGTTCATCCAGAGAACCCAGGGGAGCCAGACAGGAGACTCCTGGGTGCATAACTGAGGCAAGACTCCAGGCGAGTGCTTGCAGAGTCTGGGGCCTGAAGCTCTGGCATGCTTTGGATTGCAAGAGCTGACACGTTGTTTGCTGCACCTCTGGTTTCCAACCTGTGCTATTACCTTGTCCAAGCTGTCAGGCCCTGTGCTTTTATCTCCTCGACTTCTCTTTCTAGCCTTGCCTCTGCAATGCTTTAGAAGGCCCAGGTACCGCAGATGCTATTTCCAGTTTTCCAGCTGAACAAAGGAAAATCCGAGGACTTTTTGTAGAGACAGTGAGAAACACAGTTCCTTCCAGCTAGTAAAGAATCAAAATCACTTATTAAATGATCAAATCAATGTAGGGGTTTAGCATCCATGCTGAATCTGTCCTGCAGGCCCTGCACCCCTGCCCCATCTATTTCAAGGTGTAGTCATTGCATTCGGGGTCCTGTGTGCCTTGCCCTGCCTGGCTGTCCTTTTACCCTAGCTGACGAAAATTAAGGCAAATCGGCATCAGAGGCACACGGCGATGGGTCTGCCAGCACCCAAAGGAAAGGAAGGACCATGGGCATAAAGAAGCTAAAGATATGCAGGGATAACGACTGCTCATGGACCTTTGACGTAGCAATGTAGAAAAGTTAAAGAAAAAACCCTAGAAAGGAGGGGAGATCTTGCAGGAAAGTTCAGTCAGAAGGAGATGTGGACATCTGAACTGCCCCCCCAAAAGTAGCCCTGATTAAGTGTCTCTCTTCAGAAATACTTCTTAATAAATAAGGCCTGTGAAGTCCTGTAGAAGTCCTGTGAATGACTCACTGCTTTCTGTTGTAGTGCCAAAGCATTTTTAATTTAGCAGTGTATGACCTAAAATCAGGTTTATTTTCTTGTGGAATCACAACCTTTTTTTGACAATTCGGTGCAACCTCTAGTACTCCTCTCTGGACAAAATGTGTGTTCTTTTGCTGCTGTTTCTTTTCTATCAGGCTGAAAAATCAAAAAATCTGTATGGATTTTGTGTTGTTTATTTTTTTTTCCTCTATTCCATGAGGTACATTATTTCAAAACTAGAACTTCCAAAGGCATTCTTCACTGAAACGCTTGAGATTTCTGCTTGTTCAGGAGTATATCCAGTGCACTTACAATTTCTGAGGAAATCACTTAAAGTAGCTAATTTTTACATCAAGAGCACAAACACCAGAGTTCCATAAAGCTCCACCATTGTGTCAACCAGTTCACAGGATGAGCATCATCCCACCACCCTGAAATACTTTGCAAATCCACATGCTTTCAGTGCTCATTTGAGTCTGCCTGCTGCCATTTGTATATTGGTATTAGCGTGGTGACCCAGGCCAGGGAGCTGAAAACTAACCAGTAGAAGAAAACCCCTTGGTGTATCTGCTCTAATCATCTGAATTCGACATTAAGGCATTTTCTGGTAGTCACAGTACGGTAGAGAACCACAAACCTCCTGGATAGTGTGGGACAGGTTTCTATGTCCTTGTGCAGTTGTTTGCCTTCCTCTTACTTTGTTTCCTGGGTGTATTGAGACGATGAGTTCCTCAGGGGGAGAACTGTCTCCCACTTTGTTTTCACAGGCGTGCTCTAAACATGCAGTGTAAATGTATGGCAGTACAGATAGAATGATGATGACAACCCAAAACCTTCTTTAATTTTAGCTCGTGATGACATTAACAGTTTTGTGTTTGGTCCCCTAAGAAAAGAATGGGATTCACAGTTAAGTTCCCAAGTTCCTCATTTTTTCCAAAGTCGAATATTGCAACAAAGGTTAAAAACTATGGGCTTGATTGCCCTTTTGTTTGTATGACATGCACCGAATCATAAATATGCATCAACATGAGTGCTGTTACGATGAACCCATGGTTTCTGAAAGTTTTACAGCAGCCAGGAAAATCCTACAAAAAAGGTGAGTTAACGATGAAGAGAGAAATGTCTTTTAACACAGCTATGGTTCTAAGTCCTCCTGCGGTACATTTAAACATGCATTTAACGTAAACGTGCATTTTTATTCATATATAGCGTGACAAACATTTGAGAAAAATTGTTCGGTGGCTGGCATTTCATAGAAGAACGAGTACTTAAAGTTCTCCCCCCCACCCTTTTAGCTATACCAGTAGAAACTGCCAAACAAAACGCAAACGTGGCTTTGGTTCTGACTTCTTGCGGAGGCCACATTGGTTTTCTGGAAGGAATATGGCCAAGGAAGTGCACTTACATGGACAGAGTCTTCAAGCAGTTCGTGCAAGCTGTGTTTGAGCATGGAAACAAAATCTTTAGCATGTAGCTTTGGACCACTACTGTAGCACAGTGGCACATTCTGACAAGGGCAGTTAAGCTTAATGCACAAATTTTAACTACTGTAAGCCAGCAAATGGATGAAGTCCATTAGTACATGCAAAAATATTTTTTGCCTAAGATTTTGTAGCGAGAAACTAAATATTATGTTGTCACTTTTGTATTTATTTTTAATATGCCTTACTAAGAATGACCTTAAATGAAACAGCATTCTGCATACATCAAATTGCACTTAACCAAAACCATCGAGTAAATAGATTGTAATTCCTCAGGATTTTAATTTAAACTACTATATATTTAGGAGACTTAATGTAGGTGGCTTTTAATATTAGAATGGCAACGCTCAAAATAGCGTTTATTATCCTGTCACACATAGTTAAAGCTGATCTATTCCTTAGGTGAAAATCTTAAAATATGAAAACAAAAGGAAGGAACACGAAGAAGCACTGGTTCTTCAAATAAGTCTAAATTGCAGCATACTGTTCTGTAGCATTAGACTGATCTGCTTGTGCTGTTTTACCCTGAGAGTATCCAGATTTAGGGCTAGCTACTGTTTTTTAAACGATGTCAATGCCATATTCATTTTACATGATTTTTTAAACAGTTTATTTATAGTGTTTACATATAACCAAAAGATTCCTTTAAACCAGTACTGTAATAACTTATGTAATTGAAAGACATTTTGCATTTCAATGTTTGTGTATAGCCGGGTGTTATCACATATGTAATACATACTTCATATAACTGGTAATTTCAGTTATTCTGTCTGTTATGTTTTTATTACGCTGCGAGAACATTTCAGTTTTAAAGAATAAACATTAGAGCGTTAGGAAACTATTCATAAAGTTTGTTTTAAATTAAAAAAAAAAAATCTGAACCCATTGTCTCTGCTGTTGTTTCAGATAATTTCTCAAACGGGTGTAACAAAGTGTTTAAGGAGAGGTGGGAACTGGGGGGCGGTCTCTCTGGTTTGCTGTTTGATCTTTGTCAGCACCTTGGCAAGAGGTTGTGAGATCAACGTTCTCCTCAGCCCTGCAGCAGAGCGAGAGCCAAAGCGGGTCCCTGAGGAAAAGGAACAGTTAGATGCATTTTGAAACTGCTGGGAAGTCCTAATCTAGGGCACGTTGAAATTAAATCTTGTAACCAGCTTCTGTGGAGGTCCCCTCCCATTCTACTGCCTGATTCGGGCCTAGCCACACGAGATCAGGCAGTAAAAGTGCAAAGGTGTCTTTGTTTTTATGTTTTGAGTAGGGTCGGAACCACAAGAAAACGTGGATAAAAAAGCAAGTCAGGTCTTCTGTCACAAGCAGTATGCGAACAGTCCTCTTGCGAGGCATGTTTCCTAGTAACAGCAAAGGCAAAGGAGGAACAAAAATACTTTTTGTCTTTAGAAGAAGAAATCAGGACGTGCTATAGGAAAGCTAGTTTTGTAAGGTGGAAGGTTAAATTAAAAATCAGAAAGTGCTTTTAGGTTTTGAGTTTTTAGGGCAAGGCATTGGTCCTTGTGCAAATAATAAAATCTAACTTCTTCCCTGGTAAGGAGAACAAGGAAAGTGACTTGTAAAAGTGAAACAAAATATTGTGCATGTGTCTGCAACAGATGAAATCAACATGTTAGTAGGGTGCCTTATTCATCCTTACATTCATTTCCATTACAGAAGTTATGTTCCTGCAAAAACAGTGAGCAATAAACTGTGTATTGAGTATTATATTTGTAACATTATTCAGGTGCGGTATGTTCAAAACTCAGCATCAACTATTAATAACAAATGAAACCTGCTTATATTAAAAACACACCTTACTGTTTAAATAAAAGTAACGTGGCAGAATTTGTGTCTCTTTGCACTGTCTTATTTCAGTTAGGTCCAATCCCATGTAGAGAGCCACACGGGACGTTTCTCTTTAAATGTGTTTATAAATGCCTATAAAGACGTTTGTTTAAAGGCGTGTGTCCCCCACCCCCAGTGTACAGTGCTTTTGCTTACAACCTGTTAGGGAAAATTCATCGTTCAAAGTGACAAAAATCAGATTTACTATGGGCATCTTCAAGCTTTTGTAGGTCAGATTTTCTGGAACACAAGGTGTAGCCACCTCAGTTCTTGCAGGAGACACAACAGCAAGTAAGAAGTGCTAGAAGCACTTCTGCTACGTGATATCTGCAGACCTTGTACACGTTGGTGGAAACATGGAGAATAAAATTCCAAGTCATGAAGGCTGCAGGCACCTCTTCGAGAAAATTTTCCTCCTCGCTTCAAGTCAGGACATGGCTGAAGTTGCAAGAAACTTCTGGGGAGATGGCAATCCCCGTGCTAGCAGCAGTGTGCATGATGTAAATGCTCCAAAACATTTACCTCTTTGCAGCTTGTTCTTGGAGCCAAGGCGAGGAATGGTTTATACCTGCGAGGCCTTCAGTCACCCAGGAACCACATTGGACCAACGCTGTCTCAGTGTCCGAACACAAAGCCCCAGATTTGAATGTATTAATTTCACTCTTGCCAAACAGATCTAGAAAACCTGAAAATGTAAAGCAGAAGGGAAAGCATGGCTGTGTGAGTGCACAGAAACTAACCCGTGGCGTGTATCTCACACTGAACAAAGGAAGGATCGGCGCTTTTTTTAGAAACCAGGGCACACAGCAGTACCTTTTACAAGACTTACCCAGCATGGGCTGTGGAGAACAGTACACGGCTCTGCGGAAGCTGCTGACTTCAGGCAGCTCGTCAAGGTCGCGCCAGTACGGCAGCGAGTGTCAAGCTCCAAACAGCCACGTGCTGATCATCACAATCACTCTGCGAGCTAGGCTGATCACTACAGGGGGTGGAAAAGGGCTCCGTTTTCAAGAATTACACCTAGGATGTGGTTCTAGAAGCTTCTCCACACCTCCTCTCAGTGGCATGTTGCCTTTTCCAACTGAGTTCTAGCAGGCAGTTGTTTGGGTCCCTGAAGTCAACAAAATGAAACAATTTCTTAAAGACTCTTAAATTCAACACGTGAGCAAACTGGACAAGTCCCAGTCCAGTCCAGTTTATTCCGATGCACCGTCACCCTGCGAAAAATGAGGAAACTCACTCCCAGAGTCATCAAGGTAGGGTAGCGACACTTGCTGCCAGCCAGGGAAGTTACAACAGCAGCCGATCTGTTGTAGAATATCCCAGGCATGATTTTTGTTTTTATAGTTGTTGTCTTGTTTTTAACTTGAATTCCAAGAGAAGAAAAGGAAAAATCTGCCAAATGCACCAGCAGCCACAATGGGCAGCAGTTCTTCACTGGCAAAATGAGAAAATCACAGGATGGTTTGGGTTAGAAGGGACCTTAAAGGTCACCCATTTCCAGCCCCCTGCCATGGGCAGGGACACCTCCCACCAGACCAGGTTGCCCAAAGCCCCATCCAGCCTGGCCTTGAGCACCTCCAGGGATGGGGCATCCACAGCTGCTCTGGGCAGCGTGTGCCAGGGCCTTACCACCCTCTGAGTGAAGAATTTCCTCCTAATGCCTAATCTAAATCTTCCCCTCTTTTAGTTTAAAACCATTCCTCCTTGTCCTATCATTATCTACCAGAGTAAAAATTCACTCTCCATCTTTTTTATAAGCCCCATCTAAGTATTGGAAAGTTGCAATGAGGTCTCCCCAGAGCCTTCACCACTTGCTTGCTCAGATGAGATGCGTGATAACCAGCAGGGTGTGTTAGCATGTCAAAGCGGCTGCAGGACCCCTGTGCTGGCTGGGCTGCTGTGGTTGATCTCGGGATCCTGCCCTAGGGCTGCAGTTTCACCAGCAGCTGCAGCAACACTAACAGCTCCCTCCTGCCAAAAGTAGAAGGCTTGCTTTTCCTCCTCCCCTACCTTTTGGTATCCCCGATTCAAGTCGTATGGCTCTCGGCTTTTAACTTTTTGGTTTTACCAGCCCAGCAAGTTAAATTTCCATGGCTAGCAGGGCAAGGTGCTAGAGAAAGGGTGGCATGAGGTAAGGAGCTGGAGCCCACCGCTGAGAGTGGCATAACTTAGAAGCAAATAATTTTTCACTTAGCTGCAGTCAACAGGAGCCCCATAAATTTTACAGTTAAACTTGGTAAATTGTGCTTAAATTAACATAAAATCTTTTCAGGATTATACCTGTTCTATCCAGATACTCCCTCTGTGTGACTGCAGTTCCTCCTTCCTCCCTCAAGTCCCCGAGTCCTAAAGTAAATCCGTGCCCAAGCGCTCCTGTTCACAGTCACCACGTCTGAAGAGAGCACATTTCTGAAAAGCTTGTGAAGATTTTGCTCTTTCAGTTAAGAAAGTGACATTTGCTAGCACGTTCACGCTGAAATCAGCGCTTCAAAATGCTGCCACCTCGTGTGGAAAGTTGGAAGTTTACTCATACCCTATCCCATGAGCAGAGCTTTTCCAAGTTTTTGGAGTTTAATGCTTTACGAGAACGCTTGCTTCTTTACAACAACATCCCCGCTGCTCAGCAAATTACTCTTCCATGGAAGGACATGAGAAAATCTACCTTGACCTGCTTCGTGTTCCTAAGAAAGAGGGATGTGAAAACATGGTGTTAAATTTACAAAGCTAGCAGTAACATTTAGAAAAAAAAGCTTTTATCATCCTCCAGGAGGTTTACAGGCTGCTCAGTGATTAAGGTATCTTTCATCTGGAAAGTATCCTGTAGGTTACCCTAGGAAAGCAGGAGGCCACATGTTGCTGCATTCGTTGTAAAGTCACAGCAGATTATCAAGCATTAAAGAGGAGCTGATACAGGGGGTTATAAATAATACGATCAGCTTTTTCAAAAACTGCAGCTGCTGAAAATTTCCATT